GCGAACTCTCTCCCTCTTCTTTTTTTTTTATAACTTTTCTGTGGTCCCTCTTGCCCGTTCAAATCTCTCATCTTTTCTTTCTTTCTTTCTTCTGCTTCTTTAATAATGATGAGTTGGGTCCCAGAGGGGGACCGGCCCAACAAATCTCCTCCTTCACCTTGTAAGGGAAGCTCCCTCATGTCCGCTTTATTTATACAATAATCAAGTTTTACCATGGATTAGATTTTGGTCATCATATAAATCTATTATTATTGGTGTGGACTTTTTCAAGTAGAAAGATTTTCTTTTCTAATTTCTCGAAAATCCAGTGACATTTCACATCAATGTCCTTCGATCTTGAATATAGCACTCGGATTTTTTACTAAGGTAGATAATACTCATACAATCACAATACAAAATAAATTTCTCTTGCTTCAAACCCAACTCTTATAGGAATTCATTCATCCACGAGAGTTCCTTACCTCAATCTGTAATAGCAATACCTGACGTAATTTAGTAGTCTACTTCAGTCATAGACAATATCACACATTTTTATAATCTTGATTGCTAAGAAACTGCCTTCTCGGCAAAAGTTACAATGTAACCTGACGTGGACTTTCGAGATATGCATCTGAGTAACCAATCAACTTGGGCTTTCCTTTTCCATTGACCTCAGCATGTCATATAGGACGGTTAGCGATGACTGGACATCACATCAACAATTTCCTATGGCAATTGATCGGAAGAACTACATTAAAATTTTTCGCAAAGGCTTAAGACTACATTGGCAAAATTAAAAAGTTTAAAATTGAATTGGTATCCGTCCAATAGGTTTACGACCAATTGGATAATTCTTCCCTAATTAGCATGGCAAGAAAAAATATGACGAGAACCTTTCGGAGGATGAACGTGATGGCTTTTGATTTCAAACAATGTGCAACAACAAGAAAGAGAAAATAGGAAGGAAAGAAAAAAAATGGATAATGCTTGCTCGAATAGGGTTTTGAAGGGCATCCTGGCCGATTCATTACAATAGGTGGTTTTTAGTAAAAATGGTGTGAAATTAGTCTCATATTTCCTCTATTGATTCTTACAGAACTCAATCAACCGTTCGAAAAAAAAAAGAGAAAATAGAAGAAAAAAGGAGCTCCAATGAATGAGCCTATTTGTAGGTCTCCATGTGTGTATGTATATAAAAGTACGGTAATATAATTGTAAACACATAAAAAAAAAGTTGCGCATACTATTAAACATGACATTATGAAATACAAGAGAAATCTCGAACATAGCATTATTTAATGTATCAACATTATTGGAACCGATAATATTGACTAGAATGAATGCGTTTGCGTTTTGAAACAATAATCTTATATTTTTTTTTGCTAGAAAAACAATAATCTTATATGTTACAAAGTAGAGAATAAACTTGAAAGAGTGCACGTAGATCATTATGTAATGGCTATAATGAGCCGCCCCGTCCTAATACAATCTTCTCTTCTTTGGCATGTAGTATGCTTATGACATGCAATTTTTCAATTTTCATAATGTTGCGAAGCGAGCTATTATAGCAAGAGCCTACATGAAAACATTGATGTCCTCCCACCTAGCCAATGCTCAAATCTTGCTAATGATGGCAGAGTATATACTATTGACTATGAGGAGAGTCCTAGGGCTTCGCTCTTTTCTCTCTCTATCGGCAAATCCCTCTCACCTCCCAAAAACTCTTCACTTTTTTGAAGCTCTCCCGGTCCTTTTTTTTTTATTGCTTTGATTGTCTTTTCTTTTTTCTCTATTTTGGGAGTTTGTGTGTGATAAATTTTTGCAACTGATATTGGATGAACGTGGAGATTAGTTTGGCCATTTGTCCGGTCGATAATCACTGATGAGGATGTTTGTGACATGGCTCTACAACCTCTTCAAGATTAGGCCACTCTCCTGTCTAGATTGATATGGAGGTTTTACTCTCCCAAACTAAATCTAAATATAAACATGGAAGTTCCTTACAAGTATTCGATTTGTATTCTTTCTGATGTTTCTACACAACGATGATAATAAGGACATTGAATCTAGACGCGAACCGCAAGCTGTTACAAATGGAGTTTGAGATATAAGCACGTGCTCATCACTGAATCTGATAATCGACTACCGAACGGTGACGGATCTATTATTGAGGGATGAGAGCGTACCTCTAGTTGCAAACTATGCTTTGTTATTTGCATTTCGGTATTTGCTTTGCTAGGCTTGAAAACCTTCAATGTGCCTGTCGAGTATTATGGAATCTTGCTTTTGACCCAAAAAAAGAATATGAAGAAATAAATCAGATTTTTTTTTACGTTTATGTATATATTTTCGAAGTTTGACGAGGGCATGAAAGCTCATAAAGCATGTTTAGGTGAGCAGAGCAGTTGTGAAAATGACCCGACTATGGTCTATGAACTAGGAGGCCATGACTATCAACCACTACTGAACTACATGTCATTCATGGACATCAGAATCGAACTATAGAAAAGAGCGAGATCAGAAGCTTATGCACTCTATAATAATCAATCAATCATAATCAATTAATTAACTTATTAATCAGGGGCAAGTGACCAAAACAAGGACATCGTCCAAGCATGGGAACTGGAAGCGTGCAAAGCTTGGTAACAAGGCGAGTATGGACCATTCAATCATTGCAGAGCCCATCACCAAGTGACGAGATGAAGATTTTGGATCTTCCCATGGTCCATTCCACGGATTAAATATGTCCGATGGATTTCATTGCTAGTCACGGAACGATTGGTCATGCACGTCGAGAAAAGGAAGTATTTAAACTCATCGAATCGTCCGAGTAGGCCAAGCTGTTTGTATATCAAAAGGCACGAGCTTTGGAGATGTGTCTTGATTCCGTCGATCACAACGTCCATAGACCAATTTCCTCAGTGAAGATGCGAGCGTGACAACTAATGCTTCTAGTTTTCAACAAGAAGGACAGAACATCATCACTACGTACACTGTACATTAGACCGGGCACAATGAATTCACTCTGTACTAACATGGATTCAAACGTTTGTAGGGGTGTCACAAGGTCTGAAACCGCTCTGCTAAACTTGGGCGCATGCAAAACTCGTGCAAGCTCACCCTTGTCAACCCTAATGGAGGTAAGGTGAAGAAAAAGGACGAAAAGTGAAGACTGGACGTTTCTTTACGAGACCCAGCAGATCAAATTTCCTCTGCGACCAGACCAGACAGATAGAAGTTAAAATATAGACAACGGTGATTACAAAAGGTGTAGTTGAGTTGAATATGACCCCACAAAGAAGTCACAATCACCTCCGAGAGCAGAGACGGTTCTTGTTTTGGTTTACAAACAAAAATGCATAAAATAATGGGTGTGTGTCTGTGTCTGTGTGCGTGCACTTTGTTGCAGAGTCGGCGAGAAATCTGGAGATGTCAAGAGGGTAAAATCAAATAAAGAAAGCAGATGGAGTAGAGACGAGGGACGAGCAGGCATCAGAGCCATGTATCGATCCCCATGCAAAGGAAAAAGAAAGATTATTTTAGCTTTACATTTCGACGTCAATTCAGTCACTGTCATCGTGTTTCGTGCCATCTTTCCTGCTCTTGCTCTTCTCCATAAATATACTCTTTTTAAAAAATATTTTTCCGGAAGTCATTTTCCCGAAAAATATTTTTCCGGAAGTTGTTTTCCTGAAAAATATTTTCTCGGAACATAATTTTCCGGTGTTCGCGATCAATATGAAAAAGTTTCGAAAAATATTTTTCGCCGCGGCCGGCAGCGGGCGGCGGCGTCCGCGCCGGCGGCGGTGTCCGGCGGCCGGCGATCAACGGCCAACGTCCGGCGTCCAGCGTCCGGCGCGGCGGCCGGCAACGGCCAACGTCCGGCGTCCGGCGTCCGGCGGCGGCGGCCGGCAACCAACGGCCAACGTCCGCGGCGGCGGCGCGCTCCGGCAGCTGGCCGGGCCGCGACCCGGCAGCGGCGGCCGGCGACCTTAGTGAAGAAGAAGCTCCGGAAAATGATTTTTGCTTTTGAAGAAGCGGAAGTCATTTTCCGTAGACTTAAGCTATTTTGTGAGGGGGGAAGGAAAATATTTTCTCACGGAAAACTTTTTCCGTCCCCCGAACACCGGAAAATCCGAAAAATATTTTCCGGGAGAATATTTTCCGCCAAACGAACGGAGCCTTAATTTTACTCGTGTTTCGTAAGTGGCTGTCGCGCACTGCAAGATTCAAGAAGCAGATTTGCACCATTTGGTCAGTGACTGGTGTTTCGATGGTGATGACAGGTTTTTCTTTTGTGATTCCAGACTCGTGAAAACAGGTTTTCACTTGGGCATTTTTGCCCGTTCATTTTCATGCAAGTTCCCCTTTTACTTTCTTCCTTTTGGTGTGTGAATAGATGACGTTTTGCAGGTGTCTATAAATGGCACGATTCTGGGCATCGGCAAAGGGAACTTATTGCAGGCTGTGTAATCAATTTAGTTTCCTTCAGGTGGTTTGGACGTAAGGACAGCTTAAGAGCAAAAGGAAATGTCGTTAAGGAGATGATTCGTTCGTCGGCAGATTTGGTAAAAAAGATGATACCCACAAGCTTGGCCCAAAGATTGATGGCTCCACCATTTTGGGCTTTCCGCATCTATAATGTATTCACAAGAGCGGATTGATTCTTTCAAAGCCCAGTTTGGCCTTTTGGTGTTGCATTTCTTGGGCCAGGCCTTCTTGCATTGTGGGAAAGAGTCGAGGAAATTTACTATAAGTTCATCTTGTTCTCGTCAGAGAGCTAGATCTATTTAAAGCATGCATCAGTGCATCTATGCAACAGAGACAGAAAACACACGGTCATCATGCGACACACTAATTGAAACAATAAGCCAGTAACAGAGAGGACAAGCTTTACAACAGACAGTTATTCCATGACATAAACTTGTATTTGTTCCAACGTACACACACATCACCACACTATCTCATCTCCCAGAAACTTATGTGAAGACTTGCCTATGAGACATTAATCAGCCACCCTCTCAATTCATAGAATCCGCGCACGACTTGGCATGCACAGATCGAGGCTTTGCCGCCACCGTTCTGCACCTTGATTTCACCCTCTTATTCCTGGCCAGTCTCCTCTCCAAATCCTTCCCTCTTCCAGTCAATTCACATATCAAGTTCAACTGCTCTTTCCCCGCTTCCATCAGTTTCTCCATCATCTCCCTCAGTTTCTCGTTCTCTTTGATTAGTTTCTGATTGCCGTCCATCTCCTCCACAGGCCTGCTCCCATTTAAATCATCGAGACTAAGCAGTGACTGCCCGACTTGCTCAGCACCTTCATCTGAGATAGATTTTTCCAGAGCAACAACCACCTCCTCCTCGCGATTATCTCCTTGTTCATCCACTTGCTCTCCAACATGTGTTGTCAGGTCGATATCCTTCACATTTGCTGCAATCAATTCTTCCTTCTCCTAAGCTAGAGCTTCAACGTTCAACATCTCAGAGCAATTGCAGCTAAGATCAGCAGAGATAATGGCCTTATCTTCATTTTCATCTCGACAAGTTTCCACTGCGGGTCCTAACATCCCTAGCTGAGCTTCTTCTGGTCGAGGAGGCAAAAGAGTTTCATCGCTGATACCCTCTTCATGTCTCTGGCCACGTTCCGCTCCAATGGATGCATCCTGAGAAGAATCCTCACTCTTTAGAGAGCCAGCAGGTGACAAATCATCTGGTCCTGGTGCAACCAGTTGCTCTAGATGCACATTGTCAACTACTTCCGAATCTGAAGTCAATGCTTTGGGCACTTCCAGCTGCTGCGTCTCAATGGTCAGTTTGCCAAAATTTTCTGGAGAAGTAACAGCATCGCTACCTTCATCGCACTTATCATGTCCATTGAGCACAGAATCTACTTTGCCAAACTTATCATGCATGCTAAGCACAGAATCCGCAACATCTTCTTCTGCAATATGAATCTTGCTTGTTGCTTCCACTTCAGGTTCTCTTCCATGAGATATCAAGTCATCATCTCCAGTGCACAGGGTTGGGCCAGTAAAAGTATCCGGCTCCACTCCCGCACTGTCCGACGCCATGGCTACTTTCTCCTCATCTGCTTGTGGCAACGGTTGCAGAGCAGAAGTTCCTTGATCTTTGATCATAAACTCCATCTTTGTGCTGCTTCCATCTCCTGAATCGGATGCCAGCCTAATCTCATCTTCAACCATAGAATCATAGATACTTTTCTCCACCGTGGCCACCTCTAGTCTCTCATACTTTCCTCCAGAAGGATGCTCCGGATTAGTCTCTATAGGCTTTATAATGTTGACCACAGATGGTTCGCCATCATCAATTTCGTTTAGATGTCTGAAGTCCTGTACAGGACAATGCTGCAAGGCAGCTTGTTGCGACTCCACATCCAAGGATGCTGATGTTTCCCTTTTCAAATCCTTGACTGCCACTTGTGTCTGACCATCAATGATACCCGAGCATGCATTCTCTGAGGGTTCAGATACCGAATTTCCAGCCTTGAGAAGTTGCAGTTCGTCTGATTTAATTTGACCGCCAATGTTCTCACTAACTGAAAGGCTCTCTTCAAACTGTCTCTTTGCTTCCTCATGGTGTTCTTTCTTGCTGACCGTACATTCATCATTCCTTGCAGTATCAGAGTTATCAACAGATTCCTCCAGGCACTTCATTGTCAAAGAATCGAGTTTCTCCAGCAAAGTAACTAGCTCCCTCGCCAATGATTTTCGAATATCTCGCAAATTAGGATGTAATCCCTGGAGCTCTAGAATCAACAAAGAGAACTAGAAGCATCTCACAGAAATAAGTCCATAAAAAGTTTTCAGCTATCCATAGCAAAAAGCAAACTCAAAGACATACAGTTGAAAAGGGTTAAGATGAGCACTCTTTTGTAAAATCTTCAGTTGCAGTGTCCTAGCATCCAAGTTGTGATAACCAATAACAGGGTTGTGTAGATTAATAAAAAGGTGTTCAAATATTGAAAGGCACTTCAAGATCTAATAAACCCAAAATATTCATGAAATAAAAAAAAGAGACGCTTGAAAAGCCACAGCATGATGAAGCCCTTCTCTCATCTCGATTCCCATTTTCCGACAATTCCGTGATTACCAATGAATGCAGGGCTCCTACCCTGCTCTCTTCTACCTACAGAGTTAAGTAAAATGTAAACAACTTAATTCATTATATCAACTGGCTTACCTGAATTGTATCAAGTCGTAGAAGAAGATTCATTATAGATTCTCCAATGAGTACTTTCTGCCTGTCAAGTTTCCCTTGATCAGGCAAAGTGTCATATGAAGATGCTAGCTGCTCGATACTCTTCCTTACCTTAGTCACCTCATCACGAACCTTCGCCATTTGCTTTAGTTTCTTCAGGGTCTCCCATTTCCTCACTTGGAAACCGCGATAGGCAGACTGAATGCGCATAGCAGCTTCTTCATCAGATAGAGTTCTTGAGGCTTCCAACTCCTTACATCTTTTTTCGGTGATTTCATCACCTGCAATTGTAGCTCCCTCGTCCTCTTTAATTTCACAAACCTCCTCCATCTCACTGTGGTCTTTGTTCTCTTTAATCTTTTCTGGATATTCAACCTGCAAACTGCTTTGTAAGTCTCCGTTATTGTTGTTGCTAGGACTAGGAGTTTCCTCCTTCACCTCAATGACTTTCACTTCTTTCCTTTTCGGGTGCTCCTCTGAAGTTCTGTTTATGCTTTGGGCGCGTGACTTTTGTTCGTTACTGTCTGTAGAAGATGCATCACTTGAACTGCGAGATTTTGTTTCAGAACTTGGAGGACTAGGAGATCTTGAACTACCATTGCGGCCTTTCTTCCTCGGCGAGGGATCAACTCTCAGACAAACTGGGGGCAACTTTGATGTTTTCGTCGGGGATGATGATGACTTTCTGGCATCAGATCCAGGGACTCTATCAACGAGGGTATCTATAGCTCTTTTTTTCAAGGCATTTGCTGCTGCTTCTTGAGAGTCTCGCGAGTTATTCTTGCCCACACAAGGTTCTATGTCTTTCACATGAATGTTCTTCTCCGCATCCTGATGGTGTGACCCAACATCATTTTCATAGTTTTCTTGCGGTCCTCCATCTGAAGTTTTATTATGATTGTTATGAATCTGCATCGGGAATACCGTGAAATTGGATTCAGGAGATTCCCGTGTATTGGCTTGTTGGTCCTTCTCAGCCCCTGCCTCCTCTTGTTTATCAAAAGAAGGAATCCAGATGACAGGAAATGGATAGCTACTTTCGTTGTCGCGCACATGCTGATTATGAGATCTTTTCTTTTCTCCTCCTGGTTTTGAATGGTCATGGTCACCCATGAAGAGAGGAAACCAACTATTCCACCCAGGTTCCTTCTGCAATGATGAAAGAGCTGGTTTCTTTTCCTGGGAAGCAGTATCAAGATCTATGATCCTTGGTTTGGCATCGATTCCCTGCTCTTTGTTCCTGTTATTTTCAGGTGGGATCCAAACAATCGGATATGGAAAGTTTCTCCAGTTCGCTGGCACCAAGGACTCTGAATAATTCTCACCCTTCTTGTCTGAATCTAGTGGCACCTGCTCTTCTATCTTGACACCCTTTTCGTTCTTTGGGTCACATACATGATTAGGGCATCCACAGCAATGGTGTTGTCGAACCACATATGGTCGTTCCAATGGATAAGCTGGTGGGTAGGGCAGTTCATAATGACTAGCAAAGGGTTCGGCATTCCCAGGATAAGGTCCCCAACCATGAAACGGTGGTGGCTGGAAAAAAGTGAGGGTAGGGTGGTCTGTGATAGTAGCTGGGAGTTGCCGTGTGGTTATAGCAAGCATGGCATGGCGCAGGATAGCTGCAATTACCGGCATAAGGGTATGGCAAGGGCTCACGTGGAACAGGAAATACGGTCGGGTTGATCCCCAGTTGAGGTGGAATCTCATCTGGCATTGCCTGTTGATGTTGCCTGCAAGGCGTTATGTAGCTCTGACGGGGATGAGAATCCGTGTATCCATAAGCAGGTGACATCTTGAGTGGAAATTTATGCATTTCTCACTCGGAAGTCACCGATATCGAATTTTTATTCTGTGCAATGAAGAATAAAACCCATCAGAAAAATAACATATATTGCCGAAGTAAAAGGAAAAGAAGATGTCAAAAATTGATCATGGACAAGCAGAACAAAGCAAGATAGCGCTGCTAGTAGTAACACCTGTCCTACGTAATGTTCCAGCAGAATCGTTCGAACCAGTAAAAGGTAATGCATACATACACAGTATTTAAAGCAGCACATCATCATCCTACAATTCTATGGAGCCAAGTTTAGCTGGAGAAGCAGACATGCCTTACAACCAAGATGGAAAATGGCAATTTTGCATGCCTCTTCTTCGAACGACGTATCTAATAACAAATGATCACCTCCAAAATTACTATTGAACAGTTTTCCAAGTAATATAGGTTGAAAGAGCTGCAGAAATTATCGGACACGAAACAGGAATGAGAGAAAGGCACCGGCGTATAATACTTCGCCATAACCTTAAACTTCAGAAGACTAAAAAAAATTGATGGAAAGCAGAAATCAGTTAGAAGGGACTCTTTTCCGCATAATTCTGAGTGTCCTACGAGATGGTCCGCAGAAATGCTTGGACAACAAAGGGAAGGTCATCGTGCCCTCAACATTTACCAATGCCTTTACCAAGAGCACGGACAATCACGAGATCCCACGGAGTACCTGGTGCCACGTGATACTCGATTCTTACTAATTCTGCTAGCCAACAACATGCTCTAATTCGACTAGATCACTTCACCGGCGATAGCGACAATAATAAAGAACATCCAAGCGGATGCTGCAGTCCCCCCAACGATGACCAGTTCCTGCTTTCGACTCTGTCGTAACCACGAGACAAAGACCGAATTCACAGGACAACATTCCTAAAAAGAAAATCACCATCAGATGGACTTCGCAATACACAGCGACGGCGTACGACACATATCCAGTCCTCCTCCGGCGAGAGGACACGCGAAAACGGGAAGCAGGGGAGCGAAGAGGAAGAGAAGAGGAAACCGCAAACTTACAGCTTGAGAAGGAGTCGTAAAAAGCGGGAAACGAAGACTGAAGGCTTGATCGTAAGTTGCGAAGATCCACCGGGCACAGGTCGGTCCACCCACCCAGACGACGACGGATCGTTGTTTTTCTCTGCCTCTCTCTCTCTCTTTCCTTTTTCGAGCTTTTTTCTCTTGCAGTTCAGATCGAGTTACGAAGTCGCGCTTCGGGTTGCTCGGCTTCGAGAGACCTCCTCTGCTTTATATGGAAGGAACCAGCGACGACGATGGAAGAAGGAAGAACGAAGAACAGAGTTACAGAGTAAGTAGACAAATCGAGATGTTTCGCGCCCTTTCTTCTTCCGGTCCAGTCTGGAGAAGCGTCTGGACATTTCCTGCGCCAGGTGGATCTTCTCTCGACACGTGTGCCAATGGTTGTTGACCTTTCACCCAAGCTTAGCTTCTTGCTCCTTCCGTGGGCCCCGGATAATATGGGCTCCATTCCATTCCATTTAGTGCCCTCATACGATTAAAGAAGTGATTAGACTTTTTTTTTTTTCCCTGCAAGTCTGAAAAATTCTTAGCGGTCCAATTTTCCACCTCCGCCGTTTCCAATTCGCGTATTGCCCATTTCTGGTGTGCCTGTGAAAGGTTAAGACTGCGTTCAATTCGGCTCTTGAGGAAAATCTTTGGGAAATATAAAAAAAAAACTTTAGGTTAAAGGGTATTTTCGAAATGAGTGTAATTTAGAGCATTGGGATACAATTTTGATTAAAATGTTCTTGGAAACAAACTACAACTTATAAAGTACTTTACCTATCTTTTTCTTTTTCTAAAAAAAAAATCCTCAAACCCTTTACCGAACTCTAGTGGAGAACTTAGGCTGCCGGCGTCTAAGGTTGCATGACCTTAGGTGAGGATCGCACAGCCTCAACTTTGAGGTCACTAGGGTCATGCGATGCTCGCCTGAGGTTCGCGATTTTAGAGGCAGTCGTTGCCCTTCGAACAAGACTCACCGGCAACGTAGGTAAAAATGGAATTTCAAAAGCTATAGCGTGGGCAAAGCAGAAAGAAAAAAATTGAATTAGCATTTCGGAAAATGCTCAAAATCCAAAACTGGGTTGGCCTTGCATTCTTTGAAAATGCAATGCATCTCTAAAAAGTTCTCTAAAAAAAATTGTTCCTTTTGTCCAAGGCCCTTTAAAGCCTGAAAACCAGAGCCTAAAAGCCCATTTGCAAAGTTCAACTAAACGCAACCCAAAAGATCGCTAGACAGTTGCTAATTGATTATATATGAAATTGGTTCTGGATTCTTTGGGAGTGGAGCGAAAACTGCATATGAACCAGGGAGATGAATAATTGGGCGAGAAATTACCAACCCTTCACAAACTGGGTTATCACAGGGGGGTCGAAACCCAGCCTAACAGGAATGGGGAAAAAGATGAAGCCGTTGTGGTGACTAAAATGATCAATCAATTGCCTAAGAGCGAGTACAAACAGCATACAATGGGTATTTCCAGAGATAAAAGAATATCGCATCAGTATCCAAAAGGAATGAACAGAATGAAGACCGTACATTCAAGCCAAACATCACCCCTTATTAACAAGCTCACTGTAAAGTGCTTGGATCAAGATCCTAGAGGGGTACATATCATCTAAAGACTACTCCAATACCAGAGGATAATTGCATAGAAAGAAGAAACTTTACAACGACTTGACCACAAGACGAGAATGGTGACGGCCAGTGTCTATGTTTATTTGGAATTCATGATACAGCACTAGCCTTCATCTTAGGCGTCTTTGTTTTGACAAAGAAGGCCGATAGCATGCTTTTGCTGCGAGCAGGGGCACGAACAATCTCCCGCCGATTTGGATTATCGAATGACCTGAATGTTGACAATGGTTTGGTGCCCTCCCAAGAATCCTGAAAGAGAACAGAGTCTTCTGTGAGTAAATTTGATGCTTTGAACAATTCTTCAAAATCCCAATGTACCGTGGTGGCAGCAGAAGAGCTCCACAAGATGACCTTTCGTACATCATCACTCACCACCTCATAGATGAGAGGTAAAACAATTCACACCAGTCAACATATCTACCAGAGACAGACTACAGCGTAACCTACTAAACAGACCCAGGAATATCTTCAATCTTGTAAAGTAACAAATTACCCTGTGTGCAGCACCGATTGATGGCGGGACTGCACCATAAGTAGGACCTCCTGTTAGAACTTGCAGATGACCCGCCGAGAATCTTGTCAGAGCATTCTCGCCATTATCTACACAGATGACAAAATGAACACAATGGGAGATCCTTCTTGTGCGCAGTAACAATGTCAGGATGAAATCACAAAAAGCTTGATAGAAGAAAAATAGCAACACAGGACACACCGAGCAGATGAAAGACTTCGGGCTTTTTTACATAATCTTCAGTGCTGCAAATGAAGCAGAAATTAAGCACCGTCCTGTTCTTAAGCAAGAGAATTAGTAAAGCACAAGCTGACTAATTACCTTGCTGAAGCATTTTGAGTTCCTTTCAACGAGGACTTTGTTTCTGACGCTAAATGCCAAGAAAGTGTTTTTGCAGCAGGGGTACCTAGGATAAAAATGATCCAGCTTCATGTTGGAAAAGAAAAGTAGTGCAAAATCGTACAAGATTAAAGTAAATAGCTAAAGTGCAACACTGTAAGGTCCACATACCTGAAGGCTGAAGACGAGATCTAGGTTGAAAATGATTTTGTCTGACATCTTTCTGAATTTGTGGACTGAAATGCACTTTCTTATTGACAGAATCTAGCTCATTTGGAATACGAAAAAGTTAAACATTGTACAAAGATCGAGAGTATGCGATTAAGATAAGCTAACAGAAGAGACACAAAATTAACAAATTTCTCATAATCCAGGTCAGCACCTCAGGATTGTAAACAGTCTTACTTGGTAACATGTAGTGCTTGTGATGTCGGGGAATAATCGCCAACAACTGCTGCTGCCGGAGGCCTTCCTTATCCGTGTATGTTTGGCATGTAAGAAGTTGCTGAGGTGTACAAAAAGATCAATTACATCTCTATCATGTAGTCAGTCGCACATGATTGTACTGTTGATCTAACGGTAGAAATAGTTTACCTGATCAAAACTAGTGACCTTTAGCTCCATGACTGTGATATCCAAAGATTGCTGCTCAATAAGGTCAGTTAATTTATAAGCCACTGTTCCAAGGTGATCGACAGCATTGACCAGGGCTCGTACAGCATAATCTTTCAGGTTGTCCAATACCCTAAGTTCACCAGTGAGCCAAATTTCATAGATTAACCAACGAGCTTAATTGTGGATAAGACATTGAGAAAACAAAGACAAGCACAGCAGTCCAGAAGTTAGCTCGAGAATCCATGTTCAACAAAACTATAGATATGGCTGTCAAATCATCAGGAGGTTGTGTCCTGTGATGTAGATCGAGACAAGAACATCAAATGCAAGAATCTACTCTAACGTTGTAAACGGAGAATAGTAGTTTTCAAATTATTTTGCAAGAATCTACTCTAAAGTTGTGTCCTCCGGCAAAGTTGGTCGATGGAGCACTTTCTAGATCTCCAATCTCATCAAATTAAAAAACAATCTTTAGGAAACGACATTATTAAAATAAGAACAGAATGAAGATCACCTTCCTAAAATTTACCAACAACACAAAATAAAAGACCACCATTCTTTCTAAGTGAGACTCACCACTCCATGTTTTACATATCATAAATGATCATTTCGAGAGCCATTAGCCAAAAAAAAGTTCTTAACTTCCTGAATGACAAAACTGAAATCTGACATACAGACCCCAAACATTCCAGCTCCATGAACCAGGTCTTTTTACATGGACTGACACTACATTACAATATAACCACGACCACTTGACATGACCCACAACCAAATAGATACGTCTTTCTATAGATAGCAAGATAAGCACTATATTATCTTGAACAATGAAATGGGCAAAAGTGCAAGAAGAACGCTTCTGCGGTAAGATGAAAGCATAATAGGTATCATGTCGTAAACAAGTTATTCGTATCTAACATTTCAAGTCTTTCAGCCTTGCAACATCAAATCTGCATGTTCCCAATGAATTGGAGAACAGCAGCACTTCCTTATCTAAGAAACACAGGAATAGGTGAGGTTCAGTCGCCATCCATCCGAGTTCGGGACTGCTTAGGGTCATCATCTAAAGGCACCACCGCAAGCAAATCATCAGCTGTTCGGATTCTACACTTTCAACCAGATAGACCGTCTGGCCGTCGGCCATACACCGACAGGTTCCAAGAAGTCAATCACAAAACGCCTCAATTGCCACTACTAATACTAACAGGCGTAATAACGGTGCGACGATGAGATCGTACATTTGTTTTTGCTCGCTATTGAGATACGACTTCTCGCAGTACTCCGCAGCCGAATAGAGCTGAGGCCTCAAATTCTTCAACTCCTGCGACACAGCACCAACACGGATACAAGCCTCGATTAATCACTCCCGACAAAATCAACAACTGGCAATCAAACTCTCAGCGATTGCGCACAAAGCTGTAAAGTCAACCGGCGACCAAAACCTCTCGAAACAGATCGAGCTCGAGCACCAAAACAAGCAACGGATCCCTCAATCCTCAGCATCCTCGCGGAAAGCAACCGCAACAAGTAAGGATTCGAACGAGAGAGAGAGAGAAGGAAACCAACCTGCAAGGCCTTGACGAAGCTCTTGCTCCGCTCCATGGAGACCTCGTCGAAGGTCATGGCCGGATTCTCCGACCTCGGCCGCTCCGTTTCCATGGCGGCCGCCGCCCCCCCCCCCACCCACACTAGACCGAGCTCAGCCTCGAAGCAGGGCGCATCGGGATCGCCGCGAAACCCTAGCGCGAACCCCCGGGAAGGATCCTCTGACAATGCCCGGGGGAGGCGGATTGGAGGAGGAGGAGGAGGAGGAGGCGGGCGAGATTCCGGAGTCTCCTTTGGTGAGATGGCTACACCAACAAGAACCAAAACCAAAAACAAATTCTCACGGTAGAGAGAGAGGGAGAGGGGATAGAGTGAGAGAGAAGCAAGGATGCAAGGAGTGCGATTTGGAGTGAATGGCAAGGGAAAATGACGCAGCCACAGAGAGCGAGCGTTTAAGAGAGAGAGAGAGAGAGAGAGAGAGAGAGAGAAGCTGTTTTATATTTGGTGTGTGGGTGGGTGTGTGTGGGCGTTCGCGGTAGTTGGCATTTGCACAGTGCACGGGCTTCTCTCCCCAAGCGACCGGGGCGGTGGTTGTCCCCAGCAAATATATTACAAAAGGAAGCGGAAAAGTCAGAACTGCCCCTACTGTCAGGGACTGTGTCGGGTCCGCGGGGTGGGGGGGGGGGCTTTTTCGGGACGTAGAAAATGACAAAGCAGACGGTCCTGAGCTATGTAGTCCCTGACGGTCCCTGAACTATTGATTTAGCTAATCTGAATTTTTGGTACATATTTAATTTATTTACCGAACTATATAGTTCTTTCATTAGTTCAGATTGAAGGAGCACATTGAACATATATCAAAGTCCAAGGACCACATTGATTAAATTAAAAATTCAGAGACCACATTGAACATTAGCTAAAATTCAGGAACTACACTATAATTCGGTCAAAATTTAAGGACTGCTTGTGTCGTTATCCCTTTCAAAACATTTACCAGCACTTGGGTGCACTTAGAAAATGATGGGTGAGCCCCCCGGGGGAGGGGGTGGACGTTCGTGGCCCGTTTCGTAATTGTGGGCCGAGCGGGGGGGCCCATGATCAGCTTAATCACGACAAGGAAACGGGGTCCATGATTTTTTTTCTGGGCTTTACCGCAAAAAATTGCGATGGCTCATTGGACAGCGGACCGCATTGATGCCCATCATCTGCACCCATGTATTAATTAAGGCACTAATGAGTCCCCAACGATGAGTTAACGTAATTTAATACGATCACGTGGCCAACAACCCTCTTCTTCTCTTTTTTTCTTAATTAATGTACCATGATACGTTTTAACAGATTATATTAAGGGCACATTAAATGGCTGTACTTGTAAGTACCAAGGAAGAAACTTTTTCTCACCGCACGACCCTCTCTAATAAAGAGTAACGTCTTTGACCGATTTCGGACGTGGGTCGTATATTTCTCTCGTCAAAAGTGATAAAAAAAAATTTAGGATTATTGACCTAAAAAAATTTCAGACTGATACAATTATGATAAATTTACAACAAATTAATTTTTTGTAAACGAAAAACCCTCAGTTTCAGTTAAATTATACTGTTAAATTACCGAGTTTGATGATATGTGACAATTAACAAGTAAACTAATTTATAATTTTATCCTTCATTTGTCACAGACTTACCGATTTAGAGTTTTTTATGATATTTATTCAATTTAACGGAAACTAATAAAAAGTAAATTTATCACAAATGAATTCGTTTAAAATTTTTAGTGGTCGAAAAATTAATTTAAACTACAGACGTATCAATTTAAATTTTTTTATAATTAAAAATTTAATTTTAAAAAAATTTATCATCAATATATTAATTTAAAAAAATTTCGTGATATTAACCTAAAATTCAATTCGAATTTCATTCTGCCTTCGAGGTCACATCGACGGTGGCCGGCATTAATTTAGTCCCGGTGGAAAAGGAGTCACGACCCGATATTTATCAGGTTGCAGAGCAAAAACTAAAAGTCGCGGGGGCCCCACCTCCTGAAGACAAATGGGTGGGCGGGCGTGAAAGCGAAAGGTGGGGTGGGGGGCCACATTCGATGGCCGCATCATGTGCTCTGTGCATCGTGCACCACGAATCAATCAAACGATCGAGAGGGATGGCCCATCCCTTTCCACCGTGCAATGCGCATTTGTCCTCCGTTACACGATCGGCCATGGATCGATCCGGAGAGATGCCGAGGACCGTCAGATTGGTCAATTTCGACGACCCCTTCTCCCCCAATCCCAGACATCTCTGTCGCCCTGGTTGCCCTCCCCCCGTCAATTCCCTCGTGAAAAAAATATCAATCGCCAACTGCCTCGAAAGTCCCTCCTCTTCTTCATCGGCTGTGCACGGAGAGAGACCCCGATCGAAAGGCGGAGGTTTCAAATTGAGGCTGACAAATCATTCTCCCTTTGATATTTTCAAAGAGGGGAAACAGACGGAAGAACCTTAGTAGTAACTAATTGATGGACAGATTTGTAGCAACAAAGATGGTGGCGGGGTATATTGATGGGTGGGTTACGGGGGAAAGATTGAAACGGGAGCCATAAGATAGTTTTAGCAAAGAACAAGAATTGCTGGAAGAAACAAACAAATCATATATAGAGAGAGCAGAAGATCAAACATAGAATCAACCTCGCAAGTAAACTCCGGGGATGAATTTTGAATCGATTGGCTTGCGAAAAACGCGAAACTAAAGGCCGGGCGATGAAAATTAATCGAAATGCGCGAAAGCGGTAAATGTGCGGATCGGAGGAGGCGGCCCGCCCATCAGCCGTGGGTGTTGACGGCTTCCCAGACCAAGTTCTTGGGCACGGGGCTGGAGAGGTCGCGCGCCTGCAGGGCGGCGGTCCTCAGGGTCCGGATGGTGGAGACGTTGGCCTCCCAGAAGGACAGGCTCCGGTAGGGCAGGTTGTGCTTCTTGCACAGGTCGCGGGCGAGCGGGGAGATCTTCCGGAGCTGGCAGCGGGGCAGCCTCGGGAACAGGTGGTGCTCCAGCTGGAACTGGAGCCCGCCGTGGAACCAGTCCATCCAGGTCGGGCACGAGATGTCGATGGTGCCGCCCGTCTGCTTCTCGAACCAGTCGTTCCCGTTGGGCGGGCCCATGTAGACGTTGGCGGAGAAGTGGTTGAGGCAGAACTGGATGTGCTGGATGGCGGTGACGCTGAGGCTGGTGACCACGAACATGGCGCGCTCGGGCCAATTGGGCAGGAAGGACACGAGCAGAGGGTACCAGGTCCAGAACACGAGGATGCCCAGGATGTTGAGGGCTCGATCGGGGACTCTCCGCTTGGAGAAGAGGAGCAGGAACGTCTGGATGAACAGGTTGATCCTGCCGAAGCACATGACCGGGTAGAACGTCCAATGCTGGTAGCTCACCAGCAGCCTCGCCGCGAAGTCGAACTTGAGCGTCCGGCCGTAGAAGATGGAGGTGAGGGAGTTGAAGAACCTGGAAGAGACGGCGAAGACGGGGATGTGCTGGAGGTCCGGGTCGTGGTCGAGGCTGTTGCAGGCGAGGTGGTGGGCGTTGTGGGTCCACTTCCACCACGCGATGCTGATCCCGGTGAGGCAGTTGCCGGCCAGGATCTGGGCGACCCGGTTGAAGCCGGTGCTCGTCATCACCTGGTAGTGCCCGGAGTCGTGCCCGACGTACGCGCTCTGGATCCAGAGCAGGCCGAGCAGGACGGCGCAGACGAAGTGGACGGCGGCGCCCTCGCAGGCCGCCACGCCGTACACGCAGAGGGACAGCATGAGGGCGATGGACGCGAGGCAGCACACCGCGACGTGGCCCTTCTTCTCGAACAGCCCCAGCCGGGCGAACTCGGCGTGGAGCCGCCGGTAGTCCTTGGACACCTCGGAGGGGACGAAGTCCCGGACGCGGAGGCCGGTGTAGAGACCCTCCAGGCGCTGCCACGCCGACCCGGGGTGGTACGCCAGGAACGCGTCCGTCACGTCCTGCCCCGCCAGGGTGAGCAGCGGCACCTCCCCGCCCGGGTGCTGCTTCGCCCACTCGCTCACGTCGTACACCTTCCCCTGGATCGAGATCCACAGATCCCCCGGCGAGCTGTGCTTCCGGAGCTCCTCCGACGTAATGTACTTCTTCTCGGCCTCCATGGGCGGCAGGCGGAAAACCCCCGTCCCCTGCTGCTGCTGCTGCTGCTGCTGCTGGTCGTCGGCGTCGGCGGCGGATCTGGCCGAGGAGGTCTGCAAATCGAAATCCGCAGCGAAGAACCCACGAACACCACCGCCGCTCGGAACCGGATCAATTCCCGATCAAATCAAAGAAAAACCCTTCGTCTATTCGGGACGAATTGAAGGGGGGGGTGAGGGAGAGAATCTATCAAATCCCGCACGCTATTCTTATCCGGAGGATCTGGTTGCATCGGCGGACCGCTTCTGTTTTTAGAAGTTGTCGATTTTTTGTGAGGTTCGTATAAGTTTGCGGCTTTAAGGAGAGGCCCCCCGTTTTTTTTTTTCTCTTCTCCTCTTCTGTTTTTTTCCCCTTGGCCCCCTTCGTCGTCAATTTACAGCGAAAGCACGCGGTTTGGTTGCGAGCTCGGTGGGGGTGGTGGTGGTGGTGGAAAAATATCTTTGGCCTCGAAAACAATTTTTTTTTTTTTTATAAAAACTTTGCGGACAGGGGCCCCCCTCCCGACGGCGACCCTCGGAAATGAAATGGCCACGACCGAGGGAGGAAACGGGCCGTCGCCTCTTGCCAGGTCTTTTCCTCCGCCCGCCCCACCCACCCACCCACCTCGGATGCATCGTGTCGACGTGCGGCGGAATGCGCCTTGGAAGACGGCCGAAATTAAAACTCGAATGAACGCCACATGACACGCCCGATTGAGCCCCCCACCTCCCTCCCAAATGGGGAAAAATTATTGTCGCCAGCAGTTCGTTACCCCGGTTTCCATTTCATGTCGCCGATGTTTCTTAGCGGTAACAAGCGGAAGTGTTCCCTTTTCTAAGGTGTAGGTGCAAAAATTGAATTGTCCGAGCACAAGAGGCATTGTATCGACCAGAAAGGGAAGGAGTGTTCCCTACTTGCCTTTAAACGAAATACCCGTTCGAGGTCTCTCGTCCGAGCCCCCGTTCTGGATTTGATCGATTGGCTGGTCCTTGTGTCTCGCGCTTCGCCGTGGAATGAGTTATGACAGAAGGTTATTTAAAGTGAGGAACGCGTTATTATATTTTCCTGGGGGGGGAAAAAGAAATGAATAAGCGGTGATAATTCTAGCACAAGTTTAGGTCACGCGCGAGCGCGCGATGATAGAAAGCGCCGGACCTGAAATCTTGTGAGCATGAGTAGCATCTTGAGTTCCTATGGTCTTTCGCAAGGTATAACTCTTTTGCCGTAACTAAATATGACGAGCTTTTAATGATCAATCCACGTTTGCTATCGCTCGTTGTTATTTTGAGTCGACTCAGATTTATAATCCTAAATTTACATTATCACCTAAGTTTTAATTGAAAACCACTAGCGTATATACGTGAAATCTTGGAGTTTTGAATTTGACTATCCGATTATATTTGAGATAGTGTTAGCACTTTCACGACATTCTTTCGACATCATCATAGTTTTATTTAGGTAAGTTTTAAATTCATCATCTTTTGATTTTCTGAGCACGATTAATTGTATTAATGATTCTAAATTTTCGAAGATAGATGTCTACGTATTAAGATCTTAAAATCACTTCGAGATTATTACTATATTTTCAACAGTTAAATATACTGTGGTAATAGTAAAAGAGTTTTTCGATTATATTTAAATTTAAAATAAAAATATTTAAAAGGTGATTAAGGGAGTGACACGTGTCCTCACCAAAACCCTCTAGAAGATCATCATGTGAGCGGATACAATTGGTGCACCAATTAAACTCAAGTTATATGCTTGATAGCTAATCTGAATATTAATTTTTTTCCCCTTTTTCACAAACATGGACTTTCGATGACATTTAATTCAAATCCATATCACAAATTTGATTTGTATCCATTGGCTCCATGTAATTTCAATCTGAACATAATTAAGATAAATTTTGAACTGCAAAACAGATATTGGGTTCGAGCTGAGCTATGTTTTCCACACGGCGCATATGCTCCGTAATCACAAATACACCGTATATGGTATTTTTTTACATTAATTAAGGGTATAACCCAGCTAAAAATATAGACTTTATTACGTGTATATTTAAGATAAATAATATACGTAATCGGGGGTATGCTATATAGGTTACTTATACTAGTTGATTAAAGAAAAAAAAGAAAAGAATAGATAAAACCAGGTTAGAGCATAAATAGGCAAAATTAGTAGAGTAGAAATACAAACGAAAAATGCGAATGGGATTTCAATAACAGTATATGATATGGGTTTTGTTAAATACAAGATTCCAATAGGTATATGACCGTTATACTATCGTATTTCTAGTCATGTGCGAAGTCGTGTACATCGATATATATATATATATTAGTATTTGAAAAAAAGTAGTATCTTGAAAAGGAGCGAACAAATTAAAAAAAAAAAAGGTAAAAAAGAAGAAGAAAGAACCAAAATAAAACTAGATAAAATATGCATCAATGAACAAAAAAGCTAAAGGGTTAATACAATGAAAAACCTCAAACTGGTGCACCTGTGACAATTTTATCCAAAACTATTTTTTTTTACCACAAAAAACCCCAAACTGGTACACCTGTGACAAATTTACCCTCCGTTAGTTTCCGTTAAATTGAATTAATACCACAAAAAATCACAAACCGGTATACCTGTGACAATTGAAGGGTAAAACGTAAAACCGGTACATCAGTTAACTGTCGCATGCCATTTAACAAAGCAATTTGACAGTAAAATTTAACGGAAACAAACTGAGGGTAAATTTATCACAAGTGTACCAGTTTGGGGTTTATGGTGGTCAAAAAAATAGTTTGGGGTAAAATTATCACAGGTATACCGGTTTTGAGTTTTTCGTGGTATTAACCAAAAGAAGGGCAAAAGGGAGAGAGACGAATGGGAGTAAGAAAATGAAAAATGCTAAAGTGAGACTTTGTCAAAGCCAAGAGGCTAAAACATGGGGAAAGACCAAAGAAGAAGAAGAAGAAGAAGCAGCAAAGGAGAAAGAGTGTGGGAGTGGGTGAGGGGAGGAAACTGCCCGCCACTTTCCTAAATACTTCGCAGATCGCAAAGGGACGAAACTTTAATCCAACGATAAATGTGCAAAGACGACCTTTCCGTTGTCGCCCAATAATATCTTCGGTTGATAAAATAACAATTCGGAATTATTCGGAAAATTTAAAAATCAGCCGTAAAACAAAGTGGTTGGATGAAACCACGTGGATGAGCTGCTTTCTTATGGAGGAACATGATTAAAAAAAAATGATAAATTCCATATAATTGTGTATATGTCTACATTAGTGATTCCTAGTACCTTCGTTTGTAAGGATTTGGTGATTTCCAGGTCTCTAATTCGTGTCTGTTCTGTGTGTAAGCTAAGATGGTACCAATCTAAATCATAGCTGGAACCAAGAGAGAGGGGGAAAAAATTTGCCCAAAAAGCCCTGAACCGGTTATACTTTTGCCAATTCAGTCTCAAACCTTTCGATTTTGCCAATTGAGTTCTGAACCTTTTCAATTTTTGCCAATTGAGTCCATCCGGCCAATTTTGGCAGGAAATCGTTAATGTAGACGCCGGCCGGCCGGCCATCCCACGTGGCACGGATGGCTTTGACGTGGGCAAAAGTACAATAGTTTTAGGATTTTTTGGACAATTTTCCCGAGCAAGAGGTGACCGTTCCGTGTTCCTAATCCGAACTTGCCCAGCTGAGCCTCGTAGGTCCAAAATTGTCAATTTTCTCTGTTTGGTACGAGAATGTCTGCATATTCTCGCGCAACTACCATGCATTGCTTTCGCGGGCAAAATGGTAATTGCCACGTAAGAAATGCCTATTCCTTTGAAGGTCCCAAACTTTCTTGGTATTCCCTATCTTCCTCATCTCCATACAACTCTTTCGAATTTCGAATTCTCTTATCGGGTCGATTGGAGATTTCGTGGTGGCTTTCTTTTTCGAATTCTTACCGAATAGGTCGATCGACTTTTTAGGGTTCGCTTGGTCCGCCAATTTCAAATCGTGGGGAAAGGGAATCCCGTTCCAAGTGATCGAATTTTCCAGAGCATGACTCCTTCCGCGTTGTTTGGATCATCTGTCGAACGAAACAGAAAGGCCGCACCAACGTCGAGTGCATCACCGAAATAGCTCTATGATCGCGACGCGCGCGCACGTACCGAATAAATGCGTGAAGACTGGGCAGAGGACCCACTCCATCACTCGCGACCTCGCAGATAGGCGGTCCGAGGCGGGAAGAACTCTTGAGCATAAGAGCTTCACCAAAGGAACCAACAGCACGACAGCCTCCCAAACGGCCAAAGTCCCTTTCGCCGCCTATCCGGATCCTTTGGTTTCTAACGCAAAACGATCGGCGATCGCAACAGCTCCCTCGTCACAAGACGGAGAGGATCTTCGTAGGATTCCCAAGAAATTCTCGGACGACATGTAGCTGTCACTTTCTTTCAAAATAATAATAAAAAATAAAAAAAACAGCAAGTAGCAAGTCAAAGTTCAGCGATTAACACTATACTTTAAACAACTAGGTACCCGTTAGCATGCATGCTGTCGGGTTTCGTGCTCGGGACATCGTTTTCCTCGCTCGACACCTTTAGAGAACTTTGTCGTGGTACACATTTTGGAAAACGGACAATCAAGAAAAGCTCTAGTTATTATCTTCCAGAGGGTCTTGTCTCCCCACCAAGCACTAGCACTAGCACCACCACCACTACTAGCAGTAATGGAATATCATTAGCGACCAAACATGAGGCGAGCGTTCCGTTCCGGAACGATCCCATTCCCGGTTGATACTTACAGCAACCGAGCAAAGGGAATTTCCCCTCCTTTCTCTCGGAATAGGATTCCTGTTCCTCCGCGTTGTCCCTCGTTTTTGACCATTCGAATGGCTTCGTGTGCGAGAGTGTTTTCGTGGGGGGCGGGGGGGCTCTGAGGTATCTTTCACGTGCCTCGCTTTTGTCGTTGCTGTTTTGTTCGGAAGCGATTGTCTGCAGATGACCGTGCTAGCAGACTTTTTGAGTAAAAACACAGGAAGCGTCTCGCTTTCATTCAGCCGTTGTTGCTGTTCTGCCTTTTGTTCGAGCCGTCTCGATCGGAGTATAGGACTGTAATCGATATCTAGCTCTTGCTATTTCGTCGGATTTATTTGTCGAGTTTACCGGAAAAAGAAGTCTTGCAATGTAGAACTGGCATTTGGTAACATGAGCTGTGCTAGGTGTGCTAATCAAGACCGACTCACTAGATTGATTCACTAGTTCGAGAAGTAACGTAACTATGTGTCTCTATACACTTTCAAGCATATTACTTGACAGCCTAATGCTATCCAGTTTGAACGTCATAATACTTCGACCGGAGCATCACGCCTCCATACCTTGCCGAGCCTTAAATCGCCGGGAGTACTTTCGAGATAAGATCTCCAGTGGGAATGAATCCGCTGCCCGCTAGGGGTGAGCAACTTGGACTGCCTAAATCGGGATCGGACCGGACCGCACCGGACCGACGGATTTGGTCTGGTTCTCGAGACTATCAGTTCGGTTCCCGATTTCTAAAAGCGGAACTGGTTTCCAGGCGGTCCAGATCCCGATTCCAGGGGGGAACCGGACCGACCGGACCAGATCGACTATTTAATATATATTTTTGTTATTTTTTTCTTTAAAAAAATTAATAAAATGTGAACTAAACTCTAAGTGAACTTCATTATCATAAATTCATTGATAAAAATTAGTAAAATGTGAATTAAACCCTAAGCGAACTTCATTGACATAAATTCATTGACAAAAATTTGTAAAATGTGAACCAAACATTAAGTGTTTAACCAAAAAAAAAAAACTAAACTCTAAATGACCGGTTCCATTGGACCGAACCGGAACCGGACCGGACCGGCGGTCTAGTCCAGTTCCCGGTCCTAGAACCAACCGGTCCGATCCGGTCCGCGGTTCCCAAAATTGGGAACCGGACCGGATCAGGAACCGATCACCCCTACTGCCTGCTACATCGGGGAGCCACTCGCAATCCCAAGAAAATTTTAATAGCCGGGACGCTCGAAGTCCATTATTTCCAAGCATCAGCTAAATTCATGATTTTCCCCGGGGTGTATTGGCATGGGGCATTGTTGTAGAACTGGACCCAAACATAATTGAACAAACCCGTCTCGAGGCGCCTCCGACACAGGCATCGGGGCAAGGGTATTGAGGGGCCGCGGCCAAGTGAACTTTCATTCCTTCCTCGATGTACGAGGACATGTACCACGCAAGATCATCCCAGTGTTGATTCGTCCCACCTTCTATATCGAAATCGACACCACTAGGACCGTGTCTCCAAATGGGCGAGAGGAGGAGTGGCCTCCAAGAAAGTTGTTCCAAGAAATAAGTCGCACCCTGCCTGGCATCCTCATTAGAGGCAAGGTAATAGCTCCCCGCGCCTCCTCCAATCGAGAGAATCACCTGGACGCCTTTACTTCGACAGGACTTGATTTCGGACCTCGAACCCGCGCGCCCATTACTGTAAGGATGGCAATGGCCCACTAGGTTGACCACCGTAGTCTGGCCATTGCCAAGGACAGGAAGGAATGCTATGTTAACGAAGTCATACTTTCCTGGTGGCGGCGCAAGTCCCGGCCAAAGTACCTTCAATTCCGTTTTAGCGCCAAATGGATGGCAATCTCCCCGGCACTAGTACTGACTCTCGGACAATGAGAAACATACACGAGAGTAGGGACAAGTTCATTGCCGATCTGAGAACCATTTTCTTCACGGGCTAGTTTTGCATTTTCCCTGCAAAGAACAAGAATGCTCCAAATGGCCTTTGCTTTGCTTTCTTCTTGGCGCTTGAGGAGCCAATATGACGGACAAATACACACGCGTGAGCATAGAAACTTCGACAAATTATTTTGGGGTCATTCACCACGTTTGCTTTGCTTTCACGTTCCGCATAATGTTCAGAAAGCAAGGCAAAGCAACTAAAGCCGTACACAGAGCCATTCTGTCAAAAGCATGCTCTATCATGTTTGCAACATGTCTACTTTTTCTTGAGACAAAAAAACACAGAGAAATTCTTGCGTGTGTATGCAACTAGCTTTTGGAGTTCGCAACGGCAAATAAGCACTGTGGTGCATTCTTATTATTCACATTGATGTCACAAAAATTTGGGCGAACAATCTTGTATTCAAACGAATCGCAACAGGGTGGTATGACAAAAGTAGCACAGACTGCACAGCAGAATTTCCTATACTTGGTTAATTACATGATGCGGCATTAATTATCTGGGAAAAGGTCTAGAAGTCCATGATGTACTATCCGAGTTGTATAGAGGAACTGTGGAGAACTCGGACCCGTAGCGTTCGGGTGGTCGTGTATTCCCCTGAAATTGCTGGGGACTGGAACCTTGGCTCATGGATGGACTAAATCTTGAGAAACTGGGTGGGGCTCCAGCTGCTGCGGATGATCTGCTATCTGATGAAGGTGGAGTAGTGCCAACTGCGTCTGGACTTTTTCCACTTGTATCAACTGCAGATTCGGCTGTTGATCCGTCGCGGTCCCTTCTCTCCCTTTCATCGGTTTCTTTGAGAAGAAAATCAACCCAAAGATCGGAAATGGACTGAAAAGGAATGCCGGAAATAGCATTAGGTTGATACTTTACCCACTTAAAATGGTTTTGTGAAGAAAAATGAGATGAATAAATCAACACCCTTCAGGGGGAAAGAAGACTCTCTGCATTTTTTGGGCGCACTGAACATTAAGGAATGAGGCGCGAGTTATCTAGGACCCAAGAACTAAAGGACTGACTGATGGCACCAGAGATGCATCAGTAAAGCATTGATGGAAACTAAATCAGCCCGGCAATTCAGGCGGCGAGGCAGATAGCTAGAAACAAGATGGAAACCAATTCATTCGGTGGAAAAACTCTTTCAGAAAAGGGAACAAATGCAAGTTTTAGATGCGAATGTGGCAATCTCGTACATGCAAAGAGAAAGTGTTTTTAGATCAGAACCAGATCTGCTAATTCGACTGGTTGAACTGAGAACCAAACCAGTCCCAAGTATGACCATGCTCAACGGGTAAACCGGTCTGGTCAATCAAGTATTAACTCTTAATCAGTTTTTGGAATGATGAGTAATTGAATTACTCCACATGCTTATCTACGGGTTTTGTTTTGGCCATAAATACATACAATCTCTCCTCACTTAATAGTTTAAAGTTTTTGTATAGGAAATTCTAAAGAGAGAGAGAGAGAGAGAGCGCAAGGCTTTTATTTACCCAGCGTGATTTTAAATCTCAAAAGTGAAAAACTAACCTGGTTGTCAGATGCCATATTAGCATGTGCTTCAACCGAACTTCCTCCCAAGATACCACCTACTAGACGGCCAGGAATACCCAGGACACCCCGAACAACACCTTTACCGGCACCTTGTTGTGCAACACCAATCCTCTGTTTGTCTTCATCTGAAAATCCTAGCATGCGTACCATAAGATCCAGAACCTGAAAATCTCCAGAGAAGGTGACTAAATAAATCAATCAAAAGGTATCAATTGAGAAATCATATGTATGATGCAGCAACTCTGTGCAGCAGGATGGAGCTAGCAATACCCAGCTTCAAATTTTCCGGACTTAGTTCACTCTAATTAGTGAGCATTGCTCTCAGCATATTACAAGTCCCCCGGATACTTAACCTGACCTTTCTCAAGGTACTGCATATGAAGTGCAAAATCACGGAACATGTGTAAAGGAGTCATCTTACCTCTTTGTTGTGATTCCTCTGGAAATAAGTCACAAGCAATTTGATCACAATACGCCTGCAGATGTCACCCACATCATTAGAAACAGCAGATGACAACAACTAAGTACTATTCAAAGTTCAAAGAGATAGCAAGTCATCAAATATTTAGCTTTCTCCACGCAAAGGATTTCAATGCAGATTATTCATAGAATACCAACATCAAATTATTCATCTGGCCTAGATACTAATCAACACAAAGGCATCTGCTTTGGCAATCGGATTTACGAGCATTGGAATATTGACACATTAATGAAGGCATGCATGACCCTTCTTTTCTAGCAGAAATATTGAACTTAAAGACAAACTCCGATTAAATGCATAAAGAGTAAAGTCTCAATAAGCCTCTCCTGAATTCTCCTGAATTTTCCTCTGCTGCTGACCCAAAAAAAAAAAAACAAAGAAACAAGAGCCATCCACTATAAAGCACGATTAACTCGTGTTAGCCAGCAGAGTCAAACAAAGAAATGTCCCAATTTCAGCAGCAGATACTTAAAATGAGTAAAACTATCAGAGAAACAAAACACAAAGTTCAACAACATAATCACAGCCAGCCAACCTGTCAACTAGATAATCTGAGTCCATGGACATTCTATTAAGTTGGGTCATGCTCTGCTCAAGTGCACGCCGCAGTTTTGCGTTATCTTCCTCAAGTTTGTTCACTCTGTTATTCCCTTCAATCAGCGCCCTTTCAACTTGAGAGAGTTTGTCCAAAATATCTTCCTTCTCCCTTCTGGACACCTCTGCAGATTTGTGTGCATTCTGTAACAAGTGCGCTAATTAGTAGACTCATTTTAGCAAATAAGTAACTAATGGAGTACGAGTATAAACCCTGTACCAGACAACAAGCACAAGCATTTCAAAATTATTTCGGGATATGTACGAAGGCCCGTATAACTTGCTCGATAAGAAAGTTCACTTGTCACCCAAAGTTAACATTTACTTTAATTGAGAACATTAATTTTCATGAAATTTCACCATTTCCTATCAAAAACTGCAAGGACATGGAAGTAAGAACATCATGCAGGAAGGGACTTCTGTACTTTTGGAGGCTTTCAAACATGCAGTCTTTATAAGAAGTAACAAGTGCATAAACTGTGATTGTTGTTACGAGAAAGGCTGTGCAAATAAAAGAAAATGGAAGTTTGTATGTAAGATCAATCTTAATGATGAAAGGGAGAGAGAAATTACATCCAAAAGCTCCGAGAATCTTGCACATTCTTCTCTTGCCAAAGCCAGATCTCTTGCTAAACGTTCCTAAGTAGAAAAAAGGATAGAAAACAGTAATATGAAGATTAAGAACCCTATTTCTGAAGCACAAAAACCTGATATTTTCATAATGTTGCCGCATTTCATTTACCTTTGCTTCAATTTCCGCATAATACTGACCGAGGGCAGTCTGAAGATTCAGCAGCTCCATGTTCTTGCCATCTACAATGCTCATATAATTTGCAATTTTTTTGTTCAGGTCTTCAATGATCTCCTTCTGCTTTTGAGTTTCATTGCTACTATTCATCCGTAACTCATCCTGATTTGCTATTGCTTGGTTGAGAGCTTTCTCAAGGCGTATAATCTGAGTTTTCAGAGTTGCATTGGTTTCTCGCAATTCTTCAATTACCTTTCTGTCCTCATCCATCTTTTCTGATTCTTCAGATTCCTATAAGAATTGCAGCAAGAAAAATTATCTCAATTTTGACTGCAGAAATCGAAAATTATATGCACTGATAATGTAATGAGCCATATTCACTAAGTCTAGCAGAAGCAGCAATGAGATGTGATTCTTAGAGCAGGTTAACCATTCCCATCCGTGCAGACAGGTTGCTGAAGGACTTATGGGCATGATGAACCTTAGCCAACATTAAAGCAAAAGGGAAAGAAAAGGAATCTTTGTGCACAAAAATAGATATGAACATGGAACTCTGAGTCATATTTAAAGAACTAATTATATTCACTTAATCACACTGGTGGAGAGTGAAGTAAAGTTCAGACAATGACTGATGTGCACACTTCTGCAACATTTACAATAATGATTGGACCGGGGAGAACTGTAGAAAAAAGAGAAATGATACTCGACATTGATGAACCATCACACTAAAGCTAAATTTAAGCACAAAAAAAAAAAAGCCACATATAGATAAACTGGAAAACCGAGGCAATGAATCTTAGATATTACAAGATACCCTTCACAATTTAAAAATATTGGTTGTTCATAGTTAAAGAAGCTCAATTGAGAAGAAATGACCTTATGGTTAAAGGGCAACTTTTGAGGGCATAGAGAAGGCCTAAGAATAAAAAATCGTAAATTCTAATGAGAGAACCTCAAATTTATTGGATCTTCAAGAGGACACAACACTTAATAGGAAATGATGAAGTAGATGCATGTATGTGATCAATCCACTTACAGGGGAAAAAAGGTGTAGTTTCTATTGTCATTGTAGTGAGAAGATCATTAGGCTATGGTAAAAATATGCAGAACAGATAATTGGAGAGAAAATGCAAAAATCAAAAATCATAAGTTGAAAATTAAAACATTATGCTCAACACAATTGGAACCTCTATTTTTATTTTCCTTATCCTTTTCTCCTCATATTCGTGTTAGCATTGACATGAACCATCAATAACCTGAAGGGATAATGACACAAACAGTCCCTGAACTTTGGCCCAATGTGCAATTTGGTCCCTGAACTTTTAATTTGTTCAATGTAGTCCCTGAACTTTAAGCTAATGTTCAATGTGGTCCCTGAACTTTTAATTTGTTCAATGTCATCCCTCAACTTTTGGTACATGTTCAATTTAGTCCCTGAACTATATGAAAATGTTCAATGTAGTCCCTGAACTTGAATTAATGGAAAGGACTGCATTGAACATTTTCATATAGTTCAGGGACTGAATTGAATATGTACCAAAAGTTCAGGGATGACAATGAACAAATTAAAAGTTCAGGGACCACATTGCACATTAGATTAAAGTTTAGGGACTACATTGAACAAATTAAAAGTTCAGGGACCAAAATGCACATTGGGCCAAAGTTCAGGGACTATTTGTGTCATTTTCCCTAACCTGAACAAAGTACAGTGAGGCCTAGTACTTTCAGCTCATTACTTGTAAGACATTTCTCACAAATAATCAAACATCTAAAATGAAAAAAAGCATATGGGGCTGCCAGCATATTCAGTAATCAGCAGACAAGTTATCCGGATGTCAAAACTAATTTAGCATGAATTATTTATTGACCACTGTTGTACCAACATCTGATTAAATGAGGATTTATTCTGCCGAAAGCAAATCAAAAGCATGAAATTGTAACCTTATCCAACAAATGCTGTTTAAGCCGGCTCAATTCTCGCAATGCTTTATCCCTCTCTTTCCGTGTTTCCTTCAAATCATTCTCCAATTTTTGCAGGGATTGCTTTAATCCGTCTCTTTCACTAGAACTTCTGGAGGGAACTACATCCTGTACAAGTATCTTTACTCAGCAAAAGTAGCACAGAAAGGTTATAAAGAGTAAAGTGTATCATAATGTCATCATTACTGGTGCCGTAGCTCTTTATAAATTTCTTAACAAAAAGATCACCTCATTAACACTATTTTGGGTCCCTTTGATAGTTGGAGAGTTCCTGGTCATCTGCAAAGCAACCTCAAGTTCACTTTTCTCCACCTACAAAAATCATTTACCACACAGTTTGACAGTGGAGAAATAACCAAAAATATATTTAAACATTATAGACACTGATAGCAGATCACAACCTTGAGGTTGTTATTTTCCTTCTCCAGGGAGGCAATGACTCTTTTTAGTCTCTCAAAAGTCGCATCAACATCTTTGTTCTCATGCCTGTCCAACCCGTTTTGCAATCTTTTTATTTCCAATAATTTCTCATTCAATTCGTTGCGCACTTGATTCATCTCCACAAAAATCTGCCAATACAGGATGACACCACCCAAGAAAAAAATAGAAAACAGAAGACGTCTGAGTCAGCATCACCAAGTCAGGAAAAGAAAATAACGGGTACCATTGATAATTACTTTGACATCAGCGTTGACTTGAGCCATAATAAAAAGAGAAGATATTTTGGCCAGAGAAGTAGCCACAGCAAATTTTTGGTCATCGAATTTTGGGCTTCTTTTATTCCAAATCATTCTACATTACAAATCTTCATTTGGTTAGATTGTTGTATTTCTGAAATGGCTTCGATTGGGCCAATTCACCGGGAGTCCATGAAAAATAGAGTGGAAACTTCACGTGAAGTAGCCCACGTGGCTGTTGGCACATGTAAAAAGTGTCACATCACTCTAGGTAAAGTGCTAGGCCAGGTCCCCTTAGTTTTTCAGGAATGTTTGAAGAAAGACCTAGTTGACATCATTTTAGAAGTACCAAACCTAACTAGACATTTTGAAAAGTGATTCAGTGAACAAAATAAACAGGTAAAGTGATGCTTACAAACAAAGAATAATGATGCATAACCATAAGGCTTACTAGGAAATCAAAACAATACCTAAAGCACTTACTTTGTCCTTCTCATCGTTCAGTGACTGAAGTTGGGTCTGTAATGCTTCATTTAACTTGCGTTCCTCTGAAAATGAGATCAATATATGAGAAGCCCAAAAAAAATCACATGCACTCTAATTCACGATGCATAATAATCGCAAGAGTTGGAATAAACCTCGCAATTCAATGTCTACAGTTGCTAATCTTTTGCGTTCCTTCTCCAATTCCGTCCTGAGTTCTCCAATTTGTAATTGGTGAGTAGCCTGTACTGCTGCAAGGGACCGGTTTTTTTCTTCTAGCAAATCTGCAAGCTCCTAAAGGGCATTCATAGATCTTTGTCAAGGTTATCCATTAAGATCATATTCAAGTGACAAGGAATACACTAATTCAGCAAAAAGTTCTACCTCAGCCATGCATTCTATGAAACACAAGCATCCATACAACAAAGGAAGATTGAGCACAAAGCGCCATTACCTTTTCTTTAGCCCAAAAACGGTCATGTTCTCCAGCATGCCTAGTTCCGTTGCCATTAATGTCCAGTCTCGAGACAATACCATTCTGTCCTTGATTTACACCAGAACGTGTTTTCAATTGCGTCGCATATTTGTGTTGCCGGTTTGGTGATTGGTCATTAGCCTCCTAAACAAAGTGAAGAATATTCAGGCTCATTACCATCTTAAGATTTATATTCTTCAGGCAAAAGAATCTGGAATTTCTATAGAGGAATAAAACACTCATGCCAAACAATAATATAGCAGAACAATACCAAACTGCCGTTGGTCAGGAAAAGACAACGTGGAAGCCAACTAGTTTAGCTTTTATTAGTCCAACTGTCATTTCTAGTAATCTGCCATTTTCAAAATGGTACAATGTCATCTCATAAATGTGTTCTCTATATGACTTTCCTCATAGCACAGGATGATAAAATACTAACAGAACCAAGGTTGTCCTTCTGCATCTTTAACAGTTCAGAGAGCTAGAACTAAAGCAGGAGACCAGTCTTCAGACTACTGGAAAGCTCGTGATATTATAAAGAGATGCTACGGCACAATTAGGCAAGTACTGAAAGATATCTGGCAAATCCGCGAGTTCGCTTTTCTCGTGTCACTGTTTTGTATCTCTAACAATTGTTAGTGACCAAAAGCTGTTAAGTTGCCCAAACACACCCTTGAGTCATTCTGATCAGCATCTGCTGATCCAAGATTAGAACACGTCTATAAACATGAGCAAGTGCGTAAAGTATTGATACAGCTAGAATTTCTGATGTAACAGAATAATGTGACATGAGGGGTCTGACATTGAACAAAGAACAGCAATTTCAAGTGACCACTTGCGCCAGTTAAGAGCAATGCAAACATAGTAGAAAAGTCAGAATGACAGTACCAACTATTCTCTACAACATTCAAGCAAACGATGCATTGTTATATAAAAGCAGAAAAAATTTCCTGACAATATATGTCTTTTTTCCATGCCAACCTACATTCAGTGACCTACCTTGAGCGCATTTGTACTATTTATAGATGCTCTCGTGCTTTCATTTCTAACACCATTGACAGTCACATCCAGATTCTGCTTCAATAATCCATTTTCTTTGTTCAGTCTAGAAATATGATCCTGCTCGATAATTAAAGTCATAAATAAGTGAGATAACTATTTAGCAAACTTGGAGAAAATAACAAATGACCAATAAGACAGTGAATCCATCACGACAGACAAGGAGTCGTGACAAGTAGCTCAATCATAGAATGTTCGTTGCACATATGCGCCAACGGTCATATTCTTTTTAAGTAGGATAAACAAAGATTGCACCGAAATGAAGATATTTTGAAAAACTAATTAGTTTTGAATATTTGAAAGCAAGAGCAAAGGGCAAAAACCTTTTAAAAGTGCATCCAGATGAGATGCAGTAAAGTAATTTTTTAGGAATGGACTAGGTCCAATCTCAAACTCCTTAACTACTAGGTTAACTGGGGAGAAAGAAAAGACAATTGAACAACTTCCAGGGAATCTTTATTGAGGGATCAATCACATCTGCATGTTTCAGGATATCAGCTATACACAAGTTTGGATCCAAGCTAATAAAGAACACAATAACCCGCGTCTCGTGAAAGAAATTGCATCAGGAGTACATATCTAGCGGTACGAAGAATGAAACCACCCCAGACGTGGAGCCATCATACCAAATTGATAGCTTTGGAAAACTTTGGAGCGTCGATTCTAATGATGCAAGTCGTGTGCATCAATTATCAACTAATAAGAGCAGCAAATCGTCCATCAGCTTACCTCTTTCTCCTTTAGCAAAGCTGCATAATTGACTGATAGGGCCTTTATTTCTGCTTCTGATTCTTGAAGCCTTTTGATTTCTGCTTTGTATTGCTCAATCTACCAAATAAAAATGATCGTGATTCGTCTAAGCACTCCTCACAAATGAAATTACAAAAAAGAAAAAAGTACAGTAAGTTCAACAGAAAGACCATGCTTAAGACATGTATTCAGAGCATCTGTTTTCTAGAGTATTCTGTTTCGCTCTGATTGCATCCAAAGGCATCAGTTCGTGAAGCAGGAAAGATAATGCATATCAACACGTTACAGTGAAAATCACAGAATCAAGGAGAAAAATTACTTTTAACAGGGAGAAAAAAAACAATAGCACACCTCCTGACAGCCTAGACAGTGTATAGTTGCAGAATGCCTCAGTTGGAATGCCTTCAAGCACATACAACATTCTGCAGGACCAAAAGTCGAATGCTATCTATAAGAGTTTACCGCAAGGAACCATCATAGGCCACATGATAATAGCCAAACTGAGTAGTAGTTAAATTTTCTTTGTGCTTAATGCTTAATGATGAAGTAATTTATTCAGGCTTCCAATGCTTAATGATGAAGCAGTTTATTCAAGCTTCAACAATGGAGGTCTTCATGCCTTAACCTCTAATCTAAGTGAGAAAAGTCCCAATTTCGAGCAACAGAACTCCTTTTTGATTGTGCATTTGTAAGACAAGCTCGAAGTTTTGCAGTACAGACGATTGTAATCTAGATTTAAATCTCTCGGGAACTCAAGCATGCATGCCTATCAATAAAAGGGTACGCGTCTTCGAAGTCGGGAAAGAGATTCCAATGGCGCATCTCACCAATTGAGCAACAATATTAGCCACCACAAGTTGATCGAACCTTGCCTAGAAATCGAACCGAAATCGAACACAACAGAAGAGACGCAGTGAGCTGAAGCAACAGCTCCGCAACCAAACTCCCAACAGATTTCGCCAACAACCAAGCTTAATCGAGAGCGCACCTCGAAATCATGAGCGGCGCCGAATCCATTGGCCACGGGAGACCGCGAGAGGGACGGGGAATGCGCGAGGCCGTGGGAGCTCCTCCGATCAGAGACGGAGGAATCGCCCCCGTTGCTTCGGCCGTAGATCTCGAGCCCCTCGTCGTCGTCGCCGTCGTCGTCGCCGTCGTGCACGGCGAGGGCGATCTTCTCCAAGCTCTCCCTCCAATTCGCGAGCGGGCTCAGCATCCTCCTCCGGCCGCTCCGATCAATGCGGATTGCGCGAAAAGCTCCGGCGCGAGCGAAGATCAGGGCGCCTCCGCCGACCGCCGACCAGCTCGTCGGACGGTTTCCCCTTCGGCGGGATTGCGGCAGCGGCGAGGGTAGATCCAAGGGAGAAGCAACAGGAGAAGAAGAAGTAAAAATCGAAAAAGACACGTTTTTCAGTGCGAGATTGGAAGGGGAGAGATCGCTCGCTCAAGTTAAGACTTCTCAACCGTTTTCAGGGCCTTTTTGAGGCCCGTGGAAGGAATTGCTATCGGCACGGAGCATTCTGATTTATGACGTAAGCAAACCAATCGCATTTTTAGAAAAATATATATATATATATATACTTGGTTCTTGATAATAAAAAAAATCTGAATTTATTAAAATATTTGTTAAACAATCTTCTGTAAATATAAGTTTATAATCGTTTGGAACGCGAGATTTCTAAAGTTGTTATAGTTTTTGTGGAGCGATATTCATTATGCGTGTTGTGTATTTTGCTTTCGAATCAAGATGCTTTCGGTATTTACTTCGAAATTAAGTCGCTTGGAACTGGAAGAGAGAATTTACTTTTGAGGTGATTTTATTTTCATGTCGTTTAACTTAATTAGTCTATAGCAACTAAGGGTGATCGATTCCCGATCCGGTTCTAAGATGGAGCCGAGAACCGGGCCGGGAGGACCAATTCCTTAAATTGGGAATCAAAGACTGGACCGGTTGATCCTAGGATCGAGAACCGGACCAGACCAATAGAACCGGTCACTTAGGGTTTAGTTCTCATTTTACTAATTTATGTTATGTCAATGAAGTCTACTTTGGATTTAGTTCACATTTTACTAATTTTTTTAAAAAACAAAAAATATATATGTAGTTAGTCTGGTCCGATTGGTCCGGTTCGATCTGATTCCCCCTTAGAATCGAGAACCGGATCACCCGAACACCGGTTCCACTTTTAAGAATAGGGAACTGGACCGACACTCCCAGGATCCGGACCCAATTGGCCGGTTCGGTCCAGTCTAGGCAGTTATCGATTTAGACGGTCCATTTTGCACACCCCTAATAGCAATTGGATCCTTACACACTTATAAAATTTGTGCCTTCTTAGATGCGTGATTTGTGTGCGATTGATTTTTTTTCCATCTTTAAACACTATCGTATTATATTGATGTGATGGACATTAAGAAATAAAATTAAGTAAAGTAAGTTATTATAAACCAAAAATCAACTTAATAAAGGAAAATATAAAATAAAACTCTATAAAGAAAAGGAAGGAGGAAAAGGAAGTACATCGATTTAATGTATAAAATTAAACATAAATACAATTGATTAAATGTGTTGATAAATATTGTAGGAAAATAGTTTATTGACACACACATATATATACACATGTTTCTATAGATAAAACCATGTGATGCATGACTCCGTAAACTAGTGATAGTAAGCTATTCCTCATGAATAATTATCAATAAAAAATATTATAATAATAAAAAATTTTGGTTCTTGACGCCGCCGACTAATTTTTTTCTTCTGTTTTTGTCCTTTTTTTTCCATGTTTTTATGTTTTCATCTTATCTTTTTATATGAATTATTTTCCTCGACATCCAAAATTATCATCCATCTGTAATTAAATTTGACGAGGAGAAGTACCTAGGAGAAATATTAATCAAGTTGGCCTTAATTTATTGTCACTAGCATATGAAGTAATTATCTATGACCAAAATAATATTCTTTTTTTATGAATAATCTTCGAGGGAACAAAAATATTCTATATTATACCAAACCAAATGGTTGTACTCTCCGAAAATAAAAAGGTCGCACTCGACTAAGACTAGAATGTCTCATGACTCACCTTATACGAATTGGATTAGGGGTCGGTATCATTTCAAACTAGGATATTTTTTTTCTTTTTTTCTAAAACAAACGTTCCATTCCATCAAAGCCGTCCAAATAGTTCAAGAAGGAACTAGAGCCTACAAAAAATAATAAATTAAAGAAGACTCCACTAGAAAAGAAGATGCAATTCCTATGCCATGAAAAGCTCATTTTACAAGCTCAGGAGCAATAACATTACTAGTTCTATTGTCCACTTCAAACTCTATCTTGAATTGTTGCTAAGTAGGAAACTAGAGTCCGAGACGAAAGGATGAATATACTAAGAGCAAAGGCCGTTTTGTTGAATAATGTCAATTAGTATCTTACAATCACTTTCAAAGATTGTTGTGTGGATTATGAGGGATGGAGTAGCTTTGCATACGAAAAGAAGAGCCACGGCTTCCACTTCCATTGGCGAGTTCTATCTTCCTCGTCTTGTCCACGCTTGGACATCTGAAGTAGACAGTGTAAAAGTATCATTGGGAAAACATGTGAGCACAAATCTCAACAAACAAGACGTGAATCTTGATGGACCCCATGCGATAGTTGTGTAAATACCATCGACCCGTCGATACCGATTGCTCAATATATTTTGAAACATCGAATGAGACATTCCTTTCACCAAAGAGTCGAAAAGGCCTTGAAATCTATCGTGAGCAATGGTGTACGGCCAAATGGGCAAATGGTATCGATTAGTGAGTTCATATAATGTTGGCCTAGGAGCTAATTAAGAGAGGTTAATTTCAGTCAACCAAACATCGTAATCGATGTTATGAAATTTTTTTTTTTGGCCAATTAGAGGTAAGGAGTGATACTTAATTTTTTTTTTTTTGGGGACAAATTAACATTGGTGAACTCGAAAGTCAAACCCTTGACTGTTTTTGCCCTTTTTTTTGGTCAGAAACATTCATTGGTACTGCTTACCTATAGCAAGGGGGCTAGACCACAGGATTCCTATTTATAGCAATTGGTCCGAAGACGGTAATTTCTCGGCAAAATCCTAAAGCTTCCTTATCCTCCACGACCGACACGGACGCTCGCGTTCAGTTTCACCCACGACGCCCCCCTCGCTTCCCGACGCGACGTCGTCCCCGCGCGCCCCCCCCCCCCGGCGGGGGCAGTCTCGCCATTTCCCTCGCCCGGAAAGGAAGTCGGAGGGACACTTTTCCTCTTAAAAACTTGACCAGTCAAGGTACGACACAAGACGCGACAGCGTCCACGCCGTTTCCTCTGCCGAACTGTAACTCTCTTCTCTTGCATGCACTGTTCGTTCGCGCTCTTTTCCTCCTCCTCTCTTTCCCCCTCGCGGACTCGCCGGCGGCGGCTCCCCGGCGACGGTGGTGGTTGAGGGTAGAGGGGACGCGATCGACTGGTGGCGGTGTTCTCTCACGGTGGTCAGCCGCGATTTCTTTGAAGTTGCGACGGTAAGTGACAACTATTGATGTGTAATTTATATGTATTATGAGATTTTTCCGTAATTATGTTTCTATTTGTACCCTTACTGTAATTAGTTACTCCTATAAATACGTATCATATAACCCTAATTGTGGATTTCTCTCACTCTAAACATTAACATAGTATCAGAGCTAAGAAGGAGTCTAGCAGATCAGTGGCGGTAAAGGCACAGTTGAATCGTTGTCGAGCCCTGGTCTGTTGAGGCTGGCCTGAGGACGCTGGTGCCCATGGCCGGGTCCCCAACGACCAAGCCCGGGTCCTCGGTGACCAGGCTTCAGCCCATCGAGGCCAAGCTTTGGACCCCATAGTCACCAGGACCCAAGCCCAATATCGATGGACATGGGCCCAGGTGACAGGGACCTGACCACGAGCACCAAGGTCTAGGCCTTGGCCTTTGTGGACCTGACCTTAATGTCCAGGAATCGGGCACGGGCACGGGTACCAGCACCGAGGTCTCGTGTCCGGCCTCGATGGACCCATGCATGGCGCAAGGGACCCAACTCTAGGCACCGAGGACCTGATCCTAAGCGCAAGGATTCGGGCACTTGCACCGAGGTCGCGGGTTTGATCTTAATGGAGCTGGGCCTAGGCGCAAGAAACCCAATATTAGATGTCGAAGACCTGAGAATGAGCATTAAGGTGTAGTCAAAGGGTCAAATCTAGTCAAAATTTAAAAAATGATTTCTCTGATTTTTTAAATAGGAAATCATCTTCTTGAATTTAAGTATGAATATTCCGTTAACCGGAAAAATATTTTCTTTTACTCATTTTCCTAAACGATTTAAACGCCGAAAAATAAAAAAATATATTTTCTTTCTACAAAATAAACGGAGCGATAATGATCGAAAAAAAATCTTGGCAAGGAGGTAAGTTTTATTGATTGTTGGATGAGTATTCTATTTCCAGTCAGTCACTATCTAGCGGGGCTCAAAACTCGAGCTTCACCTTACAAGAGAACCACACACTCTCACCCTCTCGGTTCCTAACAAAGAAACCAAATCAACGCCTTGATCAGCTAATTGCTTCATCATGTGTAAGAACAAAAGATTTTCCTGAAGCACAAAGGCCTATCTACTTTCAACATTGCATAATCGAACACATCGGCCCTTACAAAACAAAGCGATCGAAGTGGACATTCATGAATCGGGGAACTGTCTGGAAAATGCATTCATCGGAAGGGTCTCGGCGGCTTTTCGAGCACGGCGGAGAAGAACACCTCCTTGTCATCTTTATCCAACTTTGGTATCACAACCCATTTATGCCTCTTATACCTCAGCATCTTGAAGGATTCCAAATAGTCATCCAGATCCTCCTTCAAGCAGAAGAAGCTATCTACCCACAGAAGGCCACCAGGCCTCAACACTCGATCCCAATCATACAACACAAAGTCCAGAAGAATGAAGTCGATCCACCCATCCAAGAACCTCGTAGTGTGGATCAAATCGAGAGTATTGTCGAAGAACGGCAGCCGCTGATTTATCGTCAAGTAAAGAGGCACGAAACCACGCAGAGCGATCATCTCATTGAAAGGTGCGCCAAGATTTATCGTCGCTGTGACGATAGTGACATTGAACTCCCTCATCCTAGCGGCAAAAGTCCCGGTCCCAGCACTGAAATCCAATCCAATTCTGATCTCTCCAGGCTTGATAGCAAGCACTTCAGGTATGACGAAATCCGTAGTTAGATTTTTGTTCGGATCGATATAGATCGGTTTAACCCATCTGGGCATTTCATGACTGGTGAGATTGAAGCAGTCCGCGCATTTGAAGAATCCTTTGCCAGTAGAATTTCTCGCCAAGCAAGTGAAGTTTTTGCACCGATACCCGCCCCAACGAACATTGCGATCGTCTGGAAGCTTCCATATGGACTCGTTGATGGGAAACGGCTTGTGGTATAGCTGCGGTGCCCTCGAGAAGCACCTCCTCCGGGGGAGCGGGTCACACCCATGAACCATGAGCCTCTGAGCTAGTTTCCAATCATCGTTGCAGATCTCACCAACATCATAGTCCATGTACTCCTCCAAATCTTTCTTCATGGCAAAGCAAGCATGGCCAATGCTTGTGAAAGTCCCATTTGCTCCCATAAAGTTCTGTTTCCCCAACCTGTTGGGCTTAATCTTCACGTACTTGCGTATCTCTTCAATAAGGAAGTAATCGACCGGCTCATCAGATCGCTCCTTCGGCTTTGCCAGAGGATGGACAGTCCTGATTTGACCAGTCCCCTGATCCGATGGCAACGAGGCTTCCACCGACTCAATAAGCCCCAAGATATCCACAAGAAAGTGGCTGTATCGCGACGCGAACTCCGACAATGACGTGTTGGCGGACATATACCCTACCGTGCTAATTTCATCCTGGATTTTGCGAATGACCGTGTCGATGGTTGCTCTAACCTCAGTCCCAGCTCTGTCTTGGTTGATGTTATTGCAGAAGGTATCGGGAATATGAAGAGATCTAAGAGAGTAGAAGTTGAACAGAGTGGCGACGTAGATGAGAACGCCGAAGCCGCCCAATACAAAGAAAAACTTAGGGATTGCCCTCCAGGTCCCTAACTTCACAAGAACATTCGGTTTCCGCATCTTCCACCTCTCAAGCTCAAAAACAACCGCCTTCTGAGGTCACGATCTAGCTAGAGCTAATCATAATATCCGGCGCATAAATAACCAATCGGACAACGACAATGCTTCGCTTTTTCCGTATACTAGTATTACCGAAAGGCCCCGAAAAGAGAAAATAACGGGAAATTGCTTTTTGAAAGTACCTGAATCTTGACCCCTTGAAGCTCTGGCCAGGAGAAGAGAAGGGGGGATCTTGGAGTCGACACCTGTATGGCCACTGAGAAACGAAGCAGAGAGATTGAGGAGTCGGAGATGCTTTGCGATTGGAGTCCAGGATTTTCTGTTTCCTAGATTCGTTTCTTTAATCTGCGGGGCCATAATTATGAGGGCTATCAGGAGCTCCGAGATTCAGCAATCCGAGACCTGGAGAAGCTCGAGATGGTCGAGTCAACGCCCTCCAATATTTTTAGAACCCCCGGGTCCTCAAATCCATGCACTTCCAGTCACATCGATGTCCATAATTAATTGCGACCGTGTATAAAATGAAGCGTGCGCATATGTCAATCTCGTGACTTTTGACCGCAGTTGCGGGATCCCAGGGCCGGCATAGAAGCCTAGGGAACACAAAAACAGGCTTGTGGGACAGAACACATGACATATAACCTTAGAAACGGAAGGCGTCTGCAGTCTGCAAGTTTTCTTTTTTCCTTTTCCATCGTGATCTGGACGGTGCATCTGGAAGTGGGCTTGGGATACTTCCTTAGATCTGAGCAGATAAAGGCTAAAGCTAGACGTCTTTAATTAGGTTAAGTTGTTCCTTGACTGCACGTAGGTGTTGAGCGTAGCGTCCTAAGCAAGGTCTAGGAGTTGCTGACAGTACTAAAATCCACTAGGTGGAGGGCGGAGAGCGCGCTTGAAGCGATGGCATCTCGCAATTCAGGGCGCCATAAGTCGTCGGATTAGAAAATGCGAATGAGCATCAGGGATGGATGGTGCCAACGCCATAGTGGTCGGTCGGTCAACTTGGACGTGTTGGATGACTTTTGACTTTAAACACGGAAATATCTCAATCTGGGAGAGGAGTTCACACTTCCGAATCGAACCAAACCCATTAAACATTGGATTTCACGTGAATATACAAATCTTGCGGAAAGCCCAAATTCCGGGTCGCCAATGATGGTGGCGACCGAATCAACGGCGCAGACTGCGAAGAGCGTTGACGGAGACAAACTGGTCCGATCAGTGCGAGCTACGAAGTACCCAGAAAATGGAAACAGTCGTCACCTTCTCAGCTTGAATTAGAAGCCCGGCAGACGAAAAAATCTGAAGATTCAATCTAACAGCGAAGCGCTACGGGCGAAAAACATGTCAAAATTCCCAACTTTGCTATCTCTTCTTGACTCTAAAGGACTATCATCAATCAAAATGACAAATTCAGGGAAACAAGAGAACAAGTAGCCCCCCACCCCAAAACAATCTCTCAAACCTCGTTTGCTGTAGAATTTACAATCCCACCAAGAACACTCGCGGAAACCAAAACCCACCATCCAAATCAACCCAAGAAAAGGAGGAGGAGGAAGAGAGGAATAATCAGCGCCGTCTACGGCGGTCTTCGCCGTACTGAGAGAGCGGCACGACCTCGGAGAGGGGGGTGGAGAGCGGGGTGGGAAGGGGGGAGTTCCGGCAGACGGGGCACGACCCGTTGAGCTTCAACCAGGCGTCGAGGCAGAGCAGGTGGAAGAAGTGGCGGCACTCGGGCATCATCCTCAGCATCTCCGAATCCTTGTACTCGCACAGGCAGATCGAGCACGTCGTGCTGCTCCCGACGCCGACGCCGACGCCCTCCCTAGAGAAGGCGAACTTGGGGTACGAATTGATGACGCTCGGGTCGAGCCCCACCGCCGCGCCCTGGTCCGCGTCGCTCCCCTCGTTGTCGTCCTCGGCCACGAAGATGATGCGGGGGAGGATGATGCCGTCGGAGCCCGGGTCGCCGGCCCGATGGGCGGACGCCGGGGCCCCGGCGGCGTGGTGGTGCTGCTGCTGGTGCTGCTGGCGGCGGAGGAGGCGGCGGCGGCGGGAGGAGCGGCAGCAGATGTAGGAGGCGAGGAGGACGGAGGAGAGGAGGACGAGGAAGCCGAGGGCGACGGCGATGGCGTAGCCGAGGCCGAGGTTGGTGAGGTAGCTGGCGGAGGAGGGGGGCGGCAGCGGCGGCGGTGGCGGCGGCGGTGGGGGAGGCGGGGCTGCGGCAGCGGCGGCGGAGGACATGGAGGTGCGGGGTGGAGGGGGAGGGAGGGGGATCCATAAGAGGGGTGGAGGAGGAGTTAGGAAAGGGGGAGGGGGAAGGGGAAGGGGTTAGGGTGGTGGTGGGTGATGATGCAGCTGGTGCATTTAATAGTTTTAGGTTTGGGAACAGAGACGGAGCATTCAATTCTTGGCAATGTCGGATTGAATTGCGGACGATGATGACGACGGCGACGATGCAAAGCAGAAGAAGAAAGGCCCCCCGACGCACTCGGGAAGCTTTTGGGCTCTTCTCGGCCACGAACGGTCGTGGGCTGTTTTTTGCACGGGGGCGTGGTCGCTAGGGGCCTCGAGTCCGTCCACATCAAGAGTCCAACTGTCCAAGGATCGATGCTGATGATGATGATGATGATGATGTATGGATGATCTAGGGACAGCTGAAGTTCTGAACGTGCCATGGATCAGCTCTTGCTTCGATGCTTTTCCCTTTTCGACGTTCGGGGAAGCCGAAGCGGAAGCCGAAGCCGAGGATGAGGCTGTCGGCGGCGCTCGAGAGAGGAGAGGAGGCTTATGTTGGTGTTATGGCAATCGAGTAAATTCTTCTAGAAGGTATAAGAGCTGGCGCGTAAAAAAAGGAGAGATAAAATGGAGATGCGGGGTATCGATCCCCGTACCTCTCGCATGCTAAGCGAGCGCTCTACCATCTGAGCTACATCCCCTTTGCATATTCAATTCTCATTAACATAAAATAAAATAATTTTTTGCTTCTAAACAATCCGACCACTCGGGCGACCCCAACCTAATGGGCCCAAATGACGTCAAAGCCCGCGCAGCATTATCTAGCATTATAGAATCGGCTTCATTCCCGAAAAAACCTTAATTCCAAGTTCTAAACCCAATTCTACCCCCCCAAACTTTTCTTTATCTAAGAAAAATCATAAACTTTTACCATAATCCTACGTCTACCCCGCATCCAGAATTTGTTCAGGGTTCAGGACCAGTTAGAGATTTATTATAAGAAACCGTGTCTTCACCAATGCTCTCACCTTCGTACCAATATTGATAATTTTGAAGAAAACAGTAGTGACTTTTTGGACACGGGACAGGTTTGGGATTAGAGTAAAATTTGATGATCTTTTTTCGACGAAAGAAAATGTTCATATCAAAATTGAGATTGGACCTAAAGTTTAGAGTTATTTAAGGGAATTAGGCCTTATAGAATAATGAGAGAGAGTTATATCATACCGACACTTGTCAAGATAAGGTCTTTTCTCGCAAGGTGCCCCCTCCAGATTCCAGTTTATCTAGCCCTATAGATAGATGATGTTACCATGTATAATCCAGAGCATAATACCCGAGGATGCTTCAGAATCCCTTTGATTGCTCGTTCAAAGAAACACAAGTCATGGATCTTGAATCAAATGATTTTCTTTTTCTAAAATTCAGAAAGTGGATGTTCGGGAATAAAATTCAATTGGAAGGTCCCACCCGGAAAGAAAAAGGAGCTCCAATAGACATGAAATGTTCTTATCCTTACTCAAAAATCGTGATTTTAAAAAATACCACGCGTCTTGACTAAATTCTATACATAACGCGTGATCGATGACGTGAAATGTACGAATACGCGGATTGTCGATCCTAATTGGGAACAGCAAGCTAAGTTGCACGCATCTTACACTCCAAGTAAAGCAGCGACAACCATCGTTATATATAGGAATAATTATATAAATAGTATGTAAATTTTGGTCAAATGTGCGATTTGATCTCTGGATTTTTAATTTATTCAGTATGATCCTTGAATTTTTTGTAAATATTCAATCCAGTCCCTAAATTACATGAAATCATCCATATTATCCTTTTATCAATTCAAATTCAGGGACAATCGGGACTAAACTGAATATGTACAAAAAGCACAAAGATCATACTGAGCAAATAAAAAATTTAGAAGCAACATCGCATGTCGAGCTAAAGTTCATGAACCAATTCAAAGTCCACGTCACACCTTTAATCAAAATTCATCCATCATCTGTGTTTGTGCATGACAGCCGTTGCGACGAAACTAGGAGAAGATGAAAAATCACGTTGAAAGAAAAACTTTTATTTCTCTCGTGGTACCATCGTCACAACCGCATCAGAAGATGTCGGAAAGCGTGGGGAGCTTGATCTGGCCCTTGGTGGAGACGGGGATGGTGATGTCCCCGACGATGGGGAGATCGATGGTGAGTCCGATGTCGAGCTGGTAGTCGATGTCCCAATCCGCCCCGATGTCCCTCGCCAGGCTCACCAGTATGCTGTACGGCGTCTTCACCGGCACGTCCAGCACCGTCGTGTCGCTCGCCTTCAGCGACCCCGGATCCGGTATCTTCCCCGACGCTATCTCCCTGGTTTCACCGCATTCGAAACTAAGAAAATCGAACGAAACCGACACGACTCGACGCGCGCGATTTGGATTTACCTGCCGGCGCTTTTGAGAGAGTAGGAGATCTCGCAGATGGGGAGGGAGTGGCTGTAGGGGTTCTTGACGGAGACCTTGGCGTTGTACTCGACGCACTCGCGGGTGACGTGCTTGAGATCGACGCCGGTGACGCTGGCCTCCGGCTTCGGGACGGCGGCCACCTTCTCGGCCAGGAAGTTCTTCGCCTTGTCCAGCAACTCCGACATGTCTCCGCTTCTCGAGCGAGCTTCGATCGATCGATCGATCCGGAATTCGCGGAGGATTTCGAAGGGCCAAATATGGTTTCGATCCCCCCGAAGAGATCGGCCTCCGCAATTTATTACATACGAGAGGCCGTGACACGTGCGGTCTTGTCTTTGCTTAATGCCGGTTGTGGCGGGCGACGCGGCGACACGTGGCGAGGTTTACGCGTGTGGGCCGTCGTGGGAATTCCTTCCGTGTGAAACAGATCTTAGGGACAAACGACGGTGTTTGTTCGATTGATTTACGGAGCGAGATGCGGAGCTTGTGGGACGTTCGCTGTCCCGTTCGCTGTCTCCGTCGTGAACGGCCCGTGGAGAGACGGTGGTGCGGTCGGACGGGAATCTCGTAAAACGAACGTCAATTTGGGGTCGGTGGATCGGATCGGATCGGATCGAGGCTCCGATGCTTTTTTTTTTTGCTTTGAGAGATGCAAAAGTGGGTCGGATTGATTTGGGGGGGGGGTTGTTTTTATGTGGCCGCGAAGTTAGCATTAAGTTCTACCTTGCACTAGATGGTTATCGGGTGCACACTTAATTGATTTTACTTCCACAAACTATTGCCGAAGGTATCCATCGACACTTGGACAAGAGGTTCTGTGCTTGGGTCTAAGGACCTCAACGCGCGTTCTCGGGCCCTCGGCATCAAGCTCGGATCCATCGAGGTTCGGCACCCGAGTCCACTGAAGCCATGCTCAAAGCCATGGTGCTCGAGCTCATATCCACCAAGGCCGGGCCCGGGACCTCGATACCAATGCCCAGCTTCCTCGAGCCTAGGCTAGGGTCTACAGAGGCTAAGCGTGAGACTTCGGTAATAATGCTCAGACTCGGATCCATAGAGGTCAGGCTCGAGCCCCTTGAACCCATATCTGGTTTTCCGATTGCTCATGTCAAAGTCGCTAGAGACGAAATATTGCACATTTATCTAGAAAAATAAAAGCAAATTTTCCTTTCCTGGAAAATAATTTCAAATTTATTTCCTAGATACAAACTAAATACTGAAAAAGATTGCCATGACTTCTTAGAGAACATTTTCCAAAAATGTCAAATCTTTTACGAAATAAATGTTGGCTAGTGGGATTTTTTTTTTCTTAAAGTGAAACCATCTTATATGGTCTACTTAAAATACATTTAACGGTTATATAACGTGAGGTCTTAGCATGAACTTGATAAAAATAGCAATAATTTTCATAGGTGCGTGCGTGCGAGATGCCCGTCACATCTTGGATCCGAATCGAGCGACCCGAGATTCTCCTTTTCCATAGTAAAAAGAAGATAGCGGCATCGTATAAAGAGAAAAATGGAGAATATGATGGAGTCATGCTTCATAAGATAAAAACAAAAGATAAAAAGGCGGAATAAAAAAACGAATTTTTTCCTTTTGGAAAAATTCTTTATTTTTTTCCAAAGAGACAGATCATCACAATTCGCAATACGATCCATGGATTCGGGCCGGGTATTACTAGTTCACGATGGGCTTCATTTCGGGTCAAAGTAGCGACCTGCCAAAAACAAAAAAACTATTTTTTGTGCATACATGAGAAGGTTCGCGTCGTGCTCGATCGAATAACGCATTTACTGCAGATGAGAGCACCGGCGATAATTAAGAGAATTCGACTCACGAAAGACCCGTTAATCACATGTTAAGATTGAGCCGTTCGTGTACCAAGAGAAGTGGAATGAAGTCAAGGGGCACATGTACATATGTATGGATTAACCGAGAAATTGCCCAAGAACCGAATTGGGATCATTGCTTGTCGGGCGAAAACCTGGAGAGCAATTGAATCTGCCTCAGGAGGGGGGATAGGGTTTCCATTATCTTCTCGGAGGGGTGGTTGTGAACGCCTTCGTAAGTCGTCACGACGATGCTCGTGTCCTCGGACAACCTCTGCACTTGCTTCTTCACGTCGCACGTGGTATGCACGCAGCGATAGTAGCTCCTTTTGGCAACATGTTACACAATACCCGATCACATTAGATTTGAGATGGATTGCGAAAACAAATGCATAGGACAATGTACATTCTTAAAAGACAAGGAGGAGGACATTATCAATTCGTGCATCGCATCGCCGATCGCTTAAGTCCCATTGTTGATCTTGGACATATAAGCATGCACGGAGATGGTGATGGTGATGATTATTTGATATTATTAGTAAAACCCGATAGTTCACAATATATCATTTTGAGAACAAATCATAGAGAAGTCAATTAAAATTGTATGAAGTTTGTTTCTTATAGGACGCATACACAATTGCCTAATTTTCTCTTCTGCATGATCTATACGAGGTATATATATATATATATACCACAACCGTCTATAACTAGAAGGCCTAGAAGGAGGCCTTCTTCGCGTTCCAATGGTATCTCACTAATGGCTCGGGCTCCCTCGGAAGGAGGCCTTAATTCTTTGCCTTCCACCTAAGCTGCGCAGGTTTCCGATGAGAAAAATTTCCTCATTGGTAACAAACAGTTATCCATCAAGCGGGAAAATCATATTTTCAAAGCCGAAATCTTATACCTATACTCTTGCAAAAACGGACTAAGAGGGTCAGCTACCCAGCCAATCTTCATTATTAAAATACCGTTACCGTGCAGGTATACCAATTCCAATTTGGTCACAGGAAGTCTTTTCTGGAGACCAAGTTTCCATTTGGTCGCTACAGACCCATATTATTGCAGTGACATCGACAGACACATCACAATTGCTTATCATGTGATCTGTCCGTAAATATGTATCTTCATCTATACAAGTGATGATGCTTTCATGTACGAAAAATTGCCTTTTTGCGCATAACTATTGATGTTCAAACCTGTACGCTTTATGTTTCACATCATTATTTTGTGCGTAGGCATTCATAATGACTCGTGATCCCAAGAGAAAGACAGCTCGAATATATTCTCAGCGCATGGAAATCTTCTTGAAAGAATATGCTTGCCATTGGCTTTTCTCCAAGGGAACTATTGAGCTACGTGAAGGAACAAACGAAACCTTGATACAAACTACGTATGAATATGCAAATGTATGTTGTCTTAGCCATCACGAATACAGACCTGGGGTGTGTGCTGTTCTTGACAGCTTTCTGCCCATATTTCCTCCAACGATAGCCATCGTCGAGAACGTCGTCCTCGCTCCTCGTCTGGAACTCAAACCTCGGACTTGCCGCCTTCTGAGTTCTGCTGCTCGTGGCGACCTTAGATCGCTTCTCCAATCTCCTCCCCGTGATCCCTTCCGTGGCTGTTCCATACTCGAACATCACTAAAGGAGCCTCATGACTCGCGTCGTCCCCATTAATGGCACTACCTCCATTGATCCCAGCACTATTGCTACCAGAAGCAAGACTGGCCAAATCGTTTATGTCGGTGAAGACTTGGTGGTCGTCTATACGAGGCGGGTGCAACGAGGAATCGGCAACAAGATAGGGAGGGTTCTGAGGCAACAGCAGCGGCAACGAGACTCGTTGCGGAGGTGGAGGAGGAGGAGCTTCTTGTCGTTCCATCATGGGAGATTTCAGATTGTGTCAAGGGCACAGGACTTTCAAAAAATATTGGCCTGGAAAGGATCATGGATGGTGAATAGGTTGGACTGACCCACGCACACGCAAGGATATATAGAGGTGGAACATATGGAACTCCTTCAACGGGAATTCGACTTTATTAAAACCATATACACAAATAAAGTTTCATAACTTATTAAAGATAATTTTATAGAACAAAAGGTATATAATCTCTCCCTGATATGAATGCCCTAGAAATGGTGAGGTAAAAGCCACCAAAACATCCACCTGTTTCTGTTCAACTAATCTTTGCAAGTGAAGGGAAGGCCGAAACATGTAGGCAATGCGTTCACCATCTACGCATGCCTCCCTCTTTCTCTATCATGCTTGCTGACGTATTGTCATGTATAGATTATGAAGCACGACACCTCCACCAGGTACAACGTTGGTCCAAACCCTTTTGACTTTTCCGTGTTTGAGCCAAGCAAGAGTCAAAGACACATGCCCACTTGAGAGGTACCAAATCCGGGCTCTGATCAAACGCTGTTCACCAAACAATGACATTTCAAATGTCGATAAGCTGAATAGTCTGGTGAAGGTAGTACAGCATTCAAGTCTTTAAAAGTGTTCAGAATGAAATCATTTGACTCATGAATATGCAATCCGTAGTGGGGTAATGCCAAACGGAAAGCTTTCTTTATTCGGTGATCCAACTTGTTATTCTAGTAGAGGGGAATATACTCAAATGGAAGAGTTTGACAAGAAAACTAAATGACCAGTAAAGATTAGAACAAAGGCTTCTTTCCGTTCAACATGGCCATCAGGTGCTCCAGAACCCGACCACCTCCATCACGTAGACCAGAATGCATGTATTCGTTGGTTATCCATAGTCTGATACCAGCTATTTGAGAAGCTGTCTCCATCGACAACTTGAAATTAACATACATATCTTCGTAATAGACTGCAGCTGCGACAGGTACCTGTCAACAAAGATGAATAAGTCAACTGATAACCAGAATCAATCTGTATCCGGGAGCCAATTGCTTTCTTTGCATTGTAGGTGTGATGTTAGATCTTGTTTTAAGAGAGAATTTCCAGGCACCTTGTTATTGTTGAGAGCGACGATGTCATATAGTTGAGGCCAATCCTTCTTCTCCGCCAATATCTGAGCAACTTTTTTGAATGGCTTTAGGACATGAATTTCGTCAAACATCCATGGGAAAATCATCTGGAGCATAGACACAAGCCATCTTAAGTTCTTAACACAAAAATGTGGGAAAGTAAGTCATACATCCCAACAGAACAGGCATGAATAGATATATTAACCCATTAATTGCAATATAACAGAGCTTCCTCCTACCTCTCCTGTAAAAAGAACAGGACGACCCTCTTTTGCCGCCTTTATGGCATCAAACTTGCTTTCATCTTCACACATCAGTCTATGAGCAGACCACTCTGATGAAGCACCCTATACATAAATGAAGCAATAAGTCGACTGCATCGAATACTTGTGGCAATTCTTTATTGCGCTAAATTACCTCATTCAATGACTAACTTAACTTCACCACAATAATATTAAAAATTGGTCAGGCAAGCAGAAAATGGCAAGCTTCAATCATAATCAATATGGAAAGGGAGGAGATGTTTACCTGACAGTATATGGGCTCATGTAGAAGAGCATAAAGAGGATTTGTATCAAAAGCCAACCAATTCTCAAACTGCACACATCAAATGACTAAGGTTTAGTTTGATGTGTACTGTAACCAACCAACAAATCATGTAGTCACAAGTCATTAGATCTTACAGCTTTCAAGAAGAAGTAGCTAATTTGCTTTGATGCACCGGGTACTAAAATAGGATCCCAAACCCTCTCAAGCCTGTGTTCAAGTCCACAAGAGAGGATGATCGTATAATCAATACATACTATTACTTTTTGCAAAGTATACGTGTTTAGAACTTGAAAATATGCCCTCTTACATGTAGTGCAATCGCTCGAAGCTAGCACTGAATCCTAAGCCAGAAAGACCGAGAGTTTGGAAACCCCTAGGCGTTAAGATGCCACCAGAAGGAAGAATCACCTGCAATTCAATAGAAACAAGAGAAATTCAGCACAAACATTAACAGCACCGGGGTTCTGTTAATCTACTTGATATCTCACCCCACCACCTTCAGATTCTGCCAAATACTTTACAACTTCACGAACAACTTCTGCATCCTGTGGATACCTCTTGTAGTACTTCTCACTTTGAAGAGTAACCTGCTCTGAGCCTGCTTTATATACAGCATCTGCAGTGCATCCTTTTGCAATGGGTGGAATTCCACCAGTTATAAGAACTTGTTTGAGTCCTTGAGGAGCAAAACTTAAATAAGTTACTGCACAAAAACCACCGAAACTCTGCAAAACGATAAAAGAGTATCACTAAAATTAATCATGACCCAAAAGTACGGGGGGAGAGAACAGAGGGAAACAAATTGAAGAACGGATTACATTTCGTTGGTAACTATCGAGAGTAAGCATGAGCATTTCAGCAATTCAGAATGCAATATTCTTGTCACTAAATGCTTGGTCCACTAAAGTCTAGAGCAGTCGAATGAAAAACTGAAATACCTGACCCAGAATGGTCCAAGGTCCAGCATCCGGAACAAGACGCGCTCGAATAAACTCAGCATCATTTACAATGTTATCCGCCCGAAAATGTATCAAATAATTAGCCAGGTTCTCTGCAGATTTTATTTGCAACATCGATGAAGCAGTCAATGGAGTAGATAAGCCTGTCCCGCGCTGCAGTTCAACGACATTTATGAGATTGAGCGCTGAAATATTGACTAATTTTGTACATAATGCCTGCAACATCATGCCTGATCCATCAAGATTACACGAAATTCTTCACACGCTCTGTGTAGCCATCCACTGGATTCAGTGGGTCTTGGGGACTCAAAACCAGGTCCACCTTGTAGAAACAACAGGTATGGCAGTTGTTGCTCTTCTTTCCCAACTGAAGCAAACAAAATTAGAATGGTAGAAACGAGTCAAAACAGATACAGTTAAAGATTGTTTAGGCCAATCAATACAATGAAAAGATACTGTACTTTGCATTAGTGGGGTCTTCTCTCTTCATACAAGTCCACATATGTGAGAAAAATATCGAATTTCTTAAACGAAGCATTAGCATTGGGTGTGCTTCTAAGGAGCTTAAAGATAAAAACCCAGTACATATGTGCATTGACTTTGTCGTTTTAAAGATGAACACACATGACAGCTCCATGGTTGAGAAACCGGTACAGCAGGTCATAGTACAAACACGCGCTAGTCAAACAATCCGAATCCTGTTCAAATTACTTTCTAGGAACAACCCATGAAAACGAAGAATCACCACATCTCACTGAATGTGGCACCACCACAAAATTGAACACTCTGTCATATATTGGAGACAGTCGATCACTATCCTGCACTACCAACATAGTGGAGGCATGAACAGTATTCATGACTACAAGGTGTGGAACTTCCAGTAGACTTCCATACATTCGCATCGATCTCGCTCAGTTCGAACAGACCTAGTGGTTACGGTTGCTTTTTTTCTTCCCCTTGTTGTGTGCTCGTGGTCCTCGTCGTCGCACTAGTGCGCCGATACATAGGATGCTTTTAACAGTCACAAACCACAGTGACGAGACGCCCCCACAATGTAAAGACAAGAGAAGGCTTTTCTACATTGGTAGGGTCAACAGATGTCGACTAAATGTCTAAGCTTCGTATTGCCGAAAGGAACTCAGTAAAGGAATACAAACAGAGCTTCGACAAGATTCGCTCATCGAAACAGCTGCACTAAAACGAAGAAACCATAAGTCATCACTGTCGTCCAAGCCCGAGAATGCTTCGACCAAGCTGAATCTACCAATTCCAGCATCGAGAACTACGACGTGATATCTGAACAAGAATCGACGTTCGAGAAAACCAAGTTCCATTTCCAAAAACAATCAAAGCCTCGGAATCAGGGGAAAAGAATTTGCAGCAATTTGAAACGAAGGAACTGAGTTCGTAATCGTGAGTGTACCCGCGACGACTTCACGAGCGAAGACGGAGATCTTCTGCGAGACGCCTCGATCAGCCGAATAATCGAGGGGGACGGCGAAGCGATGGTCCCGGAGCCGGAGCTCGGGCACGGAGTACCACTCTCCGGCGGCGTGCTCCGCCGGGGCGCCGCCGTTGGTGGCGCCAGAACTCGCCATGGCCGCGAATCTTCGAGCTAATCTGATCACCGTCAGCGTCAGGTGAGAGCGGAGGCTCGGCAATGCGGTGGGGTGCGGGAGAGCGAGGATGCGGAGGGGCTTTATCAAAGAAGGTGGCGCGTGGAGGATCAGCATTGTCGGGCGCGAGTGAGGCGGGGCGAAAAGGTCGGAATAAAAGCGCGCGTGGGAGTGGAGGATCTTTATCTCGGCGGGGCGACGCGACGTGGCGGATCGGACGCGCGTCGGTTCGGGAGCGGCGTTGCTCGGCTCATCTCGGCCGTTGGATTTGGAATGCCGTTGTTTTGTCATGTCGGCACTCAATGCGCCGAGGGGAGGGCGCGACGATAGCCGCGAGGAAGGGCGCGTGAGGCGCGCGAGCGAGGCTCGTTTGCTTTGACCGCGGGATGGACCGTTGACTTCTTATTGGCGAGGGAGGGGGGGGGGGGGGGATGGACGAACTGGTGGAGGAGCCATTTGACTAACGCGCTTTGGGCATGATTGTCCTGAAATGCGTTCCATTAGGCCGGATGCGTCGAGAACTTTTGCTCCCATTTGTCAACCATATGTCCCATTTCACTATATGCTTGTTCTATGTAGAAACTTGGGCAAGTCGATCGATTTGATGCCCGCAAAACACGAACCCGACGGTCTAATTCGGATGGAATCTCGAGGGGGTAAAAATGGACAGATCCAGCTAGGGGGGTGTCGCGCGAACAAAATCTCGAGTGGGTTTCGAAGATCCGCTTCATTAGCTACAATCAACCGATAATAAATTGCGAGTACCTAAACAATTTTATACCGATAAGTCATGCCCCACTCTCGTTGAACAGAAACAGAGCAATAATTTACTTTAAAACAGCTTATACTCGTCTTTCGGGAATCGGGACAGGCTTCAGGGCTAACGAAATCATTTTACAAAACAGAGCACGTTTCCTACGGCTGCAGCACTCAGCTTTTCTCTACAAAGCACGAAAAGAGGAAAAGAAAGAACAAGAGTATGATAGAGGACAATAGACTTCCTGATGAAGTGCTTTTAAGTGTTCCGGCAGCTCAGCTACCGCCGGCGGCGGTGACCGCATCGCCGGCGGACCAAGAAAAGCCGAACCATGGCTGAGACGGATCCGGAGATGAATCTCCGTAGTGAGAACCTAGTAGTCCCTCCAGACCCACGAAGAAATCATCGCTCAGAGCCGCACCAGACGACCCAGACTCGTCTTCTCCGTCATTATCCTGCATACTGCTGCTTTGGCTATATTCCTTCTCTTCTCCGCTTTCGCTGCTGGTGCTCTGAGGAACAAGCACCGCCTCCTCTTCCGCTGAAGTTACTGGGTTTGTAGTTGCAGTAGCAGCGGAGTCGACGCTGGCCTCGGCTTCGGGCGTCGAGGTCTTGGGGCGCGTGGAGCCGGCGAGTGAGCTCCGGTGCGTCGGCGCAGGGTGGTTGTGCTCCGACGTGTAGGTGACTATGAAGATTTCCGGGTCGGATCTGTTCCGCTCCACTTGCTTCCGGGCCAAGCACCCCTTGGAGCTACTGCATCTGTAATAGCTCCTGTTTCAGAAATCATTAAAAATAAGGATTTTCGTCATAAAAAACAGAGAGAATTCTGGAAACGGAAAGATTCGATCTCCTGAAGTACCTTGGATATGGAGAGCCTTTGATGGGTTTTTGACCGTATTTCCGCCAAGCCCACTCGTCCGAAGAGACTTTCTCTGCAGGAACTTGACGAACCACCTTCATCTGGCTCTTCCTGTGTTGTCCTCCATAGTCAGTCACCGAGCGGGTAACGAAACACGAGATTTTCGGAAGAAATAGGAGAAAAAAGACGGTACCTTTTCTTGGATCTGGGAGCGTGAGAGCTAGCTTTGAACGGAGCCGGAGGAGCAATTGCCGAAGCACCTTGAAACGGCCTCTTTTGCATCAGATGAGCACTCGACGAGCTCTTCCCGCCTTCAACAGCAAGAGGAGATGAGACGGGGTTGTCGCGATGCGAAAACAGAGGTTCATACGCGGGCAAGAAGGGCTTGTAAAGCTCGTGGAGCTCCTCCAGAAAGACGCCTCTTCCGGCCTCGAAGGGCTCCGGATCTGACCCTCCCAATGCAGGGAACGGAGTGCAAGAAGCGGGTTCGAGGCGATGCTCCGTCACCCATGATGTGGCGGCGGCGGCGGAGGAGGAGGAGGAGGCTGTGCAGCCCCTGACCACCGCATGCAGATCCCAGTCGACCTCCATGGCCTCTCCCAAAGCTCCTTGAAGTGCTCGCTCGGCCGTTCCAGAGACAGGAAGCTCTGAGGGAAATCTGCGCACCGAAAGCAGCAGCCACCACGGCAGGCGCGCGCTGCTGCGGCTGTCAGAAGAAGAATTGCAAGGCGGAGAGAGACGGAGAGAAGAGACAAAAGAAGGCGCTGACTTTTGCTGGGGAGAGAGAGAGAGAGGGGGAGAGGAAAGGGGGGGATCTGCAGCCGCATATATAGACGACACGTCCATGAGTAGAGAGAGAAATCGAGGGGGTTGGCATCTCGATGCCGCCCCCCCAATCCTGCTTTCCCATTCCTGCAAGAACACGAGGGAAAACCGCTGGTGGTTTCGGGTTTGACTTTTGTTCATTTGTCAAAAGGGGTTTTGCTCGCCTCGCGAGGCACGATGGGCGGAAATGGTCCACGCACGCCGGCGGGGGGCCCACGCTTCGCCGAGTGGGGGGGGCGGGAGGGGTGGGCTCGTGAATTGCCGACAAAAAAGGAGCCGGAAAGAATAGAAAGGTTTTATCGGGGCTAATTTACTCCATCGATATAATAATAACCGACGTGACAGACTTTCATTAGCGAGTAGCGACATTGTAAATGAAATTATTCTATCGAGGAGCTACCGAGGAATAATGCGATAAATAATCTATAAACTTTGATATAATACGTAACGTGATTCGTAAATTTTTAATTTATTTAATATGGTCCCCAAACTTTATAAGCGTGTTCAATGTAGTCCGTGAACTATGTGAAAATGTTTAATATTTTCCTTCCATTTATTCGAGATTGGGAACAATATTTAACATTTTCGTATAGTTTAGCGATTAAATTGAACATATACGTACAAAAAGCTTAGGGACCATATTGAACGAATTGAATGTTTAGGGACTACATTGCACGTTGGGCCAAAGTTTAAGGGCCATTTTGTGTCGTGTGTCCCGTGATTTGAATTCGGCTCCAATTTCTTAAGCTCGAGTAGCTTGAAGTTCTTTCGAGTTCGAATTCGAAAATACTTGATTTGAGTAGCTCACGACCCCCGTATTGGAATTATGGTGCAACTTAATTATGTGCGCGCATTGGTAAATATTATAAACATTTACTTATCGTTGCCTTTTAAAATCGTGTTGTGTTCCGATAACTTGAGTTTGGGATCGAGCTCGACTCGAGCTTACAATCGAAATTACCGATTGAACAAGTCGAGCAATTTCAAGCTCGCGAAAAGGCTTGCTCAAATTAAGCTCGGCCTTGATATCGAACTCGAGAGCCCAATCAAGCTCCTTGAATATCGAATTGTCCATAGACAAGAACGGTGGATGTCGAGTACTAAATCGTGTTGTCTAGACCTGATCATAGCTCTGATTCTTACAAAGTCTCGAATGCGACAAAACTCTCAAGTCTCGAACTTAAATCCATTTGAAACTTAAAATTTTTAGTATATCTTGCATTACTCGTTCGTGTGATGCAGAGGTAGTCAGATTGGAGAAATTATTACGTGTATGCACATTGAAATCATGTGGACCCACTACTTAAATCATAGGGGTGCTTGGATGCATACACCTTACACGTAACCCCATCATCATTGACTTGTAAAACCACCATTGATTTGAGAGGGTCCTTCTCGACATAATTTACAAGAGAAATATTTGGCTACAAATCAGCAAACACGTACATATACACATCCACAACCTTAAGGACGTAATCCATGTTATTTTATTAAACGACGTGACACTTTGTAAGTAGCTTTTAAGGCAGTTGGCCTATATAAGAGCTGAACGTAACGACTCGTCGATATAGGATTTGCCGGCCGGAAAAATTATTGCGCAAGTGTGATTTTTGTTAGGAGTAGAATCTAGATCATCCAGGATTGTGAATTCTATGTAAGGCCCGTGTGAATTTTATCAAATTTGACGATCTAGATCCGTTTTAACGTGCATGATGAATTCATTGAGTAACGTGTTACTACCATAACAAATCTCAAATCGATACATTCGTGCCATATTTATCCCCAAAGTAATTTTCGAGTCACAAAAAATCCAAAAGCAATGCACCCGTGTCACATTAACCCAAAACTAATTTTCATGTCATAGGAAATCCTAAATCGTCACGCTAGTGCTACATTTACCTTTAACAAATTTTCGTGCCACAAAAAATCTCAAATCATCAAAATATTTGATTGCATAATTTGCTAAAATCTGCTAATTTTGGCCAAAGAGCTCTATCAAGTATCGAAAATTTACTAAAACACATAACTTTTGGTAAATGTGGCACGAGCGTATTAGTTTGGGGCTTTTTGTGACACGACATTGAATGAGTTAAATGTCGCACTACAAATGTACTAGCTCAAGGTTTTTTGTAATACGAAACGTAGTTTGGGATAACTACGCACGGATGTAATAATTTAGGGTTAATACTGTGAAAAACCCAAAACAAAGTTATCAAAAACTAATTTTTTAGCCACCAAATACCCCAAACCGGTACACATGTGATAAATTTATCCCAAACTAATTTTTTTACCACAAAAAACCCCAAACTGGTATATTTGTGACAAATTTACTCTCCGTTAGTTTCCGTTAAATTCGATTGATCCTACGAAAAATCACAAACTAGTACACATGTAACAAACGAATGATAAAACCCAAAATTAGAACAACCACTACTTGTCATTTAACAGTAAAATTTAACGGAAATTAACGGAGGGTATATTTATCACAAACGTACCAGTTTTTTTTGTAGTCAGAAAATTAATTCGAAGTAAATTTATCTTTTTTTTTGTCAGATCAAAATTTTTTGGATTTTTCGTTATATTAATCCAACATAATTTACTATTTTCGGTGGTGTTAACCGTCGAATAATTTCTTGCCCACGCGGAGCCGAGCTGTCCCTCGCTACTTTGCTTTGTGAGAGAGAGAGAGGGGGGGGGGGGGGGGGGGAACGCAAAATTCTCCATAAAGGAGCGGCCGTGGACCGGGATTAGCCGCGTGCGCCGCACGTGCTCGAGTCCTAGGATTCGGGTACTCGAACGGGGGCCTGGGACGAGGTGCGCGGATCACGTCATCGTTCGTCCCGCATCTCGCCCCTTTTTTTCAATGTTCTCCGCCGTATCTAATTCTCTAACGAAGCTGCCGTGCCGAGCGCTAAAGCGAAGTCGGCCATAACGCGCGACGTACACGCACGCGATGCTTCATGCTCCCCCCCTCACACGAGACATCCCACGCGTGAATCATGCACGCGTGTCCCATGCTGACATCGAATGATCTAGCTACGACCCAATGCATGCCACGACTTCATTTTACCATGTTAGGGTGCGTCAGTTTTCGCGGAGGATATAATTTTCGAAATATATTTTATTAAAAATAATCGCGCGTATGATTTATAGAAATAAATAAATGAAAAATATTTTTATGGATCACGAGAATATTTAGATATGAACCGTTATCGACAATAAGACTAATTTTCATTGATCGACTTTTTTTAAGTAATACGTAGGATTTTTTGCGGTTAATACCACAAACCGGTGCACTCGTGATAAATTTACCCCGAACTAATTTTTTGACCACCAAAAACTCCCAAAACCGGTACACCGGCGACAAAATCACCCTCCGTTAATTTCTATTAAATTTTACCGTTAAATTGCTTTGTTAAATGACACGCTGCAGTTGACGAATATACCAGTTTTGGGCTTTACCCTCTATTTATCACAGGTGTACCAGTTTGTGATTTTTCTTTGTATTAATCCAATTTAACGAAAATTAACGGAGGGTAAATTTTTCGCAAGTGTACAAATTTGGAGATTTTGGTAGTTAAAAAATTAATTAGAAGTAAATTTATCATCGGTGTATTAGTTTTAGGTTTTTCATGATATTAATCTTTATTTTTATTATTCATTTTTCGCCGTATAAATGAAGTCTTATGTAATTACTTTTATTTACATGTTGACTCATATATGTCCACTGACTTTTACAAGGCCCAAGAGAAGAAAAAAAAAAAAAGACATGCGAGTTTTAGTCCAATTGCTTGGCCACGTGATCACAATGCCACGTCATGATCGCCCAGGATCTTCTCTTTCGTGGCGCTTGGTTTTCTCGTTACTTTTCCTCGTCATGATTGCGAGTTCATAAAATTCCTAACGTTCTTCGCAAGTTATATCTCTTTCGACTTTTACTTAGTTTAATGATTATCCTATCGGTCTTTCACGTCGTGATCCGGCCGTATAGGGATAAAATGCGAGATAAGAAATCCTAGATAAAAGATGTGATAAATTCGGATGGAATAAAAAAATAACTTGGCAAATCCTGCTATATTCTAAAAGACGGAATGTTGGACTGATGCATTCGAATATTGTTTCGACGACCACCGTGTGAGGGTCGCCATTGCGACACTCGATCATTGAGCCACTCCCAACCACCACGAGATCGTTGTCCCCTTCGATCATCATCGCTGGGCAACCGATCGTGCTTCAACGATTGATGGCGAAAAGAAGTCCGAAGACGATTGCCGTTATCTCTAACCACTTGGACTACTAAGCCCGTCGAATCTAGGAGGTGAAAGAAAGGTACGGTCAACACCCGCACGAGAGTTTGCTTCATTTTCCAACGATTTAGAGTTGCGACTTAGAATTTCTACATTTAGAGATGTAAATATGACGATGTCCAGAGTGATTTGGTAACTGGGATTGTGGAATTGGGAGAAGATTCCAATTATCATGAAATTGATCGAGAGAGCAATGGATGGGGTAGCAAATTCAAGGCATTATATGAGCGTCGAAAGTGGTAGGTGGAGGCCGAAGTGAGCCATATCAATCGGGGTATTTCTTAATTGTAAAAAAAAAAAAAATAGGGCCTCTACAACATAGCATAGTTCGTTCTGCTTCCGCCATCCTTAGGTTTTCTTCTACCTCTGTCTCGCAACTTCACACTATCATGACAAATTGCAGTTCTAAGGAAACCCAAAACTATGTCGACGACTAATCTTCCCAAAGGTATAGCCTCTGTGTTTGATTTCGTTTTCCTTTTTTTCGCTTTTGAACAAAATAAATAAATAAATAAAAACATCACACGACGGAGGATTTTTAAAGATTTTCAATCCTATCTTAATTGCACCAAACATACGATGGTTCTATCCGAACATGATTTCTAATTCCATCTTATCCTAATCCGAATCCGGACATTAAATGTTGCCTCAAAATTAATTGCGTGAAAAAAAAAAATCACAATAAGCTAAAACTCGCCCTCACGCTTAGTCCGATCTGTTAGGAGCCTGGAAAGATTTAAACTCGGGACCTCAATTCTTAAACTATTAAATGAAGCGGTGGTTTGATATTTAATTACCCAAACAAAAAACGACATTAAGTCTCCCCTTCAAATCGATCGCGCTCTCGGGCTCGGACTCGAGTTCAAATGAACCGAATCCGTCATAATCGTTCATCATGAAAATTCTCCCGGTCGGGGGTTGGGTCTTGATGGTTCTCTTCGTTTCGTTCACAACGTTCCTCGGATCCCACCGAGGCGGATCGGTGTCGCGGAATAATTGACACAGGAGTGATGATTCCCCTCCCTTCTTTTCCCGATTCTCTTCTTCTTCTTCTCCTCTCTCTCTCTCTCTCTCTCTAGCATCGAGTGGAGGACAGGAGCGTGATGATGGTGATTTCATCAGATCAAAGAAAGGAGATGATGCGCCTCCAGAACCGGACCCCGCCACCAGCAGTCGCCACCACTTTTCACCTCTACCAAACCAAACCGGGTAGCCCCGCCTTTCCGTCGTTCCAAATACCGAAGAGTCGAAAAAAAGGGGGTTTTCCCGAGAGCGGTTTTTCCCCTTCCCTCGCGAGCCCGAGTTCATGAACCGACCGATGCCTCGAACTACATGCATCGACGCGTTTGTTTTTGTTTGGGGTGCGTGTGTGGGAGCGAGTGGTGGTGGTGATTGATGGGAGGAGGGGTGGGGATTGGGTTGGTGGGGTTGGCGATTCCCTTCCATTAAAGGTGGATTGATGCTGTGCTCATCATCGGTTCGCCTCCTTTGGGTCATTGTGAAGTTCTAGCGGGACAATGGAACGAGAAAAGGAATGATTGCTTACGTCTTCTTTAGCATGGTGGTTTTTTCTCTTTTTCATGGAGACTTGGAGAGCTCCACCGAACATACAGTTCAGAGAATCCACAGAGATTTGAATTTAGAGGTAGATGTCTGCACGTTTTTGTGTAAATTGCGATGGTTATGATGTATTCATCTTTTTTCAGATTCTTTTGCACAGTGTGTATGGGGAATGGGGCCGAGAAAAGTGAAGGGTCCCTCGACCATGAAAAAAAATATTCGGTGGTTTGCGAGCGCCACGTCACCGGCTAATATGACCTGCGTTTATTCACTTCGAGCTAGGGGTGAGCGGTTCCCGGTCCGGTCCGATTCCAAGGTGGAATCGGGAACCAGACCGAGAGAACCGGTTCCCAATTTTGGGAACCGCGGACCGGACCAGTTGGTTCTAGGATCGGGAACCGGTTCAATGGAACCGGTTACTTAGAGTTTAGGGTTTTTTTTTTGTCAAACACTTAAGGTTTGGTTCACATTTTACTAATTTTTGTCAATAAATTTATGTCAATGAAGTTCACTTAGAGTTTAATTCACATTTTACTATTTTTTATCAATGAATTTATGATAATGAAGTTCACTTAGAGTTTAGTTCACATTTAATTAATTTTTTTAAAGAAAAAAATAATAAAAATATATATTAAATAGTCGGTCCGGTCCGGTCCGGTTCCCCCTTGGAACCGGGAACCGGACCGCCCGGAAACCGGTTCCGCTTTTAGGAACCGGGAACCGGATCGATAGTCCCGAGAACCGGACCAAACTCGTCAGTCTGGTCCGGTCCGGTCCGGTCCCGGTTTGGGCGGTCCAAGTTGCTCACACCTACTTCGAGCCAATTAGGAATTGACGCGTGTATACTGACGTGGACTCGGATTAAACAAATTAAAAATCTCTATCCAACCCCTCTCTTCCTCCTCCATCTGCGATTGTAGCCAACTTGAGCCCACACCGGCGGAGTAATCGGGGCCTCCCTATGCTGTTGCTACCGGCAGAGTTGCCATGGACATTGCCGTCAAGGCTCGCGGCCATGGACAAGCTTCAAATATGGAAGTTTTGCAATCTTTGTGCTCGCCTCCATCAAGGATCTTTGCCAGATTTGAAAGTTCTCAATCGTCCTCGCTCGTCCGTGGCCATTGCCCCTACATTTGACTCGAATGCGGCCATGCTCCATATCTATCACGGGCAAGGCTCCAGATTTGGACACGACCATGGTTCCAGATCGGAGTCGGGAGAGATAACTCACCGGAGGGAACTTGAAGGGAGGACAATGGAAGGGGATACAAGGGATAGAGACTCCATGACTGTTTGAGGTGGAGGAAGGAAACTTGCTGCGGCCAACCATGGTGGGAAGGTGGGCGTTGAAGATGGAGGTTACACCGCCCTGAGCAGTGGACATGGCCGAATTGGGGGGTGGATTCTCAAGTGGGTGGAGAGGTGGTGGGTGCGATGGAGACGAAGAGAGAGAAAATTCGTAATTCTGATTTTTTCTATTAAAGACACGCGTCAATTTTTAATTGCACCAATTCAAGTTGATACTTGCCACGTCAGCTGATGACGTGGCACTCACAAACCACTTAATATTTTGTCTCTACTGTGGCCTTGGGCCTCTTGTGCTCTCAAATCTAGGATAAGCTCCGGACATGAAAGAAAACCTGATTACGAGTGCGGCGCGAGGCCAGCACGGTTGCCTTGATCTGGCTCGAGCCACACGGGTCTGAAGGCTTCTTTTGGCGGGCTCTAGCAAGGGCCTAGAGTTATTGGATGTGGCCTGGAAGCGGATCACTTCTTTGTTTTTTAAAAGGGGGGGGGGGGGGGGTGGTGGGGTTGGTGAATGGGCGACCCTCGTCTTAAATCTTAGGGATAATGACACAAATAATCTCCGAATTTTGATTTAATGTTCAATATAGTCCCTGAACTTTTAATTTGTTCAATGTGGTCCCTGAACTTTTGGTACATGTTCAATTTAGTCCCTGAACTCTATGAAAATACATAATATAGTTCCTGAACTTGAATTAATAGAAGGACTACATTGAACATTTTTATAAAGTTCAGGGACCAAATTGAACATATACAAAAAGTTCAGGGACCACATTGAACAAATTGAAAGTTCAAGGATCACATTGAACATTGGGTTAAAGTTCATGGACTATATTGAACAAATTAAAAGTTCATGGACCAAATTGCACATTAAATCAAAGTTCATGAACTGTTTGTGTCATTTTCCCTAAATCTTAAGCTAATCGAAGAGCCAGACCCCTCCTAGCAGTCACATTGTACGCCAAAGACAGCTACTTATAGGTTGATTCCAAATTTTTGTTGTTGATCATCCTTGCAAAATTAGAATTAACACACGCATCAAGGGGAATAAGATCTTAATTTATGCTGTGAATGATTACTCGTTGCTGTGATCAATTTCTAATTTATAGTATGAATAATTACTAAATAGCTCCATTCATTTTTATCCCGGATAATTGTTCAAATATGTTCACAAAACTTTTGCGAATGTTCTTGCTCGCTTGATGATAGGGAAAATTGTCCTAGACCTATTATGCGTTTGTCAATTCAGTCATAAACCTTTAAATTGTACCAATTTAATCCTAAATCCTTTTCATCGATACTTCAATCATTACTTTCTCACATGCCATTCTCCCTTATTATAGTTTTCTTGTTTCTTTCGCTCACAATACCCATGTGTAAAGTAAATGAGTTGACATGGGAAAACGACACAAACAACCCTTAAACTTTGGGCCAATATACAATTTGGTCCCTGAATTTTTAATTTGTTCAATATAGTCCCTGAATTTTAGTCTAATGTTCAATATAGTCCTTGAATTTTTAATTTGTTCAATGTCATCCGTGAACTTTTGGTACATGTTCAATTTAGTTCCTAAATTATATGAAAATGTTCAATGTAGTTCCTGAACTTTTTCATAAAGTTCAGGGACTAAATTGAACATGTACTAAAAATCCGGGGACCACATCGAACAGATTTAAAGTTCAGATAACACATTGAATATTAGGCCAAATTTCAGAAATTATATTGAATAAATTAAAAATTTGGAAATTAAATTGCATATTAAGTTAAAGTTCGGGACCGTTTCTTATCCAAGTTGATATTATAGAGATGGCTATTGGTTGTCATACATAAAAAAGAAAAAAGGAGAAGGAAGGGGCCCAGATGGAACTCAAGTGTAGGCCCGTTCCCTTCCAAAATCTCTCTCCTCGCGCGCTCATATTTTCCAATCCGATGCCCTTCCGGGAAATTTGAAATTCCCCCAAATTCATTTTCCCGGGAAAGTGAAAAATAGAAAAGAAAACACCCCACGAAATGAGCGAGCGGAGAGATGGCGGAGATGGCCGCCGCTGGCGGCGACGCGAGGAGCACGACGATATGCTCCATCTGCTTCGAAGATCTGAAGCCCATCGTCGAAGACCTCCAGGCCATCCCCATCTGCGGCCATGTCTTCCACGAGCTCTGGTCCATCTCCCCTCCCTCCCTCCCTTGTCCCTCCGCTTCGCAATCGCTATGGAGCGAATCGCTGCAGTCGCTACAGTCGATCTCTAACTTTTTTTCCCCCTCTCTCTCTCTCTCCCCTTTCGATGTCGAATCCGCAGCTTGCAGCAGTGGTTCGAGTACTGCCCCAGCACGAGGAAGCGGAGCTGCCCCATCTGCAAGCAGGCTTGCCAGGCGAACAAGGTCTGCCGGCTCTACTTCCAATCCGTCGGCGACGCGAGCGATGCCGCCGCTCCTCCTCCTCCTCCGCCGGCGTCGCGCGGACTCGAGGTCGATCCCGAGGTGTTGCGCGTGGAGGTGAGGAGACTGGAGGCGAAAGCGTCGGGGCTCGTTTCTGCTATGGAGCATCAGGCCAAGGATCTCGCACAGCTCAACGAGGAGGTACGAGGTTCTCGACCCGGTCGTGACTGGTTTTGATCATGCGGTCGAAGGAAAGGATGGAAGAGAAGTTCTTGTGTTCTGATAAAGTTATCTCAAGTAGAACGCCAACGAGTAATTTGTTCATCTAAACGTGTTTAGGCATATTCGAGATCTTCTTGGCAGTTGAAGCTTATATGGGTGGATAATGTTGTTGCAATGTGGTTCGGACAATAGATTGCGTGTTCCCTCTCTGTTTACTGAGTTAGCTACGGTTGAGACGGTGTTTCAATGTTGAGCATGTAAACAAAATCAGGTAATACCCACTGCAGAAGTAAGCCGAACCTCACAGGTATAGGTTGGCAGAGATTTAAGATACTGATTTGGCTTTCTTAATTGTAAATGTGTTACTGTAGAATACATAGAACCGTGGTGGCTCTTTTCACTGCTTATGAGAGGAGAGAAATGGAGCCCGCCATTCTCTTCCACCAGATCGACTCTGCTCATGTCATCTCGGCAATTTTGGACCTACCTGCTGCAAAAATGAAAGCATTATGCAAATCACTTTTTACCTCCATTCATCTTCGGTTTTTCCTAAAGTATGTACTGCTGAAAACATCCGTTTTGCCTTAAATGAACAGACAGCAAGGGCCAAGAAGTTTTGGATATCTCATTGAGGTGTCATCAGCTAGAGCTTTGTCTTGACTATCTCCTATTTGGCTCTCATGTGAATCTTTTGTTCTGTGGATTTTTTGTCCCAGCTTTGCCTTTCCAAGGAACTGGCAAAAAGGGAGGCGGCACTGAAGGATGATGTCTTAAAACAAAAAGCTTCCATTCAGCGGTTGCTTCATTTGAAATCTGAGGTTGTAGAGAGTGATGTAGGCTTTATTCTGCTCTACCAAATTATGAAAATATCCTTCCATAATTTTTTGGGTACTTCTTGGTCAAATTTGACAGGAGCTTGATAAGACCACTTTGGAATGCTTAAGGTTGCAAGAAAGAAACATGGCATTGGCTAAAGAGCTTGCCGCACTTAAATTGTAAGTAGATTCAGGAAGAGGCAACCTTTTTATTAATTTTGGATTGTTTTCTATTCGGGACACTGATGTCATGTATTATGATGGTTGAGATAGGGTGTCTGACTTGGACTTGGAGGAAGGTGAAGTCCTAAAGCTTGCCAGTCTGGGTAACGAGGGCAACACCAGAGATACCATAGACATCCTTAGAAAGTCCTTAGTCATACGAAATCAGTGAGTTATTTCCATCTGAATCCTTAAATAAATTGATTACTTCTGAAGTCAATAATTCTAGGCATGCACATGGCAAAATTGGTCAACCATTATTTCTTCTGAAATTTTTATCTACTCCCGCTCCAATTTGTTCCTTTCGTTTAGGCTTGTCAAATTGTTTATTGCTGCACCTTTACAGGAGTTATAAAGAATTGATGGCTAAGTGCAATGTTCTTGGGAGAGGAGAGGCTCGTTCAACGCGGAAGCTTGAGAAGGCAAAAGAAAAGATAAGTAAATTGAAGGTAAGTCGATGCACGATTTGCAAGTGTTTCTTCGTGAGATGATATACTTTCAGGCCAAAAAAGTGACCATCTGTTGTCTGGTTGTCAGATCAGGGTCCAAGAATTAGAAGCATCTATTGAAGCAAAAGATAATGAAGTCCTGAGGTCTCTGAAGCAAAAGAGACATAAATCTGATGCTACCAATCAAATTGAAGCTACCTGTTATACAACTTCAGCAGTAGGAAAATCGTCCCCTGAAGATCAATCAGCGCCAGCCCCTGTACCATTGCCAGACTCTAATTTATTTGGTAAAGTTTCAAAGTCAGATGCTTCTTTGGCAAAAGAAGGTTTCAGAACCGTGAGAAATGTGGGTGCAAATAACAATGGACCGAGTTCCATTACCTCAAGACAAGTCGACGCATTCATTTTTATCAACGAGGATGCCTCAGAACTTCCTCAGCCTGGTGCAAACAATGTCATCAATAAAAATGAAGTATTTAAATCAGAGAACTCTTCTTACTTTAATCAGGAAGTTGTGGCGCCTAAAGCATCAAATATCCCCACTGACAGTGGATCTCATAAGGTGGATATTGTCACCATAGATGATGATGTGGCAATTATGAATGACCATAACCTAGGCCAGCCAGTGCTGAACATTAGAAAAGAGACTTCCCCGCAGCTTCCGCTTGGCAGGCCAGGTAATTAGCTTCTGCCTTTATTGGTATCCGCGTGTTTTGTCAATGAGTTGACGGAGCTTGTGCTACCAAGTATTATCATATAAATACTTTTGTTAGAACTTTTGCGTGCATATCCTGAAAACAAATTGGCTGGCATCTAACTTACATAATCCACTAGGAGGAATATGTTTTTCCGGTGGATTGCTTGCTCCAGATGGAACAACAAGGTATTTGGGAAAATGGTGTAAGCGGGGACAGAGTGAGACATTGAAGGCCGTGCAGAGCTCAAGCATCAGTAATGGTGGTCTAATAGCTGTCGGATCTGATGGAAGAGGTGGTAGAATCAAAGCCCTGAGGTCTTCCATGCAAACTTCAGTGGTATGCTAGCACACCCATTCTTTCATGTAGCAATCTGGCATTGCTTAAAACAGTTTGTCTGGTTATGGTCTGGTGTCAGCTAAATATTTGGTAAATTTGCTAAAGCATAGCCAGACTGTATTCAAGGGCAATGAGGCTTTTTTCCTACCTTCATGCATATTCATCTGCCTAATGTTGGAGGCCTGTTTTTCACAATTAGGAAATTCTCAAGTTGGCACTGCATTTTTTTCCAAGTCCCTCAGGAATGCTGATGAAGTTCCACACTATGCTAGAATTGTGTTTTGGGTTATATCTTCCTATCATTAAGTAAAAAAAAAGAAGCTATTTATGATGCCAAAGGGGTATGTTCTTTGGTGCAGGATGGTAAGGAGATGCCAATGAAGAGATGCAAATCTGAATCCAAGACAAATATCTCTCAATCGAAACCATGCTTGCAAATAGAACACTTCTTTGCAAAGACGAGTCACTAAGTACACTTACTGATGCATGGGTACATTTTGGCGAGGTTCCTGTGGTCGAGCATGCAAGGTAAAAGCTCGATTCCTTGGACTGTGCTCTAAATGGCACTAAGTTGCACGATTGCGCACTCATTAAGTGCCACTATTGTTCGGAAAAAAAGAAGTTGCGAGCATGGTAAAAACTCGATTCCGTTTGAAGTGCTCTGAATGGCAGCAAAGTTGCATTATTGTACAGCTGGTGATCGAAGAAGACTCGTGTTTCATAAGGATTTGACAATAGTGACTCATTTTTCCTGCAATCTCATTTTGTCTCCATTGATTCGCGGTTTATAGCATGCCATCAACTGTCCGAAGAACTACACCAATCTGCCTTGTCGCTTCCCATGAAATAGTACAGCGCTTGCAGATGGGAAGAATACTTGGAGGCTGTGAATCCAAAAGTAGATTTAGAGTTAGCAGTCTTCACAGCCGGAACAATTTGCTTTGTTGTCATTATGGAGGTTTCGTTAGTCTTTGGGATATATTTGATACGAGTTCGAAAGGCCGGAATTTATTTTGTTGGGTTAGAAAAGGTGGGGATCAATTGAAAAGAGGAAAAAGAGGTGACAGCCTTTTTGTCATTTTGCCTTTACTAAATTGCTTGATATGACGATAGGTAAACTTGTTTAGTCTAGAGGGATCGATGAGACTATCAAATGCTAAAATCGCATCGGATACTAGATCCGATTCTTAAGTGGTATTTTGGTCGAATTGGATTAAGCCGGCCGAAACCGGAAAAAGAAAACAAAAAAGTCAAGAGAGAGACCCCATGGGAATTAGACTAGTACAAGATTGAATTGGTCGACCTGGTCTGATTTTCAAAATAGAAAACCGTGCTGGACAGCCGAGGGGATAGTCTTCGTCGTGTTTCTTCTTTTTTCCTCTTTTTTTTTTCTAGCGTAAAATAAATCTATATCCTTTTTTACCGAAATAAATGTATTTCATTGCCGAGGAATAAAACGCGAAATCGTATACATCCCCGACTCAAATAACTGATGCTTAGTTCATGACCAGTGAATTTCAATTGAAAGGGTAAATTTTTTTCTTCTAATAAATACGATAGTAGTTAGTGTCGTCCGTCAATTCTCGGTCACCCGAAAACCCGGCCCGACCGAACCGACCCGCATCCCCGCCCGCCCGACAGAGAGAAGGACAAAAAAAAAAAAAAAAAAAAAATATCTGGCTCCTTCTACCCATCTTCAACCTCTCTCTCCTTCCATCGTAAATTTTCTCTTTTCAAAACCCTAAATAAAAAATTCCCACCACCCCCGCATGCCTTCTCCGTCTTCCCCGATCGCTGCAATCGCAATCCCCCATGCGACGCTAGCTTCTTCTTCCTCCCCGCCGGATCCTCGATCTCCATCGCCGGGCAATCGAAGCTGAATCGGCCAGAAATCATCGATCGCCGGCCGCCCGTCCATGGCGATCCCCAAGACCTCCAACTCCTACCCGGCGTCGCTGAGCTACTCGGTCCACCTGGAGATCCGCCTCTTCTACGTCCGCATCTCCCCCTGCGTCCCCGGCCTCGTCCCCGACCACCTCACCCTCCGCCACGCCCGCCGCGACCTCGGCGCCGCCCTCGAGATCAACGGCGCCCGCGTCCCCGAGCTGAGCCCCGCGTCCGTCGCGCTCCGGCGCGACCGCGTCGACAAGGACGCGCTCGAGGTGACGTACCTGAGCACCGACAGCGTGCGGATCACGGGCGGGGTCGAGTTCGAGGTGCTGGAGGGCGAGGACCTGGTCCTGTGCGGGTCGTTGGAGAGGGTGGACGACAATTGGAGCAACGCGGGCACGGGGCTGGAGAGCGATTCGAACAAAGGGTGGTTCATGGATTGCTACGTCGCGAATTTGGGCGGTTCTTCGTCGTCGGCGTCGTCTTCCGCCTTCTTTCAACCGAAGATGGGGGTGTCTTCTCCGTCCATCGAGGTGTATATCGCGGGGCGGTGCTCGGGCGTTCCGGTCATTTTGACGAAGACGATACAGGTGAGCCCCAGAAGGAAGGGGTCGCGGCACGGAACTTTGGATGCTATACCGGAGGATGAAGAGATCGGGAAGGAGCAGAACATTGGGAATGGGTTGGTTCGACATCGAGATTTGCAGGTACATGACAAAGTGCCGCGAATATTCCTAGCTGTTGTTCACTGTGTTGCAGTCCGTTCTTCTTATATATAGCTTGGATATGTGCGTGCGTATGGCAATATTGTTGATGCGAAGGCAAAATTTCTCATTGAATTTATTATGATCGCTTGAAGAACATGAACATGGTGGTGGTAATTTCGGTCACCTGGTTTATAGGTCAAGAGGTTGTGGAGCTGCTGGGTGATTTAGAATGTTTGGAACTTTTAGGAGCACGAGTGCTGCGTAAATAGTTGAGATGGGGCTTATTCATAGGATTTCGGGGGCGATTTTAGCAGGAACTGCTGATGCGTGTTGGAGCTTGGATTTGTTTTCCTTTTCAAACCATTACCTTTCCAAAAGGGGATTCAGTACACTGAATTTTACTATAACCGTTCGTTCTTTCGGAGTGTTTGCTTGATTTGCGAGTGGTGCCACGGTTTCAATGTAGATTGATTCGATGAACATCAAGAGGTTCCGATAAATTTAGCATATACACCGGTAGTTTCGATTTACAGGGACTTCTCCTCTGGTCAACTGTCATTCTGGTGCAGTTGGCTGGTTATCATCTCTCATTTTCAATCAGCATTGCTATGTTTAATATTATACCCTTCTTCACTCGCTATAGTTATGTTTCGAGCGTTGCTGTTATGATTCTAATATCCCATAATTTCGGGGCTTATGCAGATGGTAGATGGGGAATTTGATGACTATGGACCAGAGAGTAAATTTGGGCACCCATATTACTCAGAAGACATGTATACTGGCGAGGACGGACAGCTTACATGGTTTAATGCCGGTGTAAGAGTTGGTGTTGGAATTGGCCTGGGTATGTGCCTTGGGATCGGGATAGGTGTTGGACTGCTCATGCGCTCATACCAAGCAACTACCAGGAACTTCAGGAGAAGGTTTTTCTGAATCTGGTCCGCATGAGGGTCAAACTCGCATCGGTTTCTGTAAAGGGATGCTGGAGCTCAGGAATTTCACTCTGGTTAGTAGCTTGGACTGTCCAAGGTTTTGGTTACGTATGGCATCGGTCAGTGAACTAGAGTTATAGAGCAAGTCATGGCGATTCTTTCGGAAGTTGTATAGCAATTTATTTCTCGTGAAGCTTTCAAGAGAGCTGAAGCGGTTGTCCAATAAACTTCCTTTAGCTGACATCTGGACTGCCAGCAGCTGTTCAAACGATCCCGTAACATACATAACGACGTTTGCTGCAGTTGTTGGTGCAGTGCGGCTGGTGTGTCGTAAACTTCAGTTTTGGTCCTCTTACTCAAATTTTGCTGGCGATCCGACTCGTGTAGTTAAGGTCCCGTTTGTGAGCTTTATCGAGCAGTAGATGTTTTGTATGCTAATGTGAGGATGTATCGAGGGAGAGGGTATGCGTGAGTGCGCGCGCACTCGTTGTATAGCTTTCGCATTATCCGGGTCCTCGTGTTGGAGAACGGTTCTCATCTTTTGGGCTCAAGTGTGCGGATGGGTACTTGGGAAATGTAGATTCGTCAGCTTATTGTGATATTCGATGGGTGTTAGCTTTGGTCGTTTGCATTTATCTAGTCTCAGACTCTCTCTGTCTAGGCATCTTTCATTCTTAATAAGCTGTGAACTGTTTCCTCAGTTGTGCGATTTCGCTTGTTCTATGTGGAAATATATACACAATAAAAGCTACCTTTTTACAAGATGAATCGAGGGTTTGCTTGCACGTGCTTTTGTTTTGGCGAAGCTTTTTTTTTTTTTTCCCTCGTGATTTTCTTCTTTTTAATCGAATTTTTATACTGGAGAGAAAGCACTTCAAGCAGCAGGCTGCCCCATTCGTCAATTTGAAGGTGATGGGCAGGAGGACTTCTAACCTTAATATTCCGTATCTATCTATATGCCTAAGGAAGCATATGCTCATGAAGAATATTCCTCGGACGACGGATTAATTTGGGCATTACGTCGATTTCAAAACGTTAGCTGAAAGATCAGGACCGGCAACTTTTGACAATGATGCGGAAAGACATGATATCTTGTTCGTATTGGCCTTTTTTTTTTTTTTGGGGTCAAAATTACTGACGACTTGTTTTTTTGTTGAAAGAAATTACTAATGACTTTGTTAGCTAGCAAAAAATGAAGAAGAAATCCCATGAGAGAAAAACTTAAAAAATAAAGAGGTGAGTGTAATGGAAATTTTAAAACTTTTCACGAAAGTGTAATTGAGTCTTAAAATTTTAAAAAAGTATAATTAAGTTCTAAAATTTTCAAGAAGTACAATTAACGAAGGAACTTTTGATTGAATTAATTTGATAATTTTATATTTTGAAAATTTAACGGTTCAATCGTATTTCGTGACTTGTTTTTAAGATTTAATCGCACTTTTTTTAAGTTGTCGCGACTCAAATGCAATTATTAAAAGAAAAACGCAAAAACGTCGGACGGCGCGTGACTCGCAAACGCTTTCCCTCAACCCGAGGAGAGAGAGACGAAAACGGCTCCGCACCTGCACCTGGAACGCTTTTTAGCGTTCGAACAAGATCCGAACAACAACCACCACCACCACCATCGTCATCTTCATCGAACCTGAAGGAAAATGCCCCAAATCCTCGAGCGCTAAAACCCTAATCTTGCTCGACCACCGTCCACCACCACCGCCGCGGCAATGGCCAGATCTTCCCTCGCGGTGGTGCCCCACCAGCCGGACGACCCCTCCTCCTCCCTCCCCCTCGTCGTCGCCCTCAACTGCATCGAGGACTGCTCCCTCGAGCTGTCCTCCCTCGCCGGCGTCGCCTCCGTCGAGCACGTCCCCCTCAGCCGCCTCGCCTCCTCCGACCGCACCATCGACTCCGCCTCCGCCGTCCTCCTCCACTCCCTCGCCTTCCTCCCCCGCGCCGCCCAGCGCCGCCTCCGCCCCTACCAGCTCGTCCTCTGCCTCGGCTCCGCCGACCGCGCCGTCGACTCCGCCCTCGCCGCCGAGCTGGGGCTCCGCCTCGTCCACGTGGACACCTCCCGGGCCGAGGAGATCGCCGACACGGTCATGGCTCTGGTCCTCAGCTTGCTCCGGCGGACGCACTTGTTGGCCCGGCACGCGCTCTCGGCTTCCGGGTGGCTCGGATCGGTGCAGCCTCTGTGTAGGGGGATGAGGAGGTGCCGCGGCTTGGTGCTCGGGATTATCGGTAGATCGAGCTCCGCTAAGTCACTCGCTACGCGTGGATTGGCATTTAAGATGAGCGTGCTCTACTTCGATGTCGTCGATGTAAGTGAAGTTGCCATCTTTTGCACTTCACTTGGCTTGAATGTGTGTGCCTCTGCCTTCAATCGATCGTTCAGGGGTAACGTTATGCTGTCATTCGGCTGCAATGTGAACTCGTAGGGTTAACCTAGCTAGTCGAAGTGCATTTTGACCGTGACATTTGATGAGCTAATGGCTCTAGTCATGACAATGTCTATGTTAAGATTAATTGAAGTTTGGGGATTTCTTGTTGCATTGAGCTGGTCAGTTGCTGTTCCATCTCCTTCAGCTGGTTCTTTATTTCTGTTTAGACTGCTCGAAAAGGATTATATGATTCAGTGGTTTGGTCAGTTGGATATCTTCTCCTTAAGTTATTTCGGGTTGCGTCGTTGTCAGTGGCTAGAGGGGATGTTGCCGTGCCCCTCTATTATCAGTAAGATGTGATGTCTTTTGTAGCTATTTTAGTGAATGAAATGCGTGTTGAACTGGGTGTAAGTACTTAATCTGTCTTATTATAGCTATGCTTACTTCATAGCATTAGCTATTCAATTTATGGGAGAACTTACTGGGTTGTTCATCAGTTGCTTTAGAATATTAGCTTGTTGCTGCTTCATGATATATCAAAATAATCACCATCATGTCTTACTGAAGTACGACAGCGTCAATGTTTCATGCAACTAGAGTTGTGTTAAAAGTTGGGAGCATGGCTTAATGTTGGAAGTTAAAAATTGTAACTTGAGCATAATAGTTGTTCTTTCTGAGAAATTGAAGCTGGGTTTGTTCTAGAAGTATAAATTGTCATTGCAATCTTTTCATTATCGCAAGAGCAGCCCACTGAAGTCCTCAACTGCAGTGTTATCTTGAAATTTTAATCTTACATATGGTCACAAAGATTAGTTCTTTCACATTTAATTTCCTCCATAAAACACAGGGAAATGGGAACGTGCTCAGGCCATCCGTATCCTTTCCTGCCTCCGCCCGGAGAATGGAAACTCTTAATGATTTGCTTGCGGCCAGTGATATTGTCTCTCTTCACTGTGCACTAACAAACGAAACTATCCAGATTCTTAATGCAGAATGCTTGCAGCATATGAAGCCTGGTACGCTTTTGTCTGAAATGTCTCTCTGAACAAGTTTGACTTCCCTTATCTTCTTGTAGATTGATATCTTTTGTCTATGCGCAGGGGCATTTCTTGTAAATACGGGCAGCTGTCAGTTGCTGGATGATTGTGTGGTAAAGCAGCTTCTCATTGATGGTACCCTGGCTGGATGTGCTCTGGACGGCGCTGAAGGGCCACAATGGATGGAAGCATGGGTATGATTTTTATCTTTGTATAATGTATGGTACCATGTGTGTAGTTCTTTTCTTGAAAGCCCACTGGGTTATGATTTTCTTGTTCATGCAGAATTCTAGTTTTTTACTGTCCAAATTTCCTTTTAGCATTTGGTTACATGTCTTCTTCAAATGAGTAACCCTCTGAATACAGCTTTTATATAGTGCCATTATGTTTTGCAGTTAGGACTGATTACTAAGTTTACTTTTGGATCTCCAGTCTGAAAGCTATGGTGTTTTATAATTTATTGGTCTTGTTTTTGAGATTGTTTTGTCTGAAGCATTGTCCCCTGGAATATCTTAGTCTGACTAATGAAGCTTCCAGTTTCTCATATTGCATCTACACTGCATCTTTCGTAACTTGTCTGATCACTTTTCTATCCTAACAAAGCTTGCTAGGATAAAGTTATTGTCCTTGCGTATTGCAATGGCTTATTTTGATATTGCTCTACTAATAATTTAGATGTAATCGCAATATTTACTCAGAAAATTATCCTCTGCTTCAGGTAAGGGAAATGCCCAATGTGTTGATACTACCACGAAGTGCTGATTATAGCGAAGAAGTGTGGATGGAGATACGGGAGAAAGCCATCTCAATGTTGCAGACATACTTTTTTGATGGCATTGTTCCGAAAGATGCTGTATCTGATGAGGAAGAGGAAGAAAGTGAAATAGCAGATGAAAATCAGAAGTTTGGCTCCCGAGACAAAGAAAGTGTTCTTCAGGTTTCTTCAGTGGCACAAGTGACAGATATTGTCCAACTAAGTCGAGAAAGCGCACAGAAAGTGGGCACTAGTCAATTAGAAGAGTCTCCAAACCACAATCAGGGTTCAGGTTTGTCTCAAAACACGGTCGCACGACCTGAAGCAAGGCGTATTCGATCGGGTAAGAAAGCGAAGAAGAGGCACGGTCGTCAAAAGTCGGGGCAAAAATTCGATGACCCTTCTGCTTTAGGAAAAGAAAGCGCATCCAATCGAGAAGATGACACTGCTATGAGTGGCACAGATCAAGTTCTAAGTTCTAGTTCACGTTTTGCTTCTCCTGAAGACTCCAGAAGTAGGAAGACGCCTCTCGATTCAATGCAAGATTCTACTCTGAGCCAACCTCATAAGTCAATCAGGAATCTTTCTGGGAGGCCTGGGGAATTGCTGAAAGATGGGTATGTCGTAGCTCTATATGCCAAAGATCATCCTGCGCTCCATGTCTCCAGGCAAAGAGTAAAAGGTGGTGGCTGGTTCCTAGATACTATATCTAACGTTACTAAAAGAGATCCCGCAGCACAGTTTCTTGTTGTTCTAAGAGGCAAGGTTTGTTGAGAAGAACCCTTTGCTCCCAATTATTCTAATTTACTTTTTGGTGAATGTAGTCAGACTCGTTTTGCTGTTTGGAAGAAATATTTTGCTAGTGCTTAAGTTTGTGCTGACATTCTGGTTAGAAAAAAAAAGTTGTGCTGACATGATAGCATGGGTACTATTGATTCAGGAGACAATTGGTTTGCGATCGTTTGCTGCTGGCGGGAAGTTATTGCAGGTAATGGAAACATTTACCACCTTTGCTGATTAATTGCAGATGTTATGCAGGGATGCTTGCTGTGTTTAGTCTGATGCTGCTTGTGAGATATTATAATTCTACTGTCATTTACATGGTAATGGTGCTTCAGTTCAAACCGACTGCCATACAATTGTATGAGCATTGATCAAATGGTTTTACCATTGAAGGGTCTGGATAGGAGTCGCCAATCCTTTACTCGAAATTAGGGGTAGTCATTCTCTAGCCAAACGAAAAAAAGAATGAGTAGTCGTAAATGAATGAGCCGACTGAAGCTTCTGAAGTGTATGCATAGGACGTTGAGCTTCCTGTGCAAGGGATTGTATGGCATTTAACTTTATCTTCTGCTTTTGTTTTTTCTTACAATCCCCAACTTGTTTTAGATCTTTTGTTATTTTTTCTCCTTTGCTTAAGAGTTTTGACCGTTGTGAGAGCGAGGTTTTCTGCTAGAACTTTTACGGTTTTTACTTGACTTTTAAGAGGGTTCTTCATTTTCATTCTGATGTGCAGATCAATAGACGGATGGAATTCGTGTTTGCCAGTCACAGCTTCGATGTTTGGGAAAGTTGGACATTGGAAGGTTCTCTGGACGAATGCAAGCTAGTTAATTGTCGGAATCCTCAGGTAAGTTCCTTTTGCTGTTTTTTATTTACAGCTTGTAGTCAATATGGGAATGAACAAACTGTTCTCCACTTTTCTCCTCTGTCAACAACTAATGGAGATTTCGGAAATCTTCATTATTAAATACTTCCTAGTTGTCAAATGCTGCTTCTGCGGATATATACCAGTAGTCAACATATATGCAATTATAGCGGAGTAAATCTACTATACCAGACCATATGGTTGAATTCTCCTTCCCTTTCTCAATTTCTCTTACACTGCATTCCAGGCGGTGCTGGAAGTCCGCGTCGAAATTTTGGCAGTTGTAGGAGATGATGACGGGATCACCCGGTGGATCGACTAGTGAGTTCTTCTGAAGCGGATCTTGGCGTTTTTTATTTCTTTCTTCATTTTTTATATTTTTTCCTCTCGGTTGCATTCTCTACAGATCATTTTGTAAAGCGTCCATGCATCGATTTCCCTTTTGCCTCTTCGCTTGTGCTTCCCTTCTATTGGGGGAAGGATATCGGCATCTCTACTCATTGTGTTGTGTGTTGTTCCAGCTTCCAAATGAGATGAGTCTGCAATTTTACAAGTACGAAAGTGTTTTATCTTCATGTTTCACTTCCTCTCTCTCTCTGTCTCTGTCTCTCTCTCTTTACTTTATTCGAACTCGGAAGATTCCTTTTGATGCTATGGTACCTGTAATTACAATCACCTCGGCAGGCCAATCCATAGATGATGCCCTTTTGTCCGAAAGTATAAAGGGCATGATGGTTATGTAGATTGAATTGTTTTCTCCGGGGTGTCTTCTTACCATTGGCTGCTTCCTACTTGTCGTGCAAACTGTGCTTGTTTTAAACAATTCCATCTATTAAACCTTTGTAATTAACTACCATTTACCCGGAAAAGCGACGGTTACAATGAGATCTCGACCACGCTAGAACGTTCGCTTGGGGTGGCGCTCTCTTTTTCCCGAGCCCTCTGGCAAAAGATGATGCTGCAGGTGGTAATCGACGGAGGAGAGAGTCGCAAGTGCAGCGGTACCCTTTGTAAGAAGTCGAGATCAACTTTCATTTTGAAGTTTGGGATATGACTACCCATTTGAAATTGGGCTTGAATATTCCGGTGCATCGCAAATTGCAAGCTTCCTTCGATTTTGTACTTCACTTCGAAGTCCCATAACAGTCGGACAGTAGAGAATTTCAATTTACGACACCACCACGTAAAGAAATCCATTGCTTCGACATATCTGGAAACATCTGTCGTCACCAATTCAATTCACCAATAGGCATATGCTACTATTATATCGATACTTAGATTTTAGTAAGTAGAGGGAGCGATAAATACACGCTCGTGTGGAGAGGCAAAAATTACGAGCCACATGACTAAACAGTCTATCGTGGCCTACACGTTAAGCCAACTACATGCGACGCGCTCTATGTCGGGGACGTTGAAATGAAGTGGATAATTAACACAAATACCAAATTAAGTTAATTTGTCTTTTTTTAACATTTTTAAAAGCTAAATAATATATTTCTAAAGCCACGCCCGTTAATCCCCCAAAAAAAAAAAAAGGAAAAAAGGGCAATAACCTCGGCCTTTACAGCCAGCCATTTTTCAAATTCGCAAACTCCTCAGTAAGAAACCGCCAGCTGTCGCCACGAGCATCACCTAAAAAACCCATCCTCGCGACCCGATTCCGCCACGTGTACGGCCCGAGGCCCGGTCGGATCATTTCCTGCATCCTCTCCCTCCATCCACATATAAAAGTCGGTTCGCACGTGTTACCTGCAGACCACGTTTCTCGCCTCCCTCGATAAACGACGACGACGCCGGCGACAGCGACGACGACGACGGCGACCACCTCCACCCGCTACGAAACATCAATCGCCGGAGCAGATTCGCACTCGGAATCGGCGGAAAGAAGACAGACGAATCTTAGCTTTATGGTGTCCGTGAGCCCGAACCCGGCGCAAGGGTTCTACTTCTTCGATCCCGCGAACATGGGGATCCACCACGGGGCCAGCGCCGGCTCTCCGCCGCCACCCTCGGCCGTCGCGGCGGCGGGCTCGGCGGCGAACGCCGCGCCGCCGTACGCGGAGGATCCGAGCAAGAAGGTGCGCAAGCCGTACACCGTCACCAAGTCCAGGGAGAGCTGGACGGAGCAGGAGCACGACAAGTTTCTGGAAGCGCTTCACCTGTAAGTAATGTGGGCGAGAGTATTTTAAGGCTATATTGATCGGAGTTCTTAGTCGAGATGTCGGGGTCGAGTTCATGTTTGGTGATTCCGGGAGACGATCTCGTTGGCTTGCGTGGTGGACCGAGGGAGAACAGCTCTCCGTTTGGTTCTTCGTTATTCGGATTACTCGAATCGAGACTTCTTTGTTGAACTCTGTAATCGATTTTGTTGATTTAGTTGTCAAACGGTGTCAGTTTCTGTAACTTGGTTGTCTGCACTGTGTCCGAGCGAGTTCTCGAAGTTTCTTTGCTGTTCTAGCTAGGACGTCATCACATTTGTTTCCAGGACTCATCATGTTTGTCTCGTTGTGCCATAATAACAGAGGATCATTGTTGAGATGAATGACGCGACTGTCTACTGTCGCTTCAACTTATTTTTGAGTGTTCCATCTCCGAATATGTGATTGAGCAGCCGGGACTGTGGGTTTGGGATATCAAACTTGTATCTGTGGAATGTGATTACGTTGCGTTTGGTCTGCCTCTGTTTGATATTAATTGGTCAGCAAGGGTCACATTCATGTTCGGAAAGTAGACATATTTCAACTGCCTCAGTAGGGTCGCTTTGAATCTGCAATAGTTTCATCGTAGATTTCGTTTGTTCCGTCCTGCTTTTAACCAATTGATGACCACAAGCAACTGTGTCTATTTTGATTGATCCACATTCCATTCTTTGTGGATCAATGATTTTTAACATCTGATTTCCAAAGGCATACGACAGATCGTTGTTCATGATCCCTGAGAAACAAGATTAACTTGTTTATGCACACAGCTGAATTCCTTTTGAGTGTCATTTCTCGTATTGACATTTTGACCTGACTTAGGTTTGATCGGGATTGGAAGAAGATTGAAGCTTTTGTTGGATCAAAAACAGTTATTCAGGTAATGCATTAACTTGAAAAAACTGTATTGATCATATAATCCCAGTTTACTGGGCTATGCGATATCCTTTCAGCATGGTGACTGTTTGTACAAGTTGGCACTCGAGCTTTTGCTGCTTTGTAGCTTGTCATCTCATGCAGTGTGTTTATGCGGTGGCGCTTTCTTCCATATCGGCACAAAAGCTCTTATCTCGTTTCCTATTTTATCAACATATTTGGTTTTGTGTCTGGATATTCATCTTGAAGACTGCGAACTTTTGAGGAAGTTAACTTCGTTTTATTGCCTTTGCAGATTCGTAGCCATGCACAAAAGTACTTTCTAAAGGTTCAAAAGAACGGGACAAGCGAGAAAGTACCACCGCCACGGCCAAAAAGGAAAGCTGCCCATCCTTACCCACAGAAAGCACCTAAAGGTTTTACAGATGCTGAGCCTTTCTTTTCAGTGCTGTTTACTACGATAATGAACGATGAACTGACATTCAATTCTTGCAGCTCCAGTTGTTTCCCAAGTCGACGGGCCATTTCAAGTTTCATCTGATTTTTTGGAACCTGGGCATGTTGTCAGACCTGATGGATCAGCATTGCTTAGGAATTCCCTTACGGGTGTAGCCTTGTCTTCATGGAGTCATAACTCTGTACCTGCAATGAGTGCATCGCAGGGTACAAAAGGTTTTTTCATTACCTTTCGCAGTAACTTTATATAGGTGGTATTGCAGTTACTGTTTCCTACTGAATATAGACTTCATTTCATGCTCAGCCTTCCTTTTTTTCCCTACTTTTGATGTAGATGTACGAATTTCTGGCCCACCAGTTCCAAGTAATTGTTGCAAGAGCAGCAGTAATGACAGTACACCGAGGTCCTGGCCAAATGGTCAAGCGATTGAACCTGTGGATCAACACAAACATCTTAGAGGTTAGTATCAGAGATTTGAATATGGTTGTTCATCCCCGGTTTATTGGGCAGATATTCTTTCTCTTTTATTTTTTTTTCGAAAAAAGAGTTTTCCATTTGGTTGTTTTATGGAAGAAGGAAAACTAAACTGGGAAAGAGATAAAGCTATTTGAATTTGAGTGGGACTTGTGTTAGTTCCCTTTGGATTATTTGTATTCTGAAAAGTCAGTGAACGAATTGCTGATTATTGGAAAATTTCAGGTTGATATTTAAGCTAACAAATAGGACCTTGTGTAGCCATTTGCTATCCATGCAAAAGCTATTAAATTTTTTTTGTCCTCTTCTTTAATAGAAATGTGCGGATTTTATGCACGTCCATAGTCACCGTGCTTCACTATGCCTGATTTTCTGAAAATATTAAACGTTGGATGGCCATGCATTAGATAAAGTTGCCTGACTAATTTTGAGTAAACGAAATGCATCGGTAGCCATAATCCCATGTTAGAAAGGCAGTTATGAAGGAGTTCTCAATTTCCATAGCTATGTCTGTTTATACATTTACTGGTGCTAGGTTTACTTGTTTACGTTATTTGTTATTGCTATGTTTCTCATCTTGCTGTCATGTTTTCGGAGAGTGTCAGTGTCAATGACTCTTGTTGTAACTTCTTGTCATGGATAGTTATGATAGAGATCTTATTCTTTTACTCAATCCTTCCACATGTTATGCTTTGGAATGTTTGCTAGCCAAAATGCGTTTGTCATTTGTGATGATCATGAGATACGGTCTGATTAGACTATGAAGCAAATAAGTCCCATGCAAAAATGTTCAGATTGACTTGCATGCTGTGTTTCGAATTTTTAGACGGGTTTTCTTACTTTATGTGCCTTTCCCGATTCAGTTATGCCAGATTTCGCACAAGTTTATAGGTTCATCGGCAGCGTTTTTGACCCAGATACCAGTGGTCACCTACAGAGATTGAAGCAGATGGACCCTATAAATATGGAAACGGTATGCCTCTAATCTGGAAATCATTATGTTGGGAGCACATTTACTTATGTATTGGGATTTGGTCCTTCAGGAAATGTTTTTAGGAGTGTTTTCTGAAAGCAAGTTCATACTTGTGTAGCTTATGCTGCTATGACTTTGATTGCTGCAGTGCTTTTCCTGGTGTTTTGTGTTAAGTAGTCTATGCGTTAGATTTTTTCATAATTTTATCTGAGAGACATTTTTGAAACCGCAATATGGAATAGAAAAGCAGCAATCTTGTCTATAGACCCCTAATGCAAATGCTGGGCTGTATATTTGTTCTGGATGTTTGTTGGTCTTTAAGATCTTGCCATGGTTTGGTTGGTATCAAGTCTTTTCTGGCCTCAAGATTGTGATTTCACTTGAAGGAACTGTAGATCCTTAACTATATACCAAATTTCAGTGTGGTGCGTAATCAATTCTTGAACTTTCGTATTCAACTCCTAAACCTACACTAATTTAGGCTGCCATTTTGGCAAGTTCTAGAGCCATTAGGCGATTCACATACTATATAGCGAAAATATTTGATTATACTTTCTAAAAAGGTTTTTGGGCTTGACTACACTATTCAAAAGGTTTAAGACTTCATTGCACATAAATTATATCGAGGGCTGGCCGTGCAATTTTCCAATAAAATATTGTTCTCGCAAAAAGCGAGTCCCCATCCCTCGCATGGGCCCTGGAACTTGTATTTATGAGTGGTGGCTGATTCTCTTGATTGTGTTCATATTGATTATCCATTTTATCTGTGGGTTGTGGACTAGCTGCAGGGTTTGGTAATGTTTGGGATTAGGAAGTGTTACTGGAGTGATATATCTTAGTAAATTGTGCCACATTTCTGGAGGATGGTGTTTGCACTCGTGCCCTTGTATTGCTATTTATCATTATCTGGCTGATTCATCCATTTCTTCTTCTTTCTTTTACTCAGGTACTGCTCTTGATGAAAAACCTCTGCGCAAATTTGACAAGTCCTGAATTTGAGAAATATGTAAGTGCTTTCTATCATGTTGATCTTAGTAGCTATTTTTTATGGTTTATTGTGTTGAGAGATCTGGGTTACTTATTGGAGAATCAATGGACTTTCTTTATTTGTAGCACCGAAGCTTGTTTGCTTCATACGTGGGTGGTCCTGAGAAGTCCAAATCTGGTGGCTCCGTCAATTTCCTCCCCGAAAATTCTGGCAGCGTAATTCTGTCCGCGTAACTTGTGACTTAAACAAACTCGACCCCTTCAAGCCAGGCATCGTTGGGGAAAACTGCACAGTGGTGGAGAATAAGATGCACAAGGATGGCCGAGCTGTGGGACTTGCAAACTGTTGGTCAGTCACTGAAGTTTGGGCTTGTGGTTTTTGTAGCTTTGTAGATATCCTGTGAAATGGAAACGGCGGTTTGTGGATATACATTGAGAGACATCGTCGGAAGCTGGTACTTCTTATAGGCTTTGTACAGAGTTTTTATCGGACTTTGTATATGGCTGTTGTGAGATACAAGAGATGTCGTGCGACCTAGAATAAAACTTTGGCGTCGGGTGTGTTCATGTACATGCGCATGTGTAAAAATCGAAGATGAGAAGTAGTGGGGAGTGCTTGATCAGGCTACGGTTTTAAGGTGAACACCATATTGCAGTGGCTGCTCTCTCTTTCTCTCTCCCCCCTCTCTCTTGCTTATTTCATTGGGGCCACGCCCATAAACACTTCCTTTTTTTTTATTATTTTGACCATCCTGACCCTTGAGGGCCTACCGTTTCTAATACAAATTTATATGGTCATACATTTTGTGAAGAGCAAGGCACTTCATCCATGATCTTATGATTAAATGATCGGTCCTCGGCACCCCGTTCTCACACACTCTCTCTCCCTCGACTCCATGTTAAATTCTACCTCGAATTATTCTCTTGTTGAAAGATGCATCGATCAGTTCTCGTATCAACGATGAAAGACGCGAGCAGGGTGGGTTGGAGTATACGTGGACGGCTGCGGTTTTTGTACATACCGGAATTTTGGAGTCATCTTCTATAAGATCACGAGTACGTGAAGAGATTTACTGATTACGAACGTCTCGGTGCACCGGTCTCAAACCTCCAAATCGCGAGTGGTTAGAAAAAGTAGAAAAGTATGAGGGCAAAAATCATTAAGGACTTTAATCTATACTCACAGTGACATATTTCATCTTAATTATCTTTTGCGACATGTACAATTTGACGTATTTTATATCACAATAAAAAGGTTCAGGGTAAATATGTCGCATGATTCATAATTTGATATTTTTCTGTGGTTTTTTTCCGAAAGTACAATTACATTCTACCGGTGAAAATAGAACGTTAGGACATCCTCCTCCTCCTCGAAACGGACGAGCCTTATCTACTCGCAATTTCAGACCACGACCGAGGATCAAACCCCCCCCCCCCCCCCACCCCTCAGAACTTCCGATATTTACATCGAAGCCCCTCCATTTTCCCTCAGTGGCACTCATGTAAATAAGCTCAATCCCGCGGGCATATCGCCATCCCCGCTCCCTCGACGCTCCGCTCCCTATCTGTATACTTCGATAGACAACAAGCCGGAGCTCAAAGAGTTACTAGTTCCTCCCTCCCCCCTCTCCCATGGCGTGCCCCTCGCGTTTCCCCGCCGCGGCCGCGTCGTCGTCCTTCCACGGCCAGCTCCTCCGCCCCGCGGCCCCGCCGCCCGTCGCCCGGCCGAGCCGGAGGAGCAGCGGCGGCGGCGCCGTCTCGGTGAGGGCCTCCGACGGGACAGTGTTGGTGGAGAAGTCGGAGGCGGAGAAGCCGTACAGGCTCAAGGCCGTCTATCTCGAGAAGATCGTGCCCCTGTTCAAAGACGAGTTCTCCTACGCCAACATCCACCAGGTAACGATTCCGATTTGGGCCGAGCCTTTTCGTCGCGGTAACGACTGAGTAGGAATCGACCCCGGCGCACGGTGTACAGCAGGTCATCGTACCGGAAATTCTGGCCGGAGGTGCGCGCATTTCGCCATAGCTGATAGAGGTCGCACGGGTTTTCGGTGGAAGCGGCAGTGCGTACGATTCGACGCATTCGTGATGAATGCCTGTCATCAGAAAATGAAATATCATCACCATCTCTTACGATTCTCGGAACGCGTTCCGTGATTTCAACTCTCCATTTCTTAGCAATTTTCGCGCATTTACCTGGCCACCTGCTACGACGAGTTCATCTTTTTGGTGTTCGATTGGCAATGAATTAGCTCGGTCTCTCAGCTTTTGAACTTGGAATCGATCAGGTGCCGAAGGTCGAGAAGATCGTGGTGAATTGCGGGATTGGAGAGGCTGCTCAAAATGCAAAGGGGCTGGATGCAGCCATGAACGATATGGCGCTTATCACGGGGCAGAGGCCTATCAAGACGCGGGCCAGGGTCTCCCTTGCTACCTTCAAGATCAGAGAAGGTCAGCCGCTCGGTATCGCAGTTACTCTCCGAGGAAATGTGAGCGCAAGTGATCCTTTAGTCATTTTTCCTATCCTGCTTTAAGGCAAAAAAGTGTTTTTTTTAGCGGTATCTTGAAGTTATAGCAAAGGAATCGATGTCGGCAGTGTCCATAATATTATGCATAGCCACTTGATATTCACGATTTTACTTCTTGATTCTTAGCTCTGCACTGATGCTTGTCTAAAATTGTCAGAGTATGCAATGCCTTCTTTTAGCGAAAGCGGTACTGCTAGAGATGCGCAGCACAATTTAGAAAATTAATTTGCATCTTAACGTAGGCCTCTTGTTTATATGTCCATCAAAATTGTACTACTTTGAGGTTGCTACATTGACAAGTTTTGTCTGCTGCTGCATTATATCTCCTATACTCACCGTCGCTAGGGAATGCGAAGCCTTTTATTACACTTCGCAGGATCCTAGCATTGGTAGTTTATGATTTGTTGGTTTTCATTTCATCCGGATCTTGTCATAGTTGTTGTGTCGTTTGATAATATGTTTAGACTGTGCTCACTGAATTTGCTGAGATTATGTATGCTGTGGCGAAGGATCATTGTAGAAGTAGCCTGCTCATTTGGACTGACTATTTTGAAACTGGAGCTTTCCGTTTGAGGTTTTCTGTTGCGTCTTTTGCTCGGCATCCTGAGCTGTATAAGCCCTGCAAACTTCGGTTATACTGTTTCCACATTCCCATTCTCTTCTTTTGTTCTACCGAGTGCCGGCATAACAATTTGGGTCCTGCGCTCTTTTAGTCACTCTCAATCAATTGCCATCTGCGGCCATGAATATTATTGATAAGACACTGCTACGTTTTTGTCTCTCTCTGTAATGACAGATCATGTACTCGTTCCTGGACCGACTAATCAACTTGGGGCTTCCCCGGACGAGAGACTTCCAAGGTTTAAACCCAAATAGCTTTGATGGGCATGGGAATTACAGCGTTGGCATCCGGGATCAGAGTGTCTTCCCGGAGATCAGGTACGATGCTCTAGGCAAACCGAGGGGGATGGACGTGTGCATCACAACTACCGCCGAGACGGATCAGGAGGCTCAAAGGCTGTTGGCTCTGATGGGAATGCCGTTTAGAGAAGGCGGCGGTTCGGCAGCTTTACCCCGGAAGAAGAAGCTGAGGAAACATCACTTCGATTCAAAATCAAAAGGGAGGTCCAGAAGATAGGATCCTTTGGCGTAAGTGGCTTGGAATTTTGTATAACAGTCGTTCGTATCGATTTCCTTTCAAGTTCGTGCCTTCGGCAGTTGGAGCAAATGGTGATCCTCTTGAAAAATGATTAGATTTGTCAGTTTGTAATGCTGATTAATTGAACTAATTGTTTCTTTTCTTGTTCTCCTGCTCCCTTGAACATGTTTAAGCTTTGCAAAATCACATCGAGTTGCAGATCGACAATATGTCAATACCCTTTGTATTTAGGCTATGATGGAATTTGGCTGCATTTGTGTGGGATCAATTCGGTTGGGCCATTTAAGAAGAATTATGACGTGCCTTAAAGGGCCTCCCAAGGTAGCTCGAGTTTCACCCGACGAGTCCGATTCACGTTAGCAATCTTGACGTCACCCGGGTTTTACATGAAGTTAAACATTACCAATTTCAAATAATTTGAGCTGATCCAGTTTGCCCCCGGGCGTAGAGCGGGTTTTGGGGCACTTACATATAGATAGGTCTAGGATCGATTCCGAACTTGAGCAGAGCCAGTCCAAATACGATTATAATTTTAGGACGTTTCCTCTCTCATCCTAAACTCTAATCCTTCCTAATAAACGTGGCGATTGCCCCTAGACACTTTTGCTGGATAAAATGATTCTAACATAGCTAAATTTCATCGCATGAGGCCCGGCCCGACCCTGAGAAGAACCTCATTTTCACCGTCGTTGTCGTGGTCGTCGAAAACGATGTAAAAAGGCACGACGACGACGACGACGAAGAGGAAACCGTATCGCATGACTTGTCTTGTCTGTCGTCGTGTCTCGATTCCCCCCTCACCTCTAGACCTTTGTTTAATCAAAACCCAACACTGGTCTCTCGTTCAGGCAACCGCGATCCATCGTTTCTCCCATCTCGGTACACATTCGTTTCGGTACGCCTCCCCCATTCCCCCATCTCTCCTGATTTCCTGCGTCTCGTAACTGACGACGAACAACACCGGCCGTCCCCGCTTCTGCGACCACCGGCGGCGGCGGGACACGGAGGAGACCAGACAGTGCCCGAAGAGAAGAGTTGATTTTCCTGTTCACGAACCTGAGGCGGTGAAAGAAAAAAAAAACATGGGGTGCTGTTATTATCAGATAGCGTTGGGAAGAGCACAGACGTCTCTAATGGCGAATTCGTGGGCCGTCGCGAGAGCAGAGCGGCGCCCCATGGCTCCTCCTCCAGATCTCCCCTTCGACCGTACCCTCTTGAGGGGCGGGTCTCCCGCCGCCTCTCGCCGCCGCGATCTCGTCTTCGTCGTCAATCCTCGAGGTTGGTCTCTCTGTTCCCCCGCGCGCTCGAAAGTTTAGATTTTTATTCGTCTCGTTCTCTGTAATGGCGTCGGATTGATGAACGTTGGAAGTATACGGGTGATGATTGGGTGTGTTTTGTGGACAGGTGCGAATGGTAAGACCTGGAAGGAGTGGAACAAACTGTTGCCTTATCTCAGGTCTCGCCTCGGTGAACATTGGAACGTGAGTCCTTGAAACGTTGCCGCCAATCTTCACCTGTCATTGAATAGCTTTTACTAGGATCTTGAAAGGGGACTCTGCATGTGCTATTCGCTTGTTGCAAAGATGGTGGGAGATGGTTTTGGAGTGTTTCATTGTATGACACTGATACTAGAGAGAGCAATTGGCTAGATTCTACTCATTCCTTGCTTTAAGTAGCTTCCGCTTGCCATGTCTGAGCTGCAGTACCATGTATGTTTGGACTCAATTACAAAAGACTACTCGGACAGATTGACGCTTTCCCCTCTTGAATTCAAACAAGTGAAGTGTGGTATACTTTTGTTGAATTCGCAGATATGTGAATCTTTCACCTCTGGTCCTTCTCATGCGACTGACATAACGAGGGAGGTAGGCATCTCAACCCTAAAAAAGGATCAACTTGGATGCATATTGACTTTATGAACCATCGGTTTGATGTTGTCTGAACATTGTTTAGTCTATACGAGAGGGTGCTGATGCTGTAATTGCAGTTGGGGGCGATGGAACTCTTCATGAGGTGAGATGCCGTTAGCCTTGTCCATGTCCATGTCCATGATTTGTAATTCTCTTTATTATTACATATAAAATCGTCTCACCTAGCCTCCTGGTAACACGAGACTAATTGCAGTGGACTAGAGTAGGTGAAATGGGTACTCATGTATGAACTTATATATGAGACATTTCACATATAGGTAGTGTTGCAGATGTAAGGATTCACAACTGCCAGGATAGCTTGGATTAGAAGACTTTTTTCATGTTTATTAATCTATTGGTGTTGTAATTAGTATTATTTTGGTGGGTGGGTGGAGGACTAGGAGAGGCTGCTATGTGATTTTGAAGCTCAAATGATCAATTTATTACGCGACACACTTTTCATAAACCCATCAATGTTATTTCTTTTGTAACATGAGATAGAAAAACAAATCATGGCCCAATATGCCATTATATGGTCATAGAAAGCCTCCGACGTGATTGGTTTCTATACATTCATTCTTATAAATTACATGTTCAATGAGAAGGTAGTCAATGGCTTCTTTTGGGCTGGAAAACCTATCACCAATCAAGATACAGCGTCTGCTCGCTCCACTGCTCTTGGTGTAAGTGTTTCCCTAAGCTTCGTTAGACTTGCTCTTCACGATTGTATGAACTGTTCCTGGGAAAGCTACTGAGATGTTTCATTCATGCAGCTAATTCCCTTGGGCACAGGCTCTGATTTCGCCAGAACATTTGGCTGGTTAGTTCTTCATGATCATATTTGCTATTACTTGAGATTTTTTTTTGGTCGCTCTTTTACTTGAGATTAAGTAAGTACTTTTTAATTGCTAAATAGTAGTTATAGTAAAAGTTCTGGCTGGCACTTGTTTTTCTCAGGAAAAATGATCCTTATGATGCTGTTGAACGCATAGCCAAAGGTTATTCATTAAGCTTCTATCTCTTTTGTTTATCCAACATATGCAGTTTTGGCTAAATATGTTTTTGGGACATATATAAAATTAGTTCCTGCCTTGGAATGTTGATTTATTTTGTAGGATCCACTTTCTCATTGCTCGTTGTGTGATTGATGCATTTTGCAGGGCAAAGATCACAAATAGATGTTGGTGTCATTGGGGGAGAAAATGAAGAGCTTCATTACTTTTTGAATGTTGCGGACATTCATTTGTAAGGTTAACTAGAAACTTTTGGTATGGACTATGACAGTACATGCTATACTGGGAATTTACTCATTTGTCACACCTATATTAAAATTTACAGGAGTGCAAAAGCTGGTTACTATGCTTCCAGATACAAGCGATTCGGAAACTTATGTTACATCTTTGGCGCATTGCAAGCCTTTATTGGGCACCGTAACCAAGATTTTCGAATCAAGGTCATTGTCTCTGAAAATCTATGAGAACCTTGTAACCTAATCTTCATCTGGAATCATAATGTTATGGGGCATCTTTATCTTATTCGATGTCTTTCCAATTTGCTGATCTTGGAACTCAATGTTGTAGTCGGCTGTATATTTAGGTGAATGACAATGAATGGGAAAACTACCCTCAAGTGACAGCGCTCTGCATAGGTAATGCCAAATTCTTTGGTGGTGGCATGAAGATTACACCAAATGCTGATCCTTGCAGTGGAAATTTCGAGGTGAAGTCTCTAAAGATCTTATGCACCCGAATGATCGTCTGTCTACTTCTTTTTTGCTCCTGTGCCGACTTCGTCATGATCCACATCTTCCTTGCAGGTTGTAATTCTTCAGGATTTCAAGTGGTATGACTTCATCTTTAAACTGCATCGGCTCTACAATGGGACACATTTGTCCGTAAATAATGTGTCTTCAAGAAGGTAAAGATACTTCTACTGGTTTATTGCTCATGTTTATCGTTCATCAGCATAAGAAAAGAAGAAACTGCTCTTTTTTTTTCCTCTTGAAGTTTGAAATGAAACATCAAGTAGGGGCAGTCATAATATTCTGAGGCATTTGGATTTGGGGCACTAGCAGTTTTCTTTAGAATTTTTTCTACTATCAGACTTTGTGATTTGATGGTGTCATTCTTTTCTTTTATCTGTTTCAAATCCAGCGCGCTCTCAATCGAAGTAGAAGAAATGTCAGGCACTGGCAGCATATTTGTCCAATCAGATGGGGAACATTTGGGGTTCCTACCTCGGAAATTTCGTGTTTTACCTTCTGTTATAGAGATGATTCACTGAAGTGGCGTCTTTACAAGACCGAATCAGGTCAAATAATTTGCTTGATTGCATACAAGGGTGACAAATTTTCACCAAGAACTCCTTGTTGGTCGGTTAACGTAAATGCAAGAGGAGGCCAGAGCAGAGCTTTCTGAAGAGAGGGATCAATTCATTACCGAAGCATATCGCCTCTGCTTTTGCTGGATGTGTTTCGTACATTCATCTAGCAGGTCAAAGCCATAGTTCTTTTCTGATGATCTTTTTCACCTTGTATTAGTCTTTAGCGTTGTGCATAAAGTTAGAGAGATGGCCTGGAAAGGGACACGAGTATGATCTGCCACAGAAAAAGAACAATTTTGAGAGGATGTTGCTTTTTGTTCGGCATCTTCAAAGTCCCAAGTGAATGGTATCCACCTTTTGCGGATCTCCTGTTTTCTGACCAGAAATCATGCATGTGAATTTTCGAATGCTTCCATAGAAATTGGGAGAAAAAAGTGTTCTGCGGAATGTAATCTGGAACAATTGTATGAGCATTTGTAGTAGGAATTGCTAGTTCCTACTACAAATTGCATTTTACCAAAGAAGTAAACTCACTTCAACATATGTTTGGATCTTTCCGTTGGTACTTCGCCATCCCCTCGAGCTTCAATATTCTTGGAGGAAAAAGCTAGGTGGAATGTCGCTGTCGGTCCCTAAACTTTAGTTCAAAAATCAAAATCGTCCATATACCTTCTTTTTGTTCAAAACCGTCCCCGTACTTTTCAAAATGGGTTACCGGTCGGGCCAATGACGCAATTTGTTGGCGTGGAGCTCACTCCTTCTGTAATTTGTTGACTTGGCTCCTCTCTATCTCTGTCTCTCTCCGCGCAAATCATCATTTTGTTCTTCCACTTGAACCCTTCCAAATTCAAGCCAAAACCCACAAAACTGAACATCCCCATCAATGCAATATCTCGAGTGGCCGGAAGCTCCAACCGCTATGATCGAGCTCATTGCACCTTGAGCGGCTATGGCCTCGAGCTCGAAGAAGCTCCAGTTGCCGTGGCCTCGAGATCGACGAAGCTCGGGCTGCCGTGGCCTCAAGCTCGAAGAAACTCCAGCTGCCATAACCGAGCTTGACAAAGCTTGGATGTACATGGTCGCGAGCTTAAAGAAGCTCCGGCTACTATGGCCATGAGCTTGATGAAACCCGAGGGGCCATGGCCGTAAGCTCAAAGAAGCTCTAGTGGCCATGACCGAGCTCCACGGGCAAAAAGAAATTTCAGTTGCCATGGCCACGAGCTCGACTAAGCTTGAGCGATCAAGGTCGGGCTCGACTAAGCGGCGATGCGTATAAAAAAAAAATTCGCAAATCATCATAGAACATGTGTATTGCGATGTCCAACTCATCAGTCTAGGTGTCCACTTCAGCAAAAATCGACCGGCAATAGAAAGGTATGAATGAAGGGCAAGTGACGGCACATTTGAAAAAGCAAAGGGATGATCTTAGACAAAAAAAAAAAAAAAACATGTATACGGACAGTTTTGGATTTCAGACAAGAGTCCAGAAATTACCGGTTCAACATCATCACCAGAAAAAAAACTTATTCAGAGGAATTGCAATTGAAAAGACAGTGGAAACTATTTCCACTCGAGTAAGCTCTGAAGTCACCAAATCGACGACGAATTTCCTAATTTCTACGAATTTGGATGCGCATGTAGCACTCATATACTTATACCTTCAAAAGATCATAGAGGGACACCAGTGAAAAAATTAAGTTGTTTGTTTTTGCTTCCGAAGTGTCGTTTTTCTTCCTTTCCTATCAATAATAAATATCTTCATTTTTAAATAGTCACAATAGAAAAATCTTCGGTCTTTTGAATATAAAATTATAATTTGGAGTAAAAAAAAAAATTATAATTTGGAGTAAGAGTCAGAAAATTATGAAATAATAAAATTTTAAAAACCAAAGTAGCGCCTTCTGGGCCGGGCTTAAGCAATTGCAACAACCAGATATGCAAATTAAAAAGAAAATAATATTCATAATTCGATAGAGAAATGCTCATGAATTTTTAATTTCATCACGAGAAAATTATAAATAAAGGCCTGAAATACCATTATTTTAGTTGAATAAGGATTTGAAGTGGATCGTGTTTTAAAAAAGGGCTTGACGTGGCCATGATAGTTTCGAATAAGGGCTTGACCTGGCCGACCGACTAAATATTCCGACTAGTTAAGGTCATTTCGTCTAAAGACAATTTTAACCTAAATTTTAATTAAATTAAATTAACAATTAAGAAAGCTAAAAGTTTTTTAAAAAGAAAAAAAAAATATAGGGCTCGCATGTGGCCGCTGCCTCATCACTGGCGGGGCGCCTTTTGTGTGTTTGTTTTTTTTTTTTAGATTTTTTTAATAGAAACATTTTAAATTTTTTAACCTAATTTAATTAATATTTTGTGTAAAAATTAAAGATTCGGATCAAAACAATGCCGTTTTAGTGCTTTAGTTAACCTTAACGTCATGTGAGAGAGATTAAAGATTTAAAAAAAATATTTCGGTATTTTTCGTTAGGTGAAAAGACTAGATTTTTACACAAAATAGAGTCACGGGCGAGGGCCCGCAAGAGGCTCTCGTCGGCCTCCGGTGAGGATCGCCTCGCCCAGGTCCTCGCTCAATCCGGCGAGGGCCCGATCATGCTCTGTTTTTTTAAATTAACACGGTAATTTTATGCTCTTATTTGAGAAAATCAGGCTGCTTATTTGGATTTCTACCCTTATTTCCGTGCTGTTAAAACCTTCGTCTTCTACGCTTCCTCCACACCAAAACCCCCCTTCTCTCTCTCTCTCTTCCGAAGTCGGCCATGGCGTTCCCTTACATGGAAGCTGTCGTCGGTACGTTTCGCTCTCCCTGACCACGCCTGCTCTGCATCCATGCCCGCCGCGTGCGTGCGTGCGTGCGTGCGTGCGTGCTTTCGTGCTCGGACCTCCGCTCGCGTGTTCGCGGTCCATTCTTTAGTTCAGTGTTTTTTCCTAGGTTTAGCGGTCTTTCGCGCTCCTGTCCGATGCGGCGATTGCTCGTGCGATCCGCGGTCGCGCGGGTCGGAACCGAGAATCGGTTTTCATTTTGGTTTTCGATGTACATGTGGGCTCTTCCTATTCGACTGCTGGTCGCGACGTGGTTCGGCCTCTCGCCTTCCAGTGCTGTCGGATCAGCTCTTCGTGTTAATGGGTTTTGGGTTCTTAAGCTGGGTTCCCCCTGTTAGCGACGATTACATTTCGCGCGAATTTGAAAGAAAGAAGAAAAAAAGGATTTTGATTGGAATTCCGTACTTAATTCAAGCTCCGGAGCTGGGCATGGTAGACTAAAGTGTGCAGTGGAACGGTTCATCAGTCATAAACTAAGATGGTTGTGGTTTAGTGACGCGACGCATGCTTGAACGCGCCGCAAATTTGTCGAAGTTTCTTTTTTTTTTTTTGTGCTGTATTATTTTTTGCTGCTCTTGTCGTTGGATTCTCCAAGTTCTCCACTTACTTAATGTTCTTCAGGTTTCATGATATTAATGTACTTCATCGAAACTTATCTGGACTTGAGGCAACACGCCGCTCACAAACTTCCCACGCTTCCAAAGACTTTGGAAGGAGTGATTAGCCAAGAGAAGTTCGAGAAGTCCAGGGCCTACAGTCTCGATAAAAGGTTCGTGTGCTGGGTGGTCTCCAGCTTTTGCTGATTCCTGAAAGAGCTGCTTGTAGCATTTGACCGCGTTTTGTCTGGAACTTCTTTTGATGATGGTAAGTGTAGGTTTGCTATCTTAATTCACATCTGATGGACTTATTTTCCTTTGTTTCAGCTGCTTCCACTTCGTGCATGAGTTTGTGTCTATACTGATGGACTCTGCAATTTTGTTGTTTGGGATATTGCCTTGGTTTTGGAAGGTATGTGGGTAGTCATTGCTGCTATGCGACTTTCCATTTGAACTTGTTGTATCATCTCCTTTTTTTTGTGATGCAGAGATCTGGAGAATTTCTAGTTTTAGCTGGCCTCAACGTAGAGAATGAGATATTACATACCCTTGCATTTTTGGCTGGTGTTATGATTTGGTCTCAGGTATATTAATGGCAGGTTTCTTTATCTAGCAAATTCTGTGTTATAAAACTTCACTCCTGTTCTACAACTGTACTAACTATTTGTATTGCAAATATCTTCACTTGCATATTAGTGTGCTTGGACATGTCACTGTAAAAAGCTCGTGAGTTTATCGTGCTGTATGATTTTTTTTTTTCGATTATAATTTGTTGGTGAATGCAGAAAAGGGGTGGGGAGTGCAAATTATTGGGGGAAGCTCCTTGTTTTGCAGTGTAGCTCTAAACTTGTCAAACTGTTCAATAGATGGGTGAAAGTATAATTTGGATAGCTTCCATGACAAATGCGGCCAGCATCATACGAAGTCGAAAACTTAACTATCATTAAGGTTTTGAGACTTTTGAAATGAATCTATTGGCTGTGGTGATTGTTGAGCTTGATTTTTTCATTTGATGCTTCTGGTGTTGAATTGAGCTTGAAATAGATTCCTTTGTCTAGTGTGTTGGAGTTTTCTGCATCTTGAACCTTCCTGGTAATGAAATTACATGGAACCTTCCAATAAAGCTGTTTGGTCCTCATCACTTTCCTTTTAAATAATTATTATACTTACAGATAGGCATTTGTCCATGTACCCCGTTTAGGGTGAAAAAGGCTCTGATGCCATCATAATGTATATAATTGTTTCTCTGATATTTATACAAGTGTTGTCACACATAAGGGTCTTTTGATCTTTCTACATCTTGAATAACGATAAAGGTGATGATACGAGCTCTTGATGCCCCTTTTGCATGCCATCTCTGCATTTTTAACTAGCAACTGGTTAGGGTAATAGACACCAAACTTATAATTATAGCTGAATATATGTCCATGTTTAAGAAAAGTCGACATGAATGTAGGTGCACTTTGATTTTTGTTAACTGACTTGCTTCGAAATTTTTGTTGCAGATAACTGATTTGCCGTTTTCTTTGTACTCAACCTTTGTGATTGAGGCTCGCCATGGTTTCAACAAAGTTTGTATTCACTCTATCGTCTCTTTTTGCTTATGTCTTATAGTTTGGTGATTTGCTGCTCCATAAAGCTATGGGTTGTGAATGTTTTCATATATCTAATTATTATTATTGGTTGTCTTGCAGCAAACAATATGGTTGTTCTTTTGGGATGTCATCAAAGGGATTTTACTTTCTGTTATACTTGGTCCTCCCATAGTAGCTGCAATTATTATAATTGTACAGGTTTGATGGTCCTCTACTTCTGACTAGTACCCTTTAAATGCAGATTTTATGGCTAAAATTATTTTGTATAATATTTGTTACGTCCTTTAATGTTGTTTACATTGACGAATTGGTCCAATTCTCCTCTTCATTCTGCCGCTACCTAGTCATTTTTACTAATGACCACTAATTTGCATTCTTGCAGAAAGGGGGCCCTTATCTGGCTATATATCTTTGGGGATTCATGTTTGTTCTTTCGTTAGTGATGATGACACTTTACCCTGTTCTGATAGCTCCACTTTTTAACAAGTTCACACCAGTGAGTTTCTAAAACTCTGATCTTGCCATGATTTTTTGGATTGTTTGTTGATAATTCTCTTCTTCATTACTCTGTTCCCATAGCTTCCAGATGGTGACCTCAGAGAGAAAATTGAGAAACTTGCTTCTTCTCTTAAGTTTCCTCTCAAGAAGTTGTTCGTGGTCGATGGATCAACCAGGTCAAGCCACAGCAATGTGAGATTTATATCATGCATGCAGTTATTGTTTTTATTTTATGGTTCTTGTATGACCTGCTCTGTCTTCCTATAGTATAAAATTGCGCTAGTGATAGTCCCATTGTATCAGTGTATTGAGTTTTGTTACTTTCAAGGATGCTACAACCTCGAGGGTTCAGATTTTAACTTTGGGGCACTTAGTTTCTCCGACATCTTTCTATTTGACTGTCAAATTTCAGAATGTATTATTCTTCTTTTTAAAATACCCATAGGACTTCAGAAATAGTACATAGGCTTGCATATGAGAGGACGTGGAGGTTTATAGAAAATGAGGCTAGCTAGATTGAATTCTGAAAGAGTATGCCAAGTTTGGTCGCCTTTGTTATTGCTGATCATCATAACCTTGTTGTTTGATGATATCAACAGCATGTGGCGATTACTAATAAGAAGGTGTGACAATTTTTGGCAATTTTAATGTCCCCGTCCAGGTATGTGGTGAGGGTATTACAGAATGCAAATAAAGGTCTAAAGAGCATAGATGTGAGCTAATGAAGGCAGGTTAATTGTTAAGAGGATTTTGGATATGTAGATAGAGACCTATAAAAAATTAGGGACGATGAAGTGAATGAATCATTACTTCTCTAGTTCCTGCATATTGTGTAACTATTAAATTTTTTCCCATGTGTCTACTGTTGCTCACGCCCATACAGATGCATAGATTGCTTGATTTGTGGACTGATTACTGAATGCTCATGCAGGCCTATATGTATGGATTCTTCAAAAACAAACGGATTGTGTTATATGACACCCTTATTCAGCAGGTATGGAGCATTTCTAATTTTTCAAAACACTGGCCTAAAAGACCTTTTAGTGATCCAATTTTTCTAGTGTCTTGAGAATTGCTGTCCTCAACTTTGCAGTTTATGTGAAACAAGTTTTTACTTGTTGAATAGGGTGCATTTCTTCTGACTATTTTATGTGAAATTCCATGGTAGTCTGTCCAAAGTAGGAAATAAGCTCTCTCCCCCGGCCCCCCCAAGCCTATGTTCACGTGATACTTGTTTTGATTTTTCTTCTCTTCTGATGATTTTCTTTCCCTTTTCCATTGGGTGAGGGATTTGGTTGACTTTGCATCCCACCCTGTCCTTTTGCACTAATCCACTTGGTGATGAGTATTTCTTTATTTTTCACGTTAGGAATGTGAAATTGGTGGAATATGGCCATTCAAGTTTTTCCGTTCTTTTTCAAGCTGACAGTCCTTGATTGGCCAAACTTGTTTTTTGCAGTGCAAGACCGAGGAGGTTGTGGCTGTGCTTGCTCATGAGTTGGGACATTGGAAGCTTAATCACACTATGTACACTTTTATTGCTGTGCAGGTAAACTGATTTATACTTCCTGGTAAAACTGTTTCAATTCCGTGATCGGTTAAGTTTTCATTCCTCACTTTGATTCAATGGACTGTAGTTCTCTGATGTAGAGAAGGGAATAGGTTTATGAATACTCTAGTGTAGTGCTCTAATGAAGAAAAGATATTTGCAGATTTCTTTGAAAACATTTCTTGAATTGGGCTGGACAATGTGTTCCTCGTAGCATATTACATGTAACAACTCATTAGCATAGTAGGGGGTTTACGTTTAATCTTGTCCACGAAAGAAATTGTGAACTTGCCTTTTCCTCTTGATTAAGATATTGGAAGATAAAAATTTTCCCTTTAGTGATGACGTCAACGGTCATCAATAAATTGGTTATCCCTACAATTGTTATTGGTAAAGATAAGGCTGCATAGATAAAGGTTATGGTTGCAAAAGCTCTCAATTGGTCGTAATTAGTCTAAATTGTGGAACCTCACTCTCTGGACATTCCTATACCTCAACAAGGTAGATAAAGTGCACGATTCGCTGGTGCAATTTGAATTTACATTGTAGTATTGCTTGTTTCAGTTGACAATTAAATTTGTTTGGTGTTATGGTGACTAAATTTGAAAATATGCAGAAACCAGGGACTGTAAAAAGGAGATGGTGAATAATAAGTTTCTCCTGCTGAAATTTTATGTTATTTTCAGGAATATAGGTTAGTTGATATAGCTTTTTAATTACTTTGCGCGGATTTAGCTGTATGAAGCAACTTACTCCTTCACATTAGGTTCCTCTCCTTTTTTGAAGGGAAGATGTTGATAATTGAATATGACTGAACGAAATTGCTCCATCTACTTATTGTCCGTGTCGTACTTACTCTCAACTGCCTGGCTTGATGTAATATTGTAAAATAATTCTCTTCGCATCTGATCACTAAAGGGTGATTTTTAGAACTTCATGTTAAGAAATATTCAGGTCATTAGTTGGAAAATTTTAGGTGATGAGATTTTTCTTTTCTCATCACTCTACTATTTGGATGCAGATTCTCATGTTTCTGCAGTTTGGAGGATATACTCTTGTGAGGAACTCGAGTGATCTGTTTAGAAGTTTTGGTTTTGATACACAACCAGTGCTCATTGGACTCATCATTTTCCAGGTATCACTCTGATAAAAATGTCACTTATTCCCACATTGCCTTTGGTTGGAATCCAATAACAAACCAAAATCTATCGAGTAGAAAACTTTGGAATCACTATGCGGTGGCAACATTATACAGTTTGATGGCTATAGCCAACAAATGAACTATTTTGTCTTTCTGTCTTATAAACACATACCATGTTCTTTGTTTCTGCTTCTCTCTCAATGCGAGCAAGAGCAAGAAAGAGAGTCCTAGGAAAAGAGTATTCGCATAATTTCTCGTGCTTTGGTTGCAGCACACTGTTATACCTCTTCAGCACCTCGTAAGCTTTGCTCTGAATTTGGTGAGCCGGTCTTTTGAATTTCAGGTAATTCATCTTTTTCGTTACAGAGTTTTCTCGGTATATATATATATATATCTGGTTCTGAAAACTAATTTTTGCGTTTGACTGTCCTGCGTTTATCTAGGCTGATGCTTTTGCTAAGAACTTGGGCTATGCTTCTGAACTTCGTGGTGGACTTGTGAAGCTACAGGTGATTCATACTGCCCCTTTTGTCTTAAAAACTAGAGTGGCTTTCTCCTAAGTCAATAACCCAAAAGCACTGTTGTGATTTTGATATACTCAAAATCAGAAGAGTGGGGCATAGTACAATGATGCTACTTTCATACAGTTTTCCAGTATACAGAGCGTAGAGAATACGCGTCTACAGCGTTCTGCCTGAACTAATGAATGTTCAAATCGTATGGCTCTGTTTTGTGTTTTCAGGAGGAGAATTTGTCAGCGATGAACACAGATCCTTGGTATTCAGCCTATCACTATTCTCATCCTCCGCTGGTTGAAAGATTGGCTGCCATTGATAAATCGGACAAGAAAGCGGACTGATTCTGGTATCATATGGATAGCAGATAGAGGAAGACCTGTTCGTGATCGTTAAACCAGGTCATGAAGCCATAGTTATGTTACTCCTGTGATATATGACAAATGGAGCCAAATTTTTCAGAAACTTGATACCTGAAAGTTGAAAGTAAGGGGGGGATGGGGTTTAAATCTGGGAAAGTGAATTGAGGGACGGGAATGATCAAATCCTGGGTCTTATAAATACAGCAATTTTGGGATTTTGATACTAGTTAGCGTGTTTATCTGTTTGCCGTGCTTTGGTTTTTTTACCAAAATCTCGTGCATATTCGCTCACGCGACCTTTCGAGGTATATGTTTGAAGAAGCTGCTAAAACATCAGGGGAAATAGGTGAGCTTTTGATATGTTGCATAAAGAAAAGGGTTATCGAAATGGTCCTAGAGAGCCGGCTGATTCACAAGAGCGAAAATGTTCAACATTTGACTGGTCGTTATGCCGTCCCACTCATTCTCGGTGCCCTTTGCGTTTTAAAAAAATCCCATTTAGGATTAAACTTTGGGCTTTGATAGTAGTAAAGCTTTGTCAGGGCCCTCCAATTATTGACAGGGATGGGCGAGAGCTTGCAACTTGCGTGGACAGCAGGGCAAAATGCGCTCAGAATCTAATCATATGCCGCTCTCGTTCCACATTTTTGGTGACATCCCTGCCGCGTGAAAGTCCTACAAGAAAGAAAAAAGGAGGAGCAGAAGAAAAGAAATAGAGAAGGGTTTCGCTTTCGTCCTCGTGACCAGCTGCTGTCGAATCGGGCCACAAGGAAAAGGGTCCAAGTGGAGCACCAACTTCTCTTTGATTGCAATTTGCAATAGCCCCCATCCTATCAATTAGAGACTTGCAAGTTACGATTCTGCCATGATTGGTTTCTCGTTTTGGTCATGGTCACGTAACCACCAGCGCAGTGATTGGTAATTTGCACTAAAGTTGAGTACGTTTTAATAAGAAAAGTGCGCCGAGAGCATCTTCGAATGAAAACCGTTTTCGGTGAATTTTTCACAGAGGGGCGTCAATTCTGCGCGGGATAAAATTGGCTCGCGAAAATACGTGTTTGTATAAAAAGAGCGACTCTCGTCGCACGCGATCGAAACCAATTCGAACCATCGATACGCGCCGTATGTCATTCTGCAAAAGGAAAACGGAAATGCCGCGTATTCGGTTACCCGTTAAGGATTTCGTCGAGAGAACGTTTAAAGAGCGGTGTTTGATTAGCCGGTCAAGATAACTATATTAGTTCTCAATACACTGTCCTCCCTCGTGTTATTCCTAAAGGTCGTTATGATAATCGAGTCCCGTGAACGAGGGTCGTGTCAAACGCGATCACGCCGCGTTTGAAAATTTTAGAGTGTTAGTTACGTTCCTCCCTCGGGATACGCCTTCCAATCGGTGCCTCCCAATTTGCTCTATTGGTGTGAGAATCGGTCTCGTCTTTGGACCAAGACACCGCCGCTCCTAGCTTTCGCAGGCGGAAAATGGTAAGAACGATTTTTGTAAAAAGAAAACAACAAAACATGACGCGAAAACGAGGAGCAGGACAAAAGGGAAGAGCGTAACCCCTCCAAAAACCCGACCAGGCTGGCCGAGCGGAACGAGGAATCCGTCCACGTCATCGCCAGCTGGACATCCGGCCCCCCGACAGAACACTTACCTCCTCTCCCTCGTTCTCGTTTTATGGTGCTGCTGGCGGGCTGCTACGCTCTCACTCTCACTTTCTCTCTCCACTGCAACGTTTTTAGTGAGAGAAAAAGAAAACAGGGGAAAATAAATACTCTCTCTCTCTCTATCTCTCTATCTCTAGCTGCACCACCGGTTCAAATCGCGTCTTTCTTTCGGTCCCCGTTTTCAACTCCAAGTCTCGCCCTTTGCACCGCCGTTCGCCGAAAGACCCGATTTTCTCCGGCGGGTCGATGCGAAGATGCCGGTCTACAACTCGTCGTTCGTGAACACCGAGCTGTCCAAGCCCACCTCCATCTTCGGCCTCCGCCTCTGGGTCGTCATCGGCATCTTCCTCGGCTCCCTCATCGTCGTCGCGCTCTTCCTCCTCTCCCTCTGCCTCACCTCCCGCCGGCGCGGCGGCGGCGGGGGGAAGGGGGGCGCCGCCGCCTCCGCCGAGAAGCAGCGCCGCGGCGGAGGCGGAGGCGGCGGCGTCGGCCCCCACGACGCGCCGGCCGCCACGCCCCCCATCTCGAAGGAGATCCTCGAGATCGTGCCGTCGGAGGCCCCCCGCGCGGCCCCGGCGCCGGAGATCCAGATCGACATGGGGAAGGTGGAGCACCGGGTGGTGTACTCGGATCGTTACTCGAGCGGGGAGAGCAGGGGGACGGAGAGGACCGAGACCGCGTCGCTGGGGAGCGGGAACGCGGGGCCCGAGGTGTCGCACCTGGGGTGGGGGCGGTGGTACACGCTGAGGGAGCTCGAGGAGGCGACGGGTGGGTTGTGCGAGGAGAATGTGATCGGCGAAGGTGGATATGGGATTGTGTACAGCGGCGTGCTTGGCGATGGGACGAGAGTCGCTGTGAAGAATCTCCTGAATAACAGGTAACATCCCCCGTACTCGTTGGCTGAGACAGTTGGGTAATGCGAATCTATGCTTCATTGGAATGATTAGAACGGGAATTCCAGTTAATTCTTTAGCACGAGAACGCGAATGGAACGGCGTGAATTGCCATCCTCCTGAACGGACGCTGCCATGTGCTGTCGTGTATATTTATCAGTCGTAGAATGTATGTGCAGGTGGTTGGGATGTGAAGGAGAATTGCTTGTGTTTTGTACTGTCTCCTTGTTTCTGAAGTCGGGTTGGCTGAGTTTGATTGCTGGGATGGAAGCAATAGTAGACGGATTGATTTTGGATGTGTTTCAGTGAATTCTGCCTGTTCGTTAAATGACTTGATTGATGAAAAGCGAGCTAGTTGTGGTGAGAAAATTGGATTCAAGCTTTTGTGTTTCTTCCCACTTTTGACTTTTTCTTTTGAGGTTGGTGCTGAAGAATAGAAACTTGGTAAGCTGTATAAAAAAAGAAAAACCGACCTGCATTTGCTCAGAAGTACCTATCATTGTTTGGTGGATTGGACATCCTATTTTAGTGTCTGTAGGCCTTTCTTCAAAGAATCTGAAGTTCAGTTCAACAGTCCTTTTCTGCATCTCAATGACTTTGCAAGTTATCACTCTGCTTTATAAGCCGAAAAAAAAAAGAACAAGAAAAAAGTTTATTTCGCTGGTTGCTCAGGGAAAACCGCTGTATTTTCATGCAAATTACGCCGCAAATTCTTGTACTACTATCTTCCTATTCATGTTTCCTCCATCGGCTTCTCTGTGATCCTTACACCCTTGGAACTTGGATGGGATTCTTCTTTCTTTTCTTCACTGCAAGCACGCACGATATGCGAGTTCACGAGATTTATCAATGATCAGGGGACAAGCTGAGAAGGAGTTCAAAGTGGAGGTTGAAGCGATTGGGCGCGTAAGACACAAAAATCTTGTCAGGCTGCTTGGTTATTGCGTTGAGGGTGCTTATAGGTACTGATACTTGCCTTCCCACCAGAGGTTGATCTTGTAAATGCTGTTGAAAATGTTAATAGGTGTGATTTCTCCTGTTTTTGCTAGGATGCTTGTGTATGATTATGTTGACAATGGAAATCTAGACCAGTGGCTTCATGGGGATGTAGGCGAGGTCAGCCCTCTTACGTGGAATATCCGTGTAAACATTATACTTGGAACCGCAAAGGGGTGAGTGATTGAATACTTATATTGGAGTCCATCCAACTGGTTCTTCATTTCCAAAAATTGCTTTTCGTGATTTACATTCTCCAAACTGACGTGTGTTACTTTTTACGACCTGGCAGATTGGCCTACCTTCATGAGGGTCTTGAACCTAAAGTTGTCCACCGAGATGTGAAGTCCAGCAACATACTGCTGGATCGACAATGGAACTCTAAGGTGTCAGATTTCGGACTTGCAAAGCTCCTTTGTTCTGAAATGAGTTATGTCACAACTCGTGTGATGGGAACATTTGGGTTAGTCCAAGTTCTTTTGCTTCTTCTAGGTTATGTCGGCTGGCTCCTTATTAAGTAGAAAGTCACTGAAAGTAAGTATTTCTGCAGCTATGTGGCACCAGAATATGCTTGCACCGGAATGCTGAACGAGAAGAGTGATGTCTACAGTTTTGGAATACTGATCATGGAAATAATAACGGGCAGAAGTCCTGTTGATTATAGTCGACCAAAGAGCGAGGTTGGTGGTGATGCATATAACATGAAATGTGCAGATATCCATCTTCTATCACTGTCTTCTCTTTCACTTTGAACTAACTGTTAAATGGCAAAATAATTGTAGGTGAATTTGGTTGAATGGTTGAAGGCCATGGTTGGAGATCGAAAAGCTGAGGAAGTTGTCGATCCAAAGCTGCCTGAGATGCCTGCTTCAAAAGCGCTCAAGCGGGTTCTTCTGGTCGCTCTTAGATGCGTTGACCCTGATGCAACGAAGAGGCCCAAAATGGGTCATGTAATCCATATGCTTGAGGCCGATGACTTGCTGTTTCGCGATGTATGTAACTTTCCGTCTTTCCAATAAGTCGCTCCTTCACATTATCAAAAAAAAGGAAGAACAAGGAAATTCCTGTTTATTCAATCTGTTCTGATACTCTTCTTACTAATAAAATGCAGGATCGTCAAATTGGGAGAGACTCGTCGCACTCGAACCGGGAATACCAACAGGACAACCATGCTGGTGCAAGGTTAGGAAGTAAAGCTACAAGCGAAGTAACTTCCGATTCGGGTAGATGTGATAGCGACAGGAACTATCATCAGCCAACTAGATGGAGATAACAAACACGAAGTGCACCTGCCAAGCAAATATAGATACCATTTTACTCAGGAAATTGTCATTTATATCTGATTTATGCATTAGTTACACCATTCGTCTTCTTTATCTGTTTTCCCCCAGTGTACCTGCCACGAGTAGAGAATCCTGTTGCTATAATTGGAAAACTTCATTGGCCTCTTCTATACCCTCTCTTTGTCAATTCCTCATCCTTGTCCAAATAGATAGTAAAGCTTGTTTACACCCCTATCGCTATCGTCGCCACGCCCCGAGCCGAGATGGATACGCGGGGTGGCCCTACTCGGCAGCTGTTCCGATGGGCGAGAATGAGAAACTCTATTGGTCACCATCAGACACTGCCAATTTCCAGAACTCTGGAGGGTTGTGGGGAGATGGACCCAGTGGCCAGCCAAACCAGTGGGTGGAAGCAACTGCACTTTGTCGTTGCGTTGGCAATGTTGCTCCGTCCTTGTATGTAATCACTGGTTGTACGCAAGGCAAGCTGGCCGGCCATAACTCTGGCTGGACACATGGTGTTGCTGTTTGCTTCTCGCTATCAAGATGCCCAGACTTTTTCTTCTCTTCCCTCATGGAATTTGTTCTGTCTCCTTTTCTGTCCCATCCTCTTTCTGCAATTACTCTGACTTGGTCCTACGAAATATCGCTGGACGCAGCTTTTTTTCTTTTAGAATTATCTCCTTAGAATACATGGTGGCTGGACACATGGTGTTGCAGCTTTGGGAATTGTCTCCATAAATATGTCCATCAATTTCCAAAAAAGAAAAACTTTTTATATTATTTGTTTATTTCAATGGCCAAAATAGACAGATAAAATACTTCTGTTGTTTGGTGTAAAGTGGGCTGAAAATCATTGAACATTGTAAGGCGGCCATGAGAGGGACAAGACAAAAAGTTTCAGCGAATAATTTAGGATTTGAGGACATGATTTGCTACCAATTTACACAATGGTTCCCTTCTCTGTGCACATGCTTTGGTTTGCCAACTATATTGTAGTCTTTCAATGTTAAAAAGAGAAATGACGATTCCGTCAAAGATATTTCGTACCAACTATCACCGAATTTTACAGTGCCTTAGGGCGTAAAGTTATGATTGCTTTAGCAATTGAGTTAGTTCTTGAATGATTCGACAATTACGACATCATAAAGGAAAAGAGGAAGCTAAATCAATGACTTGCAAATATCAGGAACTTCGAGGCGCTTCTCTAAACGAGCTAAAATCATCAGGGGGAAAATGAAAAGATTATGATTAATACTACGAAAAACTCCAAACTAGTACACCTGTGACAAATTTACCCAAAACTAGTATTTTGACCATAAAAAACTCCAAACTGGTACACCTGTGACAATTTTACTCTTCATTAGTTTCCGTTAAATTTTATCGTTATATTTCTGAGTTGGATGATACGTGGCAGTTGACGGGTGTACCAGTTTGGAGTTTTACCCTCCGTTTGTCACAGATGTATCAATTTATGATTTTTTGTAATATTAATTCAATTTAATGGAGGGTGAATTTGTCATGAGTGTACTGGTTTGGGGTTTTTGATGGTCAAAAAATTAATCTGGGATAAATTTATTATAGACATATCAATTTAAGATTTTTCGTAGTTAAAAAATTAATTTATGATAAATTTATAATAAGTATACAAGTTTGGAGTTTTTCGTTCTAGTAATTCACCGTATCAATCACGAAGGATGGGGAGTTCGAATCCCAGCGTAGTCGTTAGGGATTCTTAAGTGTGGCGCCGTGGTGGTGGGTCCTGCGCTAGCGTCACCCCGGGTTTACATCGCCAGCTGTCGGCTGTACGGCGGTTCCCGGATTATAAAAAAAAGTAAAATTCACCGTATCAATGTAAAAGGGGTTAATTAAAAAAAAAGCACTAACTTTAGGTCGAGGGACAATTCTGGCCCGAACTTTTTTTTGTTCCATAAAAAAGCATCAACTTTAGGTCGAGGGACAATTATGGCCCGAACTTTTTTTTGTCCCGTAAAAAAGCACCAACTTTAGGTCGAGGGACAATTCTGGCCCGAACTTTTTTTTGTCTGGTAAAAAAGCACCAACTTTCACTTAAATCCCAAATCTGGTCCTTATTGACTTAAAACCATTGATTTTCCAACTTGACTATTCCACCTTAGCAATAAATCCACGTGACTTGCTGACTGGATTTAAAGCATTATTCATTGTCTTATTCTCTAAACCACAGCTTGAAGAATAACGGTGAAACTGTTCGTCTCTTTCACTTCACCGACAAGTCAAAAATATCTCCAGATTGAATCTTTCTGGCCAAATTTCGTCGTTTTGTCGTAATCTGAAGCTGTAGACCACCGCCTGTCGACAGAGGTCATGGAAGAGATTCGCCAGGCTCACCACCGTAACTTTTTTTCTCAAACAAGGGTAATTTCAGACAGAAAATCAATGGGGGGGCCAAATTTGGGATTTAAATGAAAGTTTATGTTTTTTATGAGACAAAAAAAAGTTCGGGGCAAAATTGTCCTTCGACCTAAAGTTGGCGCTTTTTTATGAAACAAAAAAAAGTTTGGGCCAGAATTATCCCTCGACCTAAAATTTGTGTTTTTTTTGGGAATTAACCCAACGTAAAAGGGGAATTCTATGGGCTCCTTAGTAATTGCATCATCGCACCACATTTCTCTGTGTGCCAAAAGAAAACTTCCAAAAAAAAGAAAAAAAGAAAATTGATGGTTAAAGCAAAGCAATCCACACGCAAGAAGCCGATAAGAGCGGGCCCCACCACAAGGGGCAAAACTGGAAATCCGCGCGCGCCCGGCAAGGGAGAACGGGGAAAAAAAGAAAAAAAAATTAGAGATTGAAAAAAAGAGAAAGAAAAAAATCTCCCACCCACCGGCTACCTCGGCCTCCAATCGCTTCCCCCCACGTGTCCCACCCCAACCACACCGTCGTCTTCCTTGACCCTATCTCTGGAAACGTCCTCCACATTTTCCCCCACACCGAAAACCCTATCGCGCACGCTCGTCCGCTCGCAGCCTTTCTCCGAAGCTTCTTCCTCGCGATTTCTCTCGAGGTTTGATCGGTTCTTCCTTCCTCCCTCCCTCCTCGTCGTCTCTCTTATTATAAGTTTCGGCTTTGATTTCGTAGAATCGGTTTCCATTTTCGCTTGCTTGCCTCCCTCTCTGCGCGTTGAAGAGGGCTAGGGGTTCGGTTCATCTCGGCGTCCGTGCCGTGCGCGTGTTTCTTTCTCGGCCTTTTTGGCACGCCGATCCGGTAGATCTGTAAGTACGCGGCGAAATTCTCCGTGGATTCGCTTGTTTTGCCGACCGCTCGCCGTGTTTTTTTGATCCGTGAACTTTTCTGATCGATTGGCTTCTTTCATTTGTTGCTTTATAGATCTGCACGATCGCGCGCCTGTGCTCGGTTCTGTGTCTGTGTTTGATGGTCTTTTTAGCCTGCTAGCGGTATTTGCTTGCGATGCGGAGGCGTCGATGATGTTGACCTAGTCGCTTGGGAATTTAGGGGTGAGGTGAGGAATTTCGCTGCTGCGCATCTGTACACGAGAGATTCGTGCCGTTTATGAGCTGATCTATGGATTTTCTGTCAGGAACTTGTCGTCCGTACTAGAAGTAAAGATGGTTTTTTTATCACCTAGTCTGGGGAAATTACTTCCTGTTAACAAGTTTGGACTGCTTTTTAGCCGCTTGTCTTGTGCTTTTATGCGTGTCTCCTTTGGGTGAGTGTGTAGGTTTCTGGAATTCTTTCTTTGTGTTGGTTCCGGTGTTTTGAAGGGATACATCGTTGCTGTTTTGCCACTTTACGTTTCATGCGGTGAAGAGATTGTATTGTTTTTTTTTCGATTTCTGTGGAACATATCTGTCTGTGCATATAAAATGAATATCCCCTCATCTTCTGGGGGAGATTCCTTATGAAAGAAAGTTGAGATTGGAGTCGATGATAGTGTGGAGCTTCTATACAAGTGTTTTGCGGTTCTGTTTCTTGTTCTTGCTTCTGAGTTCTTATATAGTAACTGACCTTGTCGTTTACATTGGTAAAAAAACTGAAACATGAATTCCTTGTTTAAAGTGATTGGCAGGATATCTTATTGTGATAAATTTGTCTGTTTGCAGTGAATACGTAAAAATGAGCCGTCCTCAGGATGCACAGCGAACCTTCTTCCCTTTCGGGAATCCTTTTCGGATGATATCGCCAAAGAGTTCTCAGTTGCCTTCAAAACTTCTTGCGGTATTGAACAATTTTGAGGAATCCTTGGCAGAGAGATTTAGAAAACTTGACCCAAAAGAGACAGGTGATGTGCTTAGCTTATCATGGATGGAACTGGCTATGAAGTCACTTTGTGAAACCCACAGTGACGTAAAAAATCTAATCACTGCACTTGAGCTCCCTGTATGTGATTGGGATGACAAGTGGATTGATGTATATCTTGACATCAGTGTGAAGCTGCTTGATATATGCAATGCCTTCAGCTCTGAGATCTCACGCCTGAACCAAGGCCGTCTTATGCTCCAGTGCGTTCTCCACAATCTGGAATCTTCATCTCCTCAACAATTTATCCGCGCTAGTGCTTCCCTTGATCGTTGGAGACAGCACATCAGCTCGAGGAACCCCAGGTTTGAGAACTGTGGCAGTATACTGGAGAGTCTGATGGAGTCTCTCGATTTGCCCAAGGTTAAAAACTCACCCAAAGGTAAGGTTCTGATGCGTGCCATGTACGGAGTTAAGGTGCAGACTTTGTTTGTTTGCAGCGTCTTTGTTGCTGCCTTCTCTGGCTCAGCCAAGAAACTGTTGGAGTTGAGTGTTTCTGACACATATCTGTGGGGCCTTTCCTTCACTGATTTGCTGACAAGTGTAAATAGTAGCATTAGAAAACGACCTTCTAGTGGTAGTGTGGCCATCTTCAAGGAGCTGGAAGCAGTTGATGCAAATGTCAAGAAGTTGTCTCCACTGATCCGGTCTGGGGAGGGCACAGTTGAGGAATCTGTCCGGAGCTCTGTTTCCAATCTACACAGGGGCGTCGATTGTCTTTCACAAGGACTGGATCTTCTCGAGAAGGAAGTGGATGGCTTCTTCCAGATAGTTTTAACTGGGCGCGATGCTTTGCTGTCTAACCTTAGAGCTAACGGTCCGGGTTCTGCGCTGATGCAAAAAAACAATGTGGAGCGATAGTTTTCTAGATATTTGTAGGCTTCCGTATAAAAATCAACTTATGTATTTTGTTGTCTTGTTGGTGAGAGTATGTAAGATGTTATGTTGTGGACATATTACGTCTGGTGCGAGTATAAGGTGTGCTATGCTGCTACTACTAGATCAGTTTGTACCGTTTGTTGCAACTCCTCCTTAGATAAGGTCAGGGATATATGTAAAATCGTTCCAGTGCAATGCTGAAGAATATTGGCTTAACTTCTGTTTGTGCTGATTCCTTAATTGGTCTGGCTCTTTTGTTTTGGGTGTTTTACTTCGCATAAGTTTCTAAACCGTGTGTGCTCCACTGCCTTGTCAGGCTGCGTACTCAACGCGGTAGTGGTCGAATGAAGTTTCCGCTTTGCCCTTGATCATCGTGCCGTGAGGGGTGTATGACTAAGAAGCACGATTAGAAATTTTGCAGTCGTGAAAAGGCGGCTCGCAGACGTGTGAACACAAAATGAGGAGGGAGGGAGAGAGAATCTGTATTCTAATCTCTGTTCTTTGCGTGGAGTGTCTAGTAAAAAGTAATACGAATACTAATATAACTGGGCAGACAAGCATTTGCTGTTCTAGACGATTCGCCAATACGGAAAGTTATGACAGCTTAAAATCAAAGCAACTTGCGTTAGGTTATTGCCAACCGCCGCCCTCCGACTACTTTTATTTAGTCGAGTCAGCCGTTCAGGAATGTTATGTCTCCCGCGAAGTTAGCCCTTAGAATATTGAACGAGCAGCGCACGATCCTTTGGGCATTTGATTTGATCCACCGTTTGACCATTTCAGATTTCACAAAGCTGAGTTCTTTTAGTCGGATGCACCAAGATCGATTAAGTAAGCACTTGTATAGAATTTTGTGGATGGTAATATGCCCTGTGGTTTCTTTAGCCTCCATCGTCGTTTTCACGGGTGACGACCAAAGGAAGATTCTGGGATCACCCGAAAAACCTGATGCCGAAGGAATAGCCAAGACACTCGTATGCACGTGACGACCAAAGGAAGATTCCAGGATCACCGGAAAAACCTGATGCCAAAGGAATAGCCGAGACACTCATATGCACGTCATAGTTCATAGCTGCAACGATCTGAATGGCAAGCATATTCACTCCCTTAGAGAATTTTTCAAGAAACCAGCCAATCCAGTAGGACGATTCCGCCAGATTAACCTGAAATTATTGTGAAGATTCATGGAATTATATCTTCGGTTGGTTTTGGCCATAGAAACAGAAGATCAGTACTCTTTGTGGCATTTGGTTGAGAACAAACTACGGAAAGATCAAGTTCTTAGACAGTGGATGGATTCACACAATGTCCTTTGCCATTTGCTGTGGCAACTCGTAAAAGTAATTGATTACCGATGTGCTATTGTAGAAAACAATTTCAAACCTCAAACTAGTCTGAGGATTGGGGCTTTTGCACGGCCCCTAAAGTGAAAAGAAACAGAAAAGGCCGCATGAGACGACACTATCGGCACGTGATGTCGTCAATCATTCTTTGTACATGAATATGAACAACTTCCCTGGAGAGCACTTAACCACAGTCCCAGTCTCAGCTTTCAACAAAATCCACATAAATGGGAAACCGCGCTCATATCCTTAGAAATGGTAGGTGAAGGTAGAGCTTCCGGGCCATGAAATAATGCAACATTGAACGGTGATGACTTGAACCAGCAGCAAAAGGGCACAAAAAAAATCAGGCTTTCAATCTTTACACGGTCCTTGCAGCAAGGTGAACTGTCAGCAAGACAAAGCTTCAAGAAATTAGATACCAATTAGATACCTTGGGATAACTCTTTTGAGCTGTTTGATGAATAACTCAAGCAATTACATAACTTGTGTCTCACCTCCAAATGGAAACTCGCATTCTTCCTCGCTGTGTCATCGAACAGTCATTTCTTGCATTCTGCTGCCTAGTCTAGCACCATGCTGCTTAATTATCTGGACAGACTGAAGAAGGATATCTTGTTGTGTGGTGTAGAACTCTTCTCTACCCTAAAACCCCACGCAGCATTTTACGTAAGTGAGAGATAAGCGTGACAACAAAGCATGGTAGAACAGGTAAGAGGCTTCAGAAAGGGAAAAAAATTCGAGACTGGGTGGCATGAGAATCAAAGCATGCGGCGTAAGAATACCTGCCACCAGTATCATAACAATGAAAATAAAACGGAAATCTTGCGTATTGGTTGTCTCACTATGCAATTCAAAAAATCACATATAAAAGAACAACTGAGTAAGAAACATTTATCTCGTGATAGTAGAAAACTGCTTTATTATGAGATGTGTGCGCAAGAGGAAGAACTACTAACCATGTGTTTGAGATTACAACCAAGAGTCAATTCCACATAAGAACTTTCCACTTGTGACAGGAAACAGAAAGGGACTTCTTTACCCAAGAAAACTTTTGGGTGTGATTTCAGCATATTCTTAATGTCATTTGATATCGGTGGAATCTTCTCCAGATCATCACTTTGCAAAGGGATTTTGGTGACTATGGCACGCCATTCAGCACGCGACTTATTTACAATCACCTACAAACTTTGTGAACTGACAATGAGGTTTTCTGACAAAAATTTGCAGTTACTGCTACCAGGGAATAAAGCATATAAAAGACACATACATATCCAACTAAAAAAATGCCCAATTTTGATTTAAACGAATACACCAATCCTAAAGATCCGGAATATTCACCAACTCCTTGCAGTTTATTTTGTTTTCCATTTTCTTAATGGGGTGACCAGCAAAAGGTATTGCCAGTGAGAACAAATATCATAGTGGACTACCTCTTCCAGCAAAAGGTCCAAAGTATTAAGCATTCAAGCATACAAATGAAGATTATCAACAGTCAAACCACTCAATCAATATCAAACAACAGTAATTTTCAGCTCGAGCAAGACTAGTGAGTATTAAAGTATTTTGCATATTTAAGCACGTTATAACATCAGCAATGTTAAAACTAATCTACTAAACTCTATAACTGACACCTCACTCTAGCACAGAAGCAGGTCTAAGCAGAAGGTAATACTGCACCCCTGCAAAGAACAGTAAATTATAATATTCCAAGAGATTGATGAAAGACCTTGTAACAAAGATACAGTAAGATCTACAAAATTCAGACAACTACATACGAAAGATAACACTGCTAGTAATCCACCTCTTCAGAAGAGTACTCACCTGGCTAGAAAACAACGAATTTGGAACAATGACAGGAAATTTCTCGGCACTAAGCAGCGATGTGGTCGTAAGCCCCATTTCCACGACTTGACCTTCTATAGATCCAGCCTAAAATACAGAAAATTTATTAAGTTCAGAAGTCAAGGCTCATTTCTCTTGCTACTTGTTCCCCACTATATTCACAGCCCATGAGATTGCCAGAGGAAAGAGGAACAACATGATCATGTACTGATTGAACATCCAAACATGTCATTAACTGCAGAGTTACTTCAGGATAATGATCAGATGACTTCTCACAATAGATGCATTAAGAGATGAAATGCTCCTGGTCAGAGTAAATGGTTAGGAAGAACAAAACTTCATTCCATATATCCAGGAGGAAAGGAAAAGAAAAACAAATTGCAATGCCAGAGATGTAGTAAGTAGCCAGGTTGATGCTGAACCATACTTTTATTGTATCTCCAAGCGAAAAGGGCTTCGAAAACTGCATAGACAAGCCACTAAGCACATTTCCGAGTATATCTCTTGCAGCAAAAGCAGTTGCTACACCTGCATAAATTTAGTCGACAAATAGGTTAAAGCATGGCAAGACTTGTAGGCATCATATGAGCTCTTGGCATTATGGGCGGTAGCAAGACGTATCCTAGAGAAAATCTGGAGAGAGTGGATAGAGAGACCATGTGCGAGTGCGATGAATATATGAATGAACTCTATTGTCTAAGAGAGGAGCTTGGGATTTCCCATATAATAATGAATGCTGCGACAACATGACATTTACCAAAAGTAACTCCACAAGATTTTATGTCGTGTTAACGATTTGGTAGCTATGTGATTCCATAGATTGCAGGTAACTCTCAGACAGAAGGCATAAGCAGATAAAGGAACACATTACGTACCTCCTATACCACCAACTGTAATGATAGATTGCACAGCCACCCCACATGCTTCTGCTAAAGCCATCAACCCAATTACAAACAGCCCTATAGATGAAAGTCGGTCTAGTGCAAGCATTTTTTCTCGATCAAGCCCTGCCATACTCTTGATTGCTAATGCACGAGAGAATGCACTTGTTTTCCAGCGATGCAAGAACCATACAAATGAAAGAATAACTGCACCCCTCCATGCTTGCCCGATGTATTGAGATGCTACAGTTGTGGGAGCAACCATCATGGCGCTGCAATTCAAATAAGACGTACATTGTACACATTAAGGTTCATATAACAAAAACACACACAAGTACACATGAGACAATCATCAAACTTGCATTTACTAACATCTGCCAAAATGCCATGAAGGTGATGAGATATCTCACAGGATCCTCTAGGGCCCCCCAGAAGCTTTTGTCATAAGGAACTTCTTCTCCCAAAGGGGTTCCCGATAGCAAAGCAGCCTGACCTTGTGTAGCATACTTGTGAAATCTCCTCAATATTCTAGGCATCACAACCCATGCCAATAGAGTGCCGGTCAAAGTAAGGCCGATCGGCATAAAAACATTCTTAACATACGGGTGCGAATCGAGCACCTGCTGCACATAAGGAGTCAATTCATCAGATACCTCCTTAACCTTTTCCCCTGTGTGACCAGCCACATCAGCGGCGCCGTGCCAAGCTTCTCTAATCTTATCGAGCCACTCACTCGAGACAACCACACTGTCCCCATCACCCACTTCGCCCGCCCCAGAAACGGCCGACACTTCCGATTCCTCGGGCGTATCTCGTTTGCCGCCGAAATACGACGCAAATGACCGAGAATCCAACACGGGGCTCGCCAAAAAGGGGGAGAAATTACGTCCACAGCACGCGCGGGGTAGTTTTGGAGAGAACCCATTGGTGGTGGGTTTCCTCAGGTAACCGGTAGCGCCAGAGATTGATACAGGGGCCAGCCACCTCTGATACTTTTCCGCATACTCGAGAGATCCTGACTCTTTGGAGCAGTAGATGGCATCAAGAGATGGGCGCGATGCTCTAACGTGAACTTGAGCAGGATACTTCGAACGTGCAGCGTGGGATTTAAATGACAGCCATTTCGAACAAGGGACGGTGAATTTGCAAATGGGTTTCAAACTGGGAAAGCCCATATTAGCCATCGTCCGAAACTTTCGGCACCTGGGATTCTAAGGGGCCGCCGGAAGAGCTAAAGCTCAGACACCATAAGAAAGAAAACACTCCCAAGAACGGGACGACAGCGATATCGAAAGAAGCCTCTACCGCCACCGGTGGCAACCTGCTGACAGACGAAAATCGGAGGAGGTCAAAAAGGCGTCACCTTTTACTCGATAGCCAGAACCTTCGGCTCCTCCTTGTTCCGCATGTTCCTCGGCAACCAAACGGGTTTCCGTAGCTTATGCGAAAGCTTCGATCCTACGCATGGCGATGCGCGACCGCGGCGAGAATGAAGGGAAATCGAGCTTTACTCGAGCCGTTTCTGGCTGTTAGCACAGGGAAGGGAAGGGAAGTGAGGAAGGCGCAGAGCCGGGTTGTCGGGTCCGCAGCCCGACCAGGTGATACCTCGGGTCGGGCTCGGCCGCAAACGCTCAGCCCATGGTCCAAACACATCCTTTAAGGCCTCTCTTCCAAATTGTTCAATACGATCCGTGGTATTTTGTACGTCCAATTTACAACGTGGTCGTCCCTGAAATTTACTCTAATGTGTAATGTCGTCCATGAACTTTTGACACTTGTTCAATTTAGTCCCTGCATTATATGGCACCATTTTGCGATTTGTACATGAAATGTCAATGGCCAACTGCAAGCTTATTGTTCTTCCTTTTCTTCTTCATTGCCTTCCTCATCTTCATCTACCTATCAATCAAATATGACAACATGTGAAAATATTTCAGTAATGTTAGATTTTAAGGCAGTTGACTCGTGAGGCCCCTTAAATAACAACCTCTTTTGCGACACCTACCGTTGTCGTAAGAACGGATGTACGGGCAAATCCGTCCAGCCAATTCAGATCGGAAATTGCCGGCGTGGGACGGCTTCAGGGACTAAATTAGCCACGCATTGAAAGTCCACGGGGACGATCATGTTAGGCATCGGATCAAATTTCACGGACCATTCGTATCGTTATCCCTGTCGGCTCCAATGAAAACGACGACACGACTCCGTCAAAGGAGGAAATGGGGAGTGGGACGTATCAATCAAAATGCGTAATGGCGCACCTCGCCCGCGTCTCGCTCCAGCTGTATACCGCGTAGCGACCCCGCCGTCTCCCAGCTCGCTGAGTCGACTCGCCCCCTCCAACTCGCTCCCCTTCCTGAAATCGGCCTCTCCTCTTCCTCCTCCTCCTCCTCCTCCTCCGCCGCTCGCGCACCGCCCCGCGAAGATGGAGGCGCCCCTGAAGCTCAAGCCGTGCGCTTTCCTGCTGCTCTGCGCGTGCGCCGCCGCCCTCCTCCGCGCGCTCCCTGCCTCCGCCTCCTTCTCTCCGGTCGACAACTACCTCGTCAACTGCGGCTCCGCCGCGGACGCCGCCGTCTACAACCGCGCGTTCCTCGGCGACTCGTCCGGCTCCGGCTCGCCGAGGGTCCTGGCCTCGTCCCGGACCATCTCGCTGCACGACGGCAGCCCGGCCCTGGGCACGCCCCAGATCTACCGCACGGCGAGGGCCTTCGCCAGACCTTCCAAGTACGTGTTCGAGGTCCGGGAGAGGGGGACGCACATGGTGCGCCTTCATTTCCATAGGTTCAATTCCTCGAGGATGGAGATGTGTGACGCGCGATTTCATGTTTTGGTGGATGGGTATGTGGTGCTGAGTAACTTTAGCGGCGAGAGCGAGTCTAGGCCCGTAATTAAGGAGTATCTGATCTGGGTCGATGCAGAAAAGCTTGTTCTTACGTTTGTCCCTGCTGAGAGGTCGAAATTTGGATTTGTCAATGCGATTGAGGTGATATCTGCGCCCAAAGATTTGATTTTGGAGACTGCCCAGCTTATTGACGGTGGCAAAATAGTGAACTTCGATGGACTGAACCGGCAAGCGCTCGAAGTGTTATATAGGGTTACTGTCGGTGGTCCGAAGGTTACTCCCTTTAATGATTCTCTGTGGAGGACTTGGGTTCCTGATGATGCTTTTCTGAAGTCGACTTATGGATCGGAAAGGATATCCTTTGGTGGTAGGATTAAGTACCAAACGGGAGGTGCAAGCCGTGAAGTAGGCCCTGACAATATGTACAATTCTGCCAGAGTGATTAAAAGCACAAATGCAACAGTACCTAATGTTAACATGACATGGGTTTTTCCAGTGACCGGAGATTATAAGTATCTTGTTCGGTTGCATTTCTGCGACATTGCTAGTATTTCTCTTGAGTTGTTATACTTCAACGTGTATGTCGATGGGTTCTTGGTGTTTGAAAATTTCGATCTCTCGTATGTGGTAAATGAGGTTCTGGCAGCACCATTTTATGCAGATTTTGTAGTTGAAAGAGATGATTCGGGGATTCTGAGTGTGAGCATTGGACCTTCAAATTATAGCATGGCGCATGCAATTGATGGCATTCTTAATGGTGTGGAGGTCATGAAGTTGAATAACTCAATGGGTAGCCTTGATGGTGAGGTGTGTGGTGGATTTATTTTGAAAAGCTGGCCAAGAGGAAACATGGGCGTTTTGGTTCCTTTGGTTGCTGTAATTTGTTTGCTGCTGAGTATGTCTGTGGTCATGCATAGGAGGACAACTGGGGTAAGCCACACTGTGGCATGGACCAGATTGCCGACAGACATGACAGAATTAAGCCTGAAACAAGCCAAGCAACAGTTCGGATAAATCATGACTTGTAACATGTACTTGGAATTGGTCATGGAGGATCAAAATGTTGTTGCCTGTTAGTGAAAGTATACTGTCGATGTGTGCGACAGCTTCTGTGGCTTCTGTTATTTCGAGTTGTAGTTTGGGGCCTGTAAGAGGGTTTATAAGCTTGGAGTGTATGTGTTGTAATTATCCTGTAAGTTTTGTTGGTAGTATTCCTTACAATGTGAAAAAAGATGTCCGTGCCTTTCTTGTTGGTATTACAATATCCTCATTATTTTACCTGATGTCAAAGCACTATGAAGCAATACGAATCATATCGAAGTTTGTCGAGTTTATGAGTGGGAAGGAGCTTGTATGTTGTAGATATTAGCTTCTGTTTGCTAAAACCTTGCTTATCCAGTGAGTTTTCTCTAATTTCTCTTGATGACTTTCTGTTACTTAACGATCAATGGAAGCTACTGTTGTTTCTTTTTTCCTGACAATTGCCAAAGACGTTTGCCGGGTGGTTCTTTGTAGGCATTCCTATCTGTATGCCTTAACTGGGTAGTCTCTGCTTCCCAGAATATCTAGATTTGATCTCAGAGAATACTGGGACTTGCCAAAAAAGATTAGAACCTGCTGCACTTTATTCTAGTTGTCCAAAACCTACGGAAGTTTGTTGTAGGCCTTCCCGATTACTAGTTTCCAGGATTCCATAATCATATTTCCCTAGTTCGTAGACTAAAACAATCTCAACCCGTGTTTTGGGTTTTTCAAATTGATGGGAAGTATGGGGTAATTTTTTGAAAAATGGAGGGGATGGGGGAGTGGTATCTTCTTATTCTGTTGCAACCGGTTGGAGTTTTCCGATTTTGTTTTTCTGTTATCATACACCAGCTTTATAAATTCTCTCTTGTCGGAGGTTGTCTTCCTGTGGAGAGGTGTTGTATGTTATGTCGCCTTCTCTATAATGTTTCGTTTATGTCTAGATACGTAGTGTCATTATTCATCGGTCATAGTTATATTTTTCCTTAGTGGATACTTGCAGATGCTTGATGATTAATGCAAGAAAGAAGTGATAGCATGCATCTATTGTGCTACTTCTTCTTACATATCGTTTCAGCAGCCTGTACAAGGGAAATTCTGCACATGTATCTAAAAAATCATGAGCATCAGCTGACCTAAAAGGGGGATGCGTCATTCAAACATTTAGAAGTCCTATATTGTCCATTCCTCTCGAAAATGATAATTCGCTAGCTTTGCCAATGTGGACGAATGTTTGTAAATGTGTTGTTTTGTCTAGTGATCTGTGTAATGCAATTTTCTTTGGAACAAGGATGTATCTAAAAAATCATGAGCATCAGCTGACCTAAAAGGGGGATGCGTCATTCAAACATTTAGAAGTCCTATATTGTCCATTCCTCTCGAAAATGATAATTCGCTAGCTTTGCCAATGTGGACGAATGTTTGTAAATGTGTTGTTTTGTCTAGTGATCTGTGTAATGCAATTTTCTTTGGAACAAGGATGTATCTAAAATATCATGAGCATCAGCTGACCTAAAAGGGGGATGCGTCTTTTTTCATTTAGAAGTCCTATATTGTCCATTCCTCTCGAAAATGATAATTCGCTAGCTTTGCCAATGTGGACGAATGTTTGTAAATGTGTTGTTTTGTCTAGTGATCTGTGTAATGCAATTTTCTTTGGAACAAGGGTGTATCCTATTGGAAATTAAAGGTCACGAGCATTATGATAGTAGCAGGATAAGAAATGGAACTTGCTTGCGACAAATTGCTGCTGGAATAATGTAATTACCCTCTATAGGTTAGTTTCAGTCGTTTTAAGCTTTATGTTTCTTCTGATACATCGAATCACATAACATTTGCTAGTCAAAGCAGGAAAACCCCCGACTTAAGCTGCGTTCTTTGTTAGTGGTAAAACAGAGCATTACACAGATGCTGCATCTTCATGAGGAGAAATGTACACACTTTGCCATTCCATGTAATCTCCCACTTTGATCTGTAGACTGTGGAGCACAAAATAGATAGGTGAGTCACCCACCAGCTAGATAGATTTCTTTTGTATTTGTTCTCCCACCAATTGTACGGGCACTATCATTTGGTGATTTGATTAACATCAACTAGTGAATAGTGATACTGATAGTGTTGTGACATTCGTCTCGGGGCGCATTTGGGCCCTGAGTGCTTTGGCCTACCCTGGCACATCCAATCTCGGCATTGCAATTTGCAACCAGAATTTAGCCTCCTCTATGCCTAGTCTCCACCTTCAGCATTTAACTTACCTAGGACTGAATGAGATTTGGTTAAGAATTAGCCGGTCAATGCAATTTTCACGACCCATCAAGTTATCGTCGATCGACCCGATGAAGCGATTCCCATGCACGAATCTCGGTTTTTCCCCAAGCTCAAGCTATGTCTGCTGGCCATGACCAATCATGGTTGTATAGTCTGGTTCTTAATTGTCTTTTGGTTGTCACTGACTGGTCTAGTCTCGTGCCTTTCTAAATTGAGCAAAATGCCACCCCCGATTGCTGCTTAATCACCATTTGGGGATGACGAGGCATTTGCCTATTCCATTCCATATCTTGAACTGTACACATGCGCCTCAGGTCAACTTTCCACGCAATAAAAAAAACAATCCACAGGAAGTTCCTTCCCTGCAGATCACTGGCATCTACTGGTCCATCCATCCAGAATCTTTGACTCACAGCCCCGTGATTATATCATCGTCCCACTCAGACTTTTCCACTGTATCATCATTCATCACCCGCCTCCATTGATTATATCATCATCCCACTCAGACTTTTCCACCATATTATCATTCATCACCGTCCTCCATTGCTGAACCTGTGAACTCCCTTCCAGCCCCTTCTTCTTCTTCTTCTTCTTCTTCTTCTTCTTCTCTCTATCTCTCTGAAAAGCACACTCCATCTGCTTTAGATACAGAATCAATGGGCTTTCCAGTTGCTTACACCGAGATTTCCTTACCAAAGCTCTTGTTCCAGACAATCCCCCTCCTGCGCCTCATCAGGAACCTCATCTCCTCCCTCCTCCACCTCCTGGGCTTCTCCGATTTCCTCGAGATCGACCCTCCTCTCCCCGAGGGTCGAACACCCGTTTGCCCGCCCGTGTCCGCCGTCCTGATCCGAGAATTCCTGCCCCTGACGAAGTACCGGGAATCGTCGGACCCGCCGGAGAGCTGCACGGTTTGCTTGTACGAGTTCGAGGTTGGGGAGGAGATCAGGGAGCTGAAGAGCTGCAAGCATGTCTTCCACCGGAGCTGCCTGGACCGCTGGATGAACTGCGATCGGCGAACGTGTCCCCTGTGCAGGACCCAGTTCCTGCCCAAGGGAATGCAGGAAGAGTACGACGGATGGTTGTGGGATGCTGCTGCTTCTGGGGGTGGCGTTCTTGAGCTTTACAGTTAGTACAGATCGGTTTAGGCATTGGTGGTGGTCTGTGAACTCGTATACATAAAGGGCAAGTTACTTCAGATCCAAGAATCAAGAATAAGAGTCAAAACAAGAAGGAAGGTTTTGCAACTTCTTTTTCTTGATGTTACTCCCACGAAGAACCGAAAACGATGACTTGTTTTGATATACCAATTAGGCCTTTTAGCTCCTTTTTTTTGTGAGATTTGCGGTGTGAAGATCTTTCCTTTTCTGTCATGGCTCGTTCCTTTTCTTGGTAGAATTCATCGTGGCTTCGGAGTTTTGAAAGAATCGCTTTCCTTCGTGTTCGTGGCTTCCCACTTTTCTGTGTCTCTGTGTCAATGATGTTTGAATCGATTTGATTCGCATAGGAAAAGAATAACCTTGAAGTTGTGGGGTGTTGCAATTGCAATGAGTTTGAGGCTTGAGCAGTTGCTAAAATGCTTGAGCAATCTGATGAATAAATGCCCAAACACATAGGAAACGAACTGGTTATTTACTAATAACGGTCAAACTGAACCCTTTCATTTTTCTATGGAATTGAGAAATGGGTTTGACCCTCCATCTTTGTGGGATTGATAATAGTATAAAGCAACAAATATTTTAGCCATTTGCATCGAGCTCAAGCTTCCTTCTTGCATACGAGCTCTTCCGGGAGCACGCGCTAGAATCGGAGGTAAAAATTTCTCGGTAGCGTCCTGGATCAAAACGGGTGATCCCCACCTACTACTAAGGATCCCATATTACCCCTATAAACTGAAAACTGGAGCTGAACTCTGTCATTCCAAACATTCCAAGAAGTAGTAGTCCATGAGCTTAGATTTAAGATAATGGTTTGGGTTGTTGAAGACCGTCGGCCAATGTGCAGTGTGAAACTTCTCATTTGGCACCTTGTTGTCATCAATGCGAAGGACCACAATGTCGGGAGTCTCTTTGACTATTGTAATGCGAGCAATACGTGACCGGCACTCATGTTGTGATAATTTAGTTTCTGCTGTTTCCATATGAATATTCCGCACGCATTGAATACTAGTACTCTGCTTTTTTTTTAAATGGGATAAAGTTGTGCTCATTTGGCTACAAAAAGAAGACTTTGACGCTAATATAATACATGAAGCGGCTGCAAATTTCCAAAATTTGCTAAAATTGTCCCAACTCCTTGTCTCTGTCTGTCTAAACTCCTTATGTTAGGTCAACGAATCACTCGTTGTCCAAACTCGGGCCACAACACCAGGGAGAGAAATTGTGGGTTCTGCATGATGACTTTGATGAGTCCATGAGCTTGATCCATGTCTGCAGTCATCTGAACAACTATCCATGAACACGAAGAAAGAAATGGTAACAGACATTGACGATGTCCTAGGATGCTGAATTAGAAGTTCGTGCAGGAACTATCAATCCCAGGCTGTGAAAGATTCGAGAAGTTCTCGCTTGAGTCCATGTATCACATGAGATTCAGATGATCAATAGCTACGGTTAATCCGGTTTATCCTGCACCGACCCAAGTGTTTGTCAAAAGAACGGGTCTCGCTCTCTTGAATGATTTGAGAATCTGGAAAAATAGGATGAGGAGGAATTAATGGAATTACCATGTTCCAGACACCAACATCCCTTCCTATGCATTTACGGGGAGAGGTTTTTCTCCTAAATATGGCGTTGCATTTAGAATGTATGAACTCAATTTACCGAATAACTTTCCCATATTGTTCTTCGTTGGTCCTAAGATCTATATGACCTTCGTTTAACCAAAAGTATGGTCAAGAAAAAGAGGAAAAAGAAAGTATCACGCATCAGCTTATGTTGAATCCGTGGCAATTGCAATGCCTTAATCAGCATTGTCTTGACCAAGATGGCACAAAGTTTGCGGTGTCAACTGGTCCGGTCGGGTTTGGCACAACTCCGGACCCGGCATGAAGCAAATGTCTTGAGGCAGTTTATTTCACCCGAGCCCCTCACAGTAATTACCCGACCCATAGTCAACAGTTTGGTTCGGGTATTCGGATAAGAAATTTATTATAATCTGAACAAAACATTTTGGCTAACTGAGCTACAAAGATGAATGGGTTTCAGTTGGAATATGGATTTCTATTCGCTATCCTCTCGCCGACAGATGAGAAGTATCTCCTGAATACTCCGCTTTCAAATTCCATAGTGTTATGACTACTCAAATAGGCTCTATCAAAGAATGAATTGTATTTGTCCTATGAAGTGCTGCTAACTTTGAACCAAGTTCACTACTTTCTTCCGCAATTTTTTAACGTTTGTTTATTGAAGATGCGCACTCGAATTGTTGGGTCCTTCATGTCTGACTTAGTCTTGAAAACTAGGCTGTTGTAGACAGATCTGAACATGGAGATTTGTCTTGGGAGTTTTCCTTTTTCTCAGAAATTTAGGGCAATCTTAGGTAAATCGAACTTGACATGGATTCCATAAGTTGACTTTCGTGAACTTCGAGACTCTATGATTCTATAATCCAACATTTGGCTCCCCCATGAACGAGCATCCTTGCATGAAAATGGATGAGCAAAATCAAAATCTAATGTGTATTCGGTGCTTAATAAGTTAATAAAGTCAAAGCTCGCACTCACCCACTGTCTCTAGTTCACAGCTTTGCTTCAGCCTTAAGACACTCTTGTTTGATCTCGAGGCAAGACTCATAGAGTGCATGAAATTGGGAAAAAAAAATTGTGGGTGCACCGTAAATGTGAAGACAATTCACTGCTTTCTATGCCTCTCTTCCTCCTCTTTCCACAGCATAACTCGAGAATTACCGAGGATGGCCACAAGGCCAAGAACGCAGTGGCGCTTAGTTCTATGTTATCTGTTTCTTGGATCAATCAATGCGAGTTCTCTTCAGTGCAAGGACACTCGGTGCAGGATGGGTTCCTGCAACAGCAACGGAGATTGCATCTGCAAGTTCCCAGATCCTTCGACCATATTAGATGGTGATCGGCTCTTTCTCGGGTGATTATTTATCATTGCATTTTGTACTTCAATGTTGTTCCCTTCCCTTTTTCGCTGCCAATAAGATCGCACATATGATATTAGAGGCATAAATCCAATGTAATGTGACAATTTTTCAATTAAGGCATGCAACAGTTTTTCATATTAGTAGTACTTAGTTGAATTGCTGAAGTAGCACTGAAGACATTATCTGCCGGGATCACAGTGGAAAATTTTGCAATGAGGAGATGGTGATGTGCGATGGAACAAACTCTTTTTGGTGCGAGCACGGAGGGAAATGCAAGGAGATTGTGCAGGGTGAAGAATATAGATGCAAGTGCCCTCCAGGGTACACTGGCAAGCGCTGTGAATATTCTGGCGCGCGTTGTGGCGGGATCTTCTGCTTCCACGGGGCGGAATGCTTGGTTGAGGGAGAGGCTTGTGAATGTCCTCCTGGCTGGAGAGGAAGTGCCGATTGTTCACTCCCAACAAATTCCACTACAGGTCTAGCCCAATTTCTTTGTGTAGATTTGCCATGATTTCCACTTCGATAGTTTCATATGATCGGCGGTCAAATAAAAATCGTAAATTTCAGGTTCTTCTAAAAGTACATCTTCGACCAGATTGGATCAGCGGGGCGGGGATAGTGACATGAGTGTGAGTATTGTTCGTTCTCTTTTTCTGGTTCAATGTTCTTCATTAGCCTCGATAACGTTATGATATGATTTGTTCTGTGTTTCTGCAAGCAGGGGTTGGTGTTTCTCTTTCTTGTTGTATGTTCTGTAGGAGCTGTACTAGGACTAGGTATTTATGCCCAGAAATGGATTATGAGAAGACAAAAAACTTCTCCAAAGTCTCAGCAGTTATCGGACATGCAGCCTTACCACTGCGTATTGGAAGAGGAGGACGACGTTCAAATAACTGCAGAAGACACGCACAATGACGACTCGCATCTCTAGCCCAAAACTCTCATCCTGCCATTGGAATAATTTCTCACTGGAAGTTTATCAAGAAACTTTGTTATAAAAAATGAAACCTGTCTTCTTTACTTTTAGACATTCGATGTATGTTCGCATTATTGTCCCCATAATGGACCAACAGCTGAGCTTGGTATAAAACTTGAGCGTGTCCTGGGAGCTACCCAATTTATGCATCCCACTATTGATTATACACAGTTCACATAACATAATGACAAAACCTCACCAAGGCAAAAGTAGGACAAAAATCAAGTCATTATGAGCCACATGATGATAAGATTATTTGTCTATTACTGCACTCACTTAATGACAGGGAAAACACACACCTGGGTATATAGTTATCCGTCGGCTAATGTCTTCCATCAATAGCAACAAAAGTTAGGGAAATGTGACTAGTTAATGCTATTGTTGTACAATCACTTCTTTGAAATAATGAGATGCACATGTTGAATAATATTTTGCCGGAAAGCTGCACTGATTCTTCATCTCGGATGTCCTGGATGAGGATAAGCAGCAGGTGGATAACCCGGAGGCGGATAACCTTGAACTTGAGGAGGAGGGGGATATCCATAAGGTGGCGGCCCATAAGCTGGTTGTGGCGGCTGTCCGGCTGGAGGAGGAACTGGCTGGTTGATCCGCGACATCTGCTGCATTGGAGGCACGACCATTCCAGGTTGTTGCCCAAACTTACCATCTCTCTTGTCCATTTCAATCTTGTGTTGGGTCTGGATACAATCCAAAAGTGAGAAACTAAGCAGTCAAATTCTCTAGCGGAATCTTCTTGACATATAGAGTACTGGGATGGTAATATATGGCCGCTAAAGATGACACGGTCATTCAGAACCAGGATGTTTAGACTGCTATCCGATGATTCAGCTACCGTTTGTTAGAATAGGAATGGAAAAAGATTCTCAAAGGGGGTGGTTGATAGCATTCCTAGAGCCTCCTTCAATATAATCTGATTTATAGCGAAACCAACATAAAGGGGAATGGCATAACTTCCTGATTCATTAGTATGTAACTGATAGTAGATAGTACTGTACCTGCATGCATGCACAGACCCTGCAAGATGATGCAGATCAAATAATCAGCAAAACGCTACTGGATACATCACACCAGAGCTGTTGAGAGGGGTAAAGGGAAAGTCTCTTACGAGCAATAAACCATGTCGGATAAGCAAGACAAGCACTGCGAAGCATCTTCGATTTCCTCACTTCCGGTCAAACAAGCAACCAAGGAACATATACACGCCAGTTGTTGGAGGCAGAACATGAATGTCTGCATGAGAAGGCGATCAGTCAAAAAAGAGGTTGACATGCTCAATCAACGGGTTGGAAAGATGAGGAAGCATGAAGCATTACAATGATGCAGTTATCGCACTGCGTTGTCTGTATGTTGAATTCGTCTTGCAAAAGGAACCGGGTTGAGGCGACCGAGTTTGCGAAGCAACAGAGAACCTTAACAACGCGAGAAGTGAAAAAGACATGACATTGATAGCATTAGTAGAAGGGAAACATTTAGCGGACATGTAATATACAAAGCAAGCAGAACCTTTGTAAGTTCATAAACAGATCAAGAAGAAGCCAAGAGAGTCGATTGAAATCAGATCGCGCTCATACCTCAGTGCAAAGACAAAATTCAGGGCACTGGCTTTCTCCACACCTACCGCTGCATGGCATAAAGCCAGCACAGCATGTATACCTGTAATATAGTTGAATTAGGAACGAGGCTCAGTATCAATAATAAATGAATTTCTGCCAGAAAAAGGCTCTAGTGCCATCAATTACCTCGACATATCATTGTAAAGAGCTCGCCTGCGCAGCATGAATGAAGCACACGGACCACTGCTCAAAGAAATGAAGAAATGTTGGCAATGAAGATTATACAGATTTCTGAGTGTAACTATCTCTTGATGAATAGGCCAGGATAGATGCTACCAACTATTCATGATAAATGTCACTAAAAACAATGTCAGGACAATAAGATCAATAGGAAGTAGATCGCGTTTTAATTGAGAGACTGTATGAGATCCTAAATTGTTAAACCTGACTTAACATACCAAGTGATATGCCACAACTGTGTCGGATACTCCGCAGGCATACCATTCAAATTATACCGCATCATTTAGGATATTAAATTTCGTAAACCTTTTTAATACACCCATCACTACTCATTCACAATTTCACTTCAGACTTATGTTGCTTGTTAATAAGAAGCTGCTGAATTTATCTTCTTTTCGAACCCTCTCTCAGTTTCCCAGTTGTGAACTGGAGATTCTGAGATTACATTGATCCATTTTCGCATTCCGTAATCACGACTCGTTACTGATCAGATGCAACTAATCGATGTTTATCTATCATAATCATACAAAAGGTACAATGTAAGCATACACATGCTCTTCGTACAAAAAAACCTAAAACACAGCTGGTCACAGAAATAGCTCAGATTGATCCAGGTCTTATATTGCAGAATGATGCATAAAAACAGCCTGAAACATTACGTCACATGCACAAACTTGATTAAAAAGTGTGACATGAACACTAATATATCAATGGAAAAATCTAAATTTCAGAAAGATAAAAAATATAATAGAGAAGTCGTACCACCACACTGCAAAGCAACAATCTGCGCAATAAAACAGAAGGAGCGGAGCTGGTCAGTCATTTCATCTCATCAAACCAAGACATTTCGAACAATGATAGTAAGAAAAGAAAATCATGACCCAGAAAAAGCTGCGACACATCGATACATCTCCGAGTAGTGAACCTACTGATTGCGAAACGAGGAGAAGATAGAAAAAAGAATGATTACAAGGGAAATCGGCGCTGATGGTGCTCAGGAGATCCGTGTGCCAAACGTTCCTGTAGTGCTGCCGCAGTTCCATCTTCTCCGCGCGGATTTGCAGTGCCATCGTTTGTCTGTACGAGCGCGACGAACAAATCGAATCCGAAACGAATTTTATGTGCAGAGCCAAGGGATGGTTATTAGCTTGGAGGACAATTGATCGAGAGACACAGAGATAGAGACAGAGGTACGAGGAAAAGGCAAGTGACGTTTCTGAGGTTGTTAGGAACGTGCAGTTATTGTCAGTGCAAATATAGGCCCTTCCGTGTGAAAAGATAAGTGCACCAGTCAGTTAGAAAGCTTAGGCTGAAATTACTATTATTGCCTCTGGCAGTTACATCTTCAGTTCCCTTACAAGCTAAGCCCAATACTAATCGGATCCGGAAACTTAGGTTGCCTCTAGATCAAGGAGACGTGAAGATGTGCCTGACATTTCATAGATCATACCAAGCTCCCCAGGTTGGAAACTTCCTCTCTCCTATTGTTTTCCATGACCCTTTGGATATGGTGTCCTGCCCACAAAATAAAAATTACAAACAGACAGCAGAAATTTTCTTCTTGTTTCTCGACATAAAAGTTGGTAATAGATGAGCTCGTTGCACGGTGGCCGGTACGTGCGGTAAGACAAATACAGCATGAATGGGAAAAGCGTGTGCGGTCTGTGCTACCGTCAATGAGATTTCATGTGTATCCGCCACCCTAATCATATAGTATGGTCCATCTTGATCTTTTAAGTCTACATGATACCTTCTTTACCCACAAGTGATCATATGAATCGAAGGTTCGCTACGCATTTAGGTGAGCCGCATAAGATCTCCTGAAGACAAATTATATGACAAAGGGAGAAAAATAGTATTATGAGCATGCCTCGGGAGTTGTGCTCGTGCAAATATAGTATAGATCATTCTTCTACTTATCTACGTTATCTAGTAACTTAACCAATTTTTCTGATTTGAAATTCTACATATTACTTCCCTACAAGATTCTCCACACAAGCAATAGTGACTACTTAGCCTGGAACTTTATCTGTGTCGATGAAATTCTTTTCGTTTGCCACTTTGACACTGTTATCGTGGTTTTCACTTTGTACTGCACAATCATGGTCAATGAGACCGCATTACAAGAATAAATGAGAAAAGCCCTCAACTTTGCTCGAGGCTACGGGGAAAAATGTTCTCAAAGAGAACAAAATGCTTCTCTTAATCAAGATATCCACAGTAGGCATTCTGCACTCCTCTTCCACTCGCTTCTCTTCTCCATCTAACCTCCAATCCCGGGCTCATTCTGGTTTAGTATTATATGAGGTAACCTATCTTCTCGGGAAAGAGAAAACATTGCTTGCTTTAAATCACTTCCTATTGGAGTTCCTTTAATGACATATGCTTTCTGTCATCATTTCCAATTGGACGGACGATGCATTAAATCCAATTGAGGAAGAAACGAACTCTTTTCATTTACCCTCCTTTTTGAAGGATAACCTCGACTTCTTTTTGAGAGACGAAACTTTAGGCCCTTGCTACTGTCCATAATGGTTTGCATAACCATCCCATCTTTCTCTGGAGAAGCAACTGCTCGGCTTTTCCAGTGTCGTGGCAATGGTCCACTCCAGTAGGAAAGCTCCATCATTGGCCACCTAAGTGTACATCATTTGATTTCCCATCTCTGACTAACATCTTCCCAGTCACACCAAGAAATCATATTGAGAGATTCCTCGGAGAACCTTTACTTGATGGTATATTTCTCTGGACGTTAAAAGTTTATGAGCAGTAGTTTAGTGAAGTTCTACAAAAGCTCTGGTGATACCTCTGATTGCAAGTTCATTCTCGACTAGGTATTGAAGTATGGGTCAATCCAATGTTTCAAGCACGCATTTTTCGATCCAAATTAACAGCAGAATTGGGAGTCACTGTCCTCCTTGAGTTGCCTGAGCAACATTCCGAGCAAAGCATATATTTCAAAGGCTTGTGGGTGGGACTTGTCACTCGAAACAAATGCCTGAATGTGATCCGACATATGAATCCAGCTACAACCAGCAACTTTGTCGTCACACCCGTCCCTCATCTTTTTCCTTACTCTTGCTACTTCTGTCCACTTTCCTTCAGAAGCATAGATATTTGATGTAAGACTGTAATTAACAGTCTGGTTCGGCTCTATGGAAAGTAGCATTTCAGCAGCTTCATGTGCTAACTTCTCGTTGCCATAGACTTTACATGCCCCTATATATGCTCCTAGCATCTCTGCATGTAATTCAGGCAGTTTGGTCAACAAATCATAAGCCTCATCCAGAAGACCAGCGCGTGCAGCAAGATCGATTAGAGACGCATATTGCTCAACATCAGGCACAAGCCAATATGTATTGATCATCAAATCAAAGTAATGAAGGCCCTTGCTTACCATTCCAGCGTGAGCACAGGCAGAGATAACCCCAAGAAAAGCAATTTTATCTGGCTGTATGCCACAAGATAACATCTTCTCAAAATTTTCTGTTGCTTCTTTAGCTAGACCATTAAATCCATATCCACGGATGATTGTGCTCCATGTTACAAGATCAGGTTCATCTACTGAGCTGAAACATTTAGATGCACCGTCCATGTGCCCACATCCCGAATATGCGTTTATCAGAGAATTTAAAACTGACAAGAAAGATTCAAACCCACTTTTAATTGTATGAGCATGGACTTGAATTATTTCAGATGAGGATGTTGTATTACTGCAGGAGCTAAGAACACTAGCCAAAGTCAATTCATCAGGGTGGAAGTCTTTCTGGAGCATTGCTCGAAGAAGCTTCATGGCCATCGTTCCATCTGCAACCCTTCCATATCCTACAATGATTGTGGTCCAAGAAACAACATTCTTAGAGGGCATCATGTCAAAAGCCTTCTGAGCATCGTCTATCAGCCCGTTCTTCCCACATGCATCAACCAGCGCACTCGCCACTATATTATCGGCGTCAAAAGAAAGTCTAATCACGAGACCATGAATTTGCTCAACCAATCGCCATTGGCCTGAAGTGGCACAGCAGCTAAGCAAACTAGAAAACGTAAACTCGTCGCCTTTCACTCCAGCCAACCGCATTAAATTGAAGAACCCAAAAGCCTCTGCAGCTGAGAATGTCCAAGCATAGCAAGACGACATCGTGTTCCAAACGGCCAAATCCCTATAAGCTACATCATCAAAAACCTGCCTCGCCTCTTCAACTCGACCACATTTCCCGTATAAACTAATAAGACCATTGCTGACAAAACAATTTACACCGAGCCCGTATTTCGCTACAAAACAATGCAACTGCCTACCAAGCCGAATATCATCAGACTCTACGCAAGCTCGGAGGAGACCATTGAACGTCAAGAAGTCCGGATTCACCGACTCCGTCAACATCCTCCTGAAATAACAAATCAAGTCAGAGAACAACTCAGTATCAGCGCCACGAGCTGCGGCATCGCAGATCAATGTGTTCCACGTGACCACATTCTTCCTGGGGATTTCGTCGAACAATGTCCGGGCATCGCAGCACTGCCCACATTTGAGGTAAACATCCAAGACCTGATTCTGCAAGGACAGAAAGCTACACAGCCCGGACTTCACCACGAGTGCGTGCACTTGTTTTCCCTCGCGAAGGAGCCGGAACTTCGCCGACCCCTTGAGGGCGTCGGAGCAAAAGGCGCGCATCGAGTCGAAGCGAGAATCGCCGGAGCGAGTCGACTCGGAGTCCGGAGATGAGACCGCCTTGGCGCCGCCGTTTCGGGGGGCATCGTGGTCGGTCCGAGGCTTACAGGGGGCTGCGGAATTAGTTGGCGCGAAGGCTAACGGCCGTTCGAAATGGACGGTGCAGATCGAGCGGCTGCGGCATTTGGCAAGCATCCGATGGCTGTTGTTGAATAGGCACTGGTGAAAGAGTTCCAGTTTTCTTTTGGAGGAGGCATTTGGACCCGGCCCTTTTTATACCTGATAATACTAGGGGTGATCGGTTTCCGGACGATACGGTTCCTGTCTAGGAATCGGGAATCAAATCAAAGGAGCCGGTTCCCTATTTCTGGAACTGGGAACCATTTCGGTGTCCTCTAGAATCGGACTGGGTTTGCTCAGTAAATCAATGAAACTAATGGATGTTCCTCTCACGCAAATTTTTTCAATTTGTGATAAAATTTGGTTGTAATGAGCAACTACCGTTGTGTTTTGATTTGTTTTTGTCATCTTACTCACAAGAATAAGTAAATGTGATGGCTCCAACCCTGAATGACCTTCTGGCCAAAAAAAAAAAACCTTGAAGCACCTTCCTTTGTAAAATGGGAGAGTAAACTTTACAGAGTTTTAAGAATTAAAAGAATATTTGGTGCGATCAGAGTGGGTGGTTCCATACTTGAAACTAGGAATCTGACTGAAACTCTTTAGTTACAATTTTATGGAATTGGGAACCAGACCAGTGCCCTCGAGAACCGCCTAGAATCGGTTGGGCAGTTCCCCAATCTAAGCAGTTGCTAGTCCGAGCGATTCCTTTTACTTACTCCTAGTAACTTCAACCCTTTAACACAAAGGTCCATCAAACTCGAACTCTACATATATATTCCGTAACCTGAGTTTCACTGCAACTTTATCGAGCTCGACGCGTCCGGCTTATCAAATCCAACGGCCTAGATTTCACTTCGCGAATTTCCGCCACATCACAAACGCTCGTTTTACCAATATGAAATAATCTCTTGCTAAGTAGGCTCTTTGCAATTATGGGTCGATAATTAAAGGCATAGAGCGTGATTTCAAAGCAGTCGTTAAATTGTCCCAATCATCGTGTCGGTTTAAATGGCGGACTTGGCGAACGATAGTGTGGCAAACGGGATCCAGGTATAGTACTATTTTTGGCTTCCTTGGCATGCAAAACAACTAATTTAAATTTGATGGAGGTGATTTAAAGAAAGAGATCGTGCAAAAAAGTCCATGGCTGCAATGATTGGGTCAACGTCCGATCTTTTTTTTTTTTTTTGTCTTTTATTCGCGTGACATGTAACGTAAATAAATAAGAATTAATACCACGAAATACCCCAAATTAATATATTTGTGATAAATTTAACTTTAAATTAATTTTTGAATCACAAAAAATCTCAAATTGGTACATTCGTGACATATTTATCCTCTGTTAACTTCGGTAAAATTTTTCACGGATAACGCCTGGCAATAACTCATTCGACATGGCAAATCCACGTGGAAACCCAAATCAGTTTGGGGTAAATTGTCACAGTTTGAGGATTTTTGTGATACAAAAATTATTTTTTTTTATAAAATTTGTTATAAATGTACCAATTTGGATTTTTTAGTGACTCAAAAATTAGCGTAGAGTAAATTTATTACCTTTGGATTTTTGGTAGTATTAATCCAATAAATAAATGTCGTTTTCCGTTTGTTAGGTGCGCTTCAATTTCTAGAAGCTCGACATATAAAAAAAAATCAGTGGAAATTATTATTACAAGATACATCGACCCTCGCACGCGGGACCAGTACAAAGAACCTTCAAACTCGTAAAAAATAGAATGGAATATTCCAATTTTTCATTAAAGAATATTTCCATTCCATTTTTTTTTATTTTTTTATTTATTTTAATTAATTATGGTTATTTATCCGACAGCAAGAGGAGAGCAAAGGTCAAGGGGCTCGTCCGATGTCTCTGTCCCGACCGCGGTTTGACTGCGATGGCGGTCTTTGAAATTCGATGCCCATCGATCGTCCGCCGTGGGCCCCATTTTAACTTTTTGAAACCAAAAAGAAAAGGATAAGTGAGGGAGAATAATTTTAAGAATTAATACCGCGAATTGGCGAAATCACCAAAAACTCCAAACTGGTCCATTTATTACAAATTTACCCTGTGTTATTTTCCGTTAAATTTGATTCGTACAAGAAAAATCACAAACTGATCAACTATCATGTGTTATCCAACTCAGCAATTTGACGATAACGGAAGGTAAATTTGTTATAATTGTACCGGTTTGAAATTTTGTATAGGTAAATTTGTCTCGAATGTCTAATTTGGAATTATTTTAATTCTTGGTGGGGAGATATTCTAATTTGTTAATTGGACTTTCGAGGTGAGAAAATCTAGTTTCTTTGTTTTTTTTAATTCGGTTGAAAATATATTATTTTTTTATTGTGATCTTCCCCAAAAAAGTTAAATGGCCCCTCGTGGCCAACGTCGGACTCCACCACGGTTGTCCGCCACCGCCACCGCCACCGTTTCAATCTCCCTCCCTCCCTCCCCTTGGCCATTTACGAAAATGCCCCTCGCCATCTCTTAAGTCATCATCATCAACTTAGCTTTAAAGGTCATCTCCATAACAGGTAACCATAGCTTTCAAAGGCTACGGGGGGTGTGGAGTGAAAGAAATTGTGGGGTGGAAAAAAGTGTACAAAAATTCAGAATTTCCCTTTCCTTCGTTTTGTCTCAATTAAGCAGAAAAAATGATCACACTGTTTAGATGCATCTCAATCGAAAAAGCGCGACTTTCGCGAAACTCTCGAATGATCTGATGACTGACATTTGGCAAGCAGCGTGTCTCAATAATAGCTATTTATCTAGGTCATAAGTGTCTATTCATCTGCGATAATAACACCCTTCTACTTTTGCTCGGAATTCAAAACCGTCTCTCTACTTCTTCTTTGTCAAAAATCATCCCTTGACTCTCTAAAAAGTGTCACTGGTCATCCCCCGATCAATTTGGTAACGGAATTTGCTAACATGAAGTTAACCCCATTAAATATTTAATTTATGATGATGTTATCCTCAATCCATTTTCTTAATCTTTGCTTTGAAGTGACAGATATTTCCCAATTATGTGTTGGGTTGCCTAATACCATTGACGAACGCCCACCAAAGGAAGGAAAAAAAAAAGAGAAAACAAGGGTTAGGTATGCTTTGCTTAATAATCACCACCATCCCCCATCATAAGATAGCCATTTTTCTATCAATTTGACTAATGGATCACGATGTGTTGTTGGATTGATTAGTACATGAGCCACTTGATTGACTAGGATAAAAATCGATGGGATGACAATGACATTGAGTAAGATAACATCAAACGAGATGCTTCACGTGTCCCACGAGAGTAAAGTATAACGATCATGAACAGCACCCTTACCATCGTTTATATTTTTAAAAATTTTGAGTGGAGAAATTTTCTGTACTTAAACGGTCTTACCTTAGACCATTTCCATTCATTCCCATTAGTTTATAACCTATAGTTATATGGGTATATCCCATAGGATTGGCAAAAATTGGCCTATGCTATGTACGAAGAATTATTTGGTGAACCCATAATATACAATAAAAACAATGCGGATTGCCATGCAAGTACACATTGGGAAAATTACCAAAAAAGTCTTAAATTTATTGTACGGATGTTAATTCAGTCTTAAATTTTTTGACGATTTGCCAATTTTTGGCTGGAAAATCGTTGACATAAATGTCGGTTGTCATATGTGGCATAACCGACGTTGACGTGAATAATTTTTTACATTTTTTTGTAATTTTCTGAAATTTTTATAAATTTTTTTTGTTTTCTTCTTCCTCAGCCGGTCGTCGGGCCTTGGAGATGTTAGGAATCGGGTTGGCGAATCATTTTTAGCTTCGTGTGTTTTTTTTTTCGGAGCAAGTCTTAGGTAATCTTGGTACATGGTCTTTATACGTGTGTATGTGAGCTAGTTTGTTGATATAAGGGTCCATTTATTTTACGGAAAATAAATCATTTTAAAGAATATTTTTCTAAAAATAATTGGATATATTATTTCGAATAATTAGCTAACAAAACATAAACCTAACTTTTTTGAGGATAATAAAAATATTTTTTTGTTAATATATTTTTTTAAGCGATCATATTTAATAAAAATATCTTTCAAATAGTGAGTTTTCGGCCAAACAAAGGACCTAAACATTTTTGGTTTTTTCACTGAAAATTTGAATTGTCTGATAGTTAGGACAATGTGCAGGGTCATTCGTGTCTTTTCACAGAAAACGACAAGAAAAATTCGCAGAACTTGCTCAAGCTGTCCGTGAGCGTCAGTGGTGGGAGTGGGAGCTTTCACAGCGATAGCTCCTCCTCTCTTGTCTTCCTCTTCGCCTCCCGAGCTTCTTCAGCGCTTCCGCTCGAGGGCTCCATCGAAACGCTCGCGTCGTTTCGCCAGCCGAAAGGAGCACCTCCTTTGCTCGACCGAAGCATGTGCGCAATCAAGTGAGCACGAAATGTCACCGCCCGCCATCGCTTCAGTCGCCATTCTTGCTTCTCTCCTCCTGATGCTCCCGACACTGACCAGAAATGGCCCGCCGCCGTCGAGCTCTGAAGGAAATCACATCAGTAACATCACCACCTCAGCTCTCGGCGTGAATTGGGAAACCGAGCTCAGAGCTGGACCGACTCTCCAGAGGCCTCTCGAAGTCCACTCAGCTGCGGCGGAGCAGGCTGCGAAGACCCGTCATCAGCTGAAGAAGATCGTCGCCGTTGGACAACCGGGAGGGAACCGAACCGCATTGCCCAGAAGCAAGAAACTAGAGACGACCCGAGTCGTTTTGGCAAGGAATTCGACGCTGCAGAGCGAGAAGGGCACGTTCACGCTCGGGTTTTTCAGCGCGAACGGGGATTCGGCTTCGTACTTGGGAATCTGGTACGCCTCAATCCCAACTCCGACCTACGTTTGGGTCGCGAATCGCGACAAACCCGCCAAGGATTTAACGTCGTCGACGCTGGAGTTCACCGACACGGGTCAATTGGCGGTGAGGGAATCGCCCGATTCCGTCTTATGGCAAAGCGAGAACACGGAAATGTCGTCGAACGTCACGTTTTCGGACAGTGGGAACTTGATTTTGTGGTCTAGCGAAGGGAAGATCACATGGCAGAGCTTCGATTACCCGACGGACACGTGGTTGCCGGGCATGAACCTCACCAAGGACCGAGTATTGGTTTCTT